TTTCGGGATAGGGACCTGAGGGATAGGTTGTCATTAAAGGGTTAAGAGCAACAACAATAAGCTACTAAATAGTTTTTGCTCTAATTGAGTAAGTTGAATAAGTTTGGTGTCGCGAAGCAATTATAAGTGTAAGAAATATTTAATTGTTTTACTGTCTGCAACAACTTACTAAACATGTGCTTCCCTACCTGGTTTGCTTGTTTGTATTTTGCATCCTCTTACCAGCTATGGTCATTTAAGGACGTGTCAGGTTTCGGTGGTGGAGGAAAATCAGAGTTCATGCAGGAAAAAACACCGACCTGCGGTCAGTACCTGCATGGCGACTGCCCAAGGAAGACAACGAATCTGCGACCTAACCGGTGAAGGGCTATTGATCGAAGAGGGTCAAAAGCCTTAAACATGCGAACTCCATGCCCTCCCTTACACCGTATTTGTATTGATTATTATAATGCATATTAGTGTTTATTTGAAGATATTATACATCAGTAGCGTTTGTGAATCCTGTTAAATTGATAACGGATTACAGGGAAATACTTTGGTAACTGATTATACTCTATCTAATAGTGATGTTTAACAGGGCATAGTGCAATCTCAATTCAGAATAGTACCAAAGCCTTTAGGATTATATTCTACACTACACAGGTAGGGTGGCTATTTCAATAGAACAGTTGATCTAAATCTTTTATATCATTACTATTCTACAGCTTCACATGTAGGAGGTGGTTTATCATTGGAACAGCTGAGGCTATGGGCAGAGACGGATTGGTCTGGGCTTTAGTAGGACCTGTCAGATTTAGCATTGGCATGGCTATGTGTAAGACAGATTTCAGTCAGCACTCACTTGACATTTATATAGATACAAATGTGTGTAATAAGACGATTTGTGACATCAGTACACCGTTCAAGGTTTCTTTTACAGGCATTTATACCAGTATGTATTATTGGGTAAAATAACCGTATCCTTCGTTAGTCAGTGGTGGATGCGGTATTTTTGAAAGGTGGGAGCCATACTCCCAAAATGCATGTGTACTCTCTTCTCCCCTTTGAGGCACAGAAGCTGTAGAGTTCCTATGATATCTAAAATGTAGATCTATATTTTCATAAAACTCAACTTGTTTAATTCTTGGTGCTAAAACGAACAGAGAAGCTCTGCTATTGTTGACGTTAGCTATCTACAAAAGCGAATCATTCTGAAATTGTTGAAGTTGTGTGTTATAAAATGCGAACAACTCTTAATTTATTCCAGTTAGAAACAACCGCCAATCAATAGTTTAGTTTTTAAATCTTTTTTAACAGAATCTATTATATATTTTTCGTGTGAATATTGGGGTTGACTGGATGGTTTATAATTTTCTTCCACTTTTACGCAAGGGTCAGAATGAGTTAAAATTCTTACGTTTTCCTGGAAAATATTTTGTTCAGTGTTCATGTGCAATAGTTTGATAACATGTCAGCTCCGAAACTTATATCTGCTCCACAAATCAATGCATAGCTACCAAAGATGGCAACTGATATTGATGAAGTTATGTGTTATACAAACTAAATTATAACCTTTTAATGAACATATATATATATATATATATATAGAAAAAATAAAATTAACGACCGACTAAAAAACTAGCTGCTTTCACCCTTCACAGGGCTCTTCAGGTTTATTTTGAATAAACCTGAAGAGCCCTGTGAAGGGTGAAANGATGACATGTAATTGTGACGTCACGACGTTGTTCTCTTTTGAATAAACCTGAAGAGCCCTGTGAAGGGTGAAAGCAGCTAGTTTTTTAGTCGGTCGTTAATTTTATTTTTTCTATATTTACTTCCTTCACATGGACATTTAATCACTTTTTATTATATATATATATATATATATATATATATAACTGTCCGACAGAAATATTATCATAGGTGAAGTATGTCTTATATAAATGGGGAAGGATGGACATGATTCAGTATCTTCCCTTTACTAGTTACACAGGTTATTGAGGTTTTTATTGTCAGATGTGTCTATTTATGTGTCTGGGATATCAATCCGAAGGTCCGCAGTAAGAAATACTTCACCATCTTTAATCCTTTCCAGCAAAAATACGGAAACAAAATGAGAGGATTGCTCTTCTTCCCTGAGTTGTTTGGAGACCTGTTCTGGGAAGCTTTCACTTTAGGAGCTTTAGGTACACTGTGTGTGTGTTTAATGTGCGAATGTGCGTTTTTCACTGTTTCATTAAACTTAGTCTGACTACTTATTGGTTAGCTTTCGGCTAACACCCAGCAGCCTTCTATAGCAAAGGGGACTTGCTGAGTGAAGGAAATAATGTCAGAAAGGCTGCCAATTTTTCTGCAAATCTCGAGCAGTAAAAGGATCACCAGTACCAAGCACCACATCATGGAAATCCTACTGGGAACACATTTGAATAACAAAAAAACAAAATGCTGGTTCTCATATAAAATCAGTCACAATAAAACTAGGATTAGTTAGTGTCTTTTATGATTAAAGAAATGGTCAATGTATCTTAAATTGTTGGTGACCCACATTCTATCCTTGATTGCGTCGTTTCCTTTTGGATCATGTTCGTTACGTGGGTGGAAAGGCAGATTATTTTATTAATAGTTTGCTTTGATATCTCGCTAGTTAATGTAAGGGTTATAATTGAGTGGTATCATTTCTTGTTTGACTTTGATAAGAAGTCAGTGTGACTTATGAATATTTTACTGTGTCTTCAGGTGCTGGCGATTCCTTTTTCTATAATGAATCCTGCTGTGGTTATGTCTCGTATCCAGGACACATGGATTGGTCACAAACCAGAACTTATTGGACAATTTCTTGATACAGTGTTAATACTTATTATGGGAGGAATGCCGAGGCAGGTGAATGAGCATTTAAAAAAAGTACAACGTGTTTGGTTTAATGATACAAGCTTTAGAGGGTTGAAATTTACAAATAATGAAAGAATATTAAATCACAAAGATCATTCTGGAACATGAAATTTCAAATAGAAACAAACGAAGCTCTGAAGGCCATAGGATTCGCCACAGGTACGGTTAACCCATACAGTTATCGAAGGTGTGGGGACCATAGGATCCGCCACAGGTTTATTTAACCCATACAGTTATCGAAGGTGTGGGGACCATAGGATCCATCACAGGTATGTTTAACCCATACAGTTATCGAAGGTGTGGGGACCATAGGATCCGCCACACTTATGGCTAACCCATACATTTATCAGAGGTGACACATTTTCAGACGTTTGTTTTCTCTTTCCTGTTTTTCAAAAGTACATTAAGGAAAATATTTCCATTTTTTTCGATTGGAAATATTAAAGACAAACATCATACTAAAGACAAACATCTTACTAAATACAAACATCATACTAAAGACAAACATCATACTAAAGACAAACATCAAACATCATACTAAAGACAAACATCATACTAAAGACAAACATCATACTAAGGACAAACATCATACTAAAGACAAACACCATACAAAAGACAAACATCATACTAAACAATACTATGTTTGCAGTGTTAATAAAACATTTAGCATACAATTGCGATATTGAATTGCATCTCACGATGTAAAAATATTGACAATGTATTTATTCCATACAACCGAAAACTTAAAACTTTAGTGCAATTTTAAAATATTTTACGATAGGAAAAATGTACAGACAGACAGACAGACAGACAGACAGACAGACAATACGCCCATATCCTCCCTGGTCCATGGGCCCCCTTCACGCTCTATATGGGTGAATATTTCCATCATAGTATCCTTCTGCAGCTAATTTACCCTCTTATTTCTGCCAAAACACATCCATGATTAGATTCACAACCAGAAATATGCTGGTGGGTCCCATCATCTGATTTTCATGGACGCTTGAATGGTGTGAAACGTCATATTCTGCATCTTTTTATAGTGACCGCAAAACTAAATGATTTTCCATAGACGATAGTGTTAACGTTTACCACTGTCCTGGTTAAATCGGGTTATCTGCACTGGTTAACCTGCCCTCATTTTGAATAATATCATCTCACACAACTGTAAATAAAATATTTAAAAATTCTGCCTATTTGAACTTTTTTTATATGGGGACCGCCATCTTGTATTGAATTCGGCACCAAATATTGACCAAAATTAACAACAAATTTCACACTTAATAAACTCACCCAGACAAAAGCAGACTTGAACAATTTTAATATTTTTTGTATGCATATTACATCTATATATATTGCTCAACCCACACATAAAGCTTTTGAAACTAATGCCACCTAAATATCCAACCAGCAGGCCCTGAGGCATTCACCTTCCTATTAAATCTTCTGCCCCAAAGGGGAAAACCCACAATCTATTTTTGATTTGGTTCCGTGGTCCCTATAAAGACAACGACGAGGAAGATAAGAAGGATGACGACGGAGATATTGGGGAAAAAAACTTTTATAACACCGGTAGAGCCAGACCATTTTGAATTACTTCCAGGAAATCAAGGGTCAATAATTTAAGTTTCAAGGAAGAATAATCAGCAAGACAACAAATATTTTGTATACAATCTTAAATATGTATTCTCCCCACCCAAAACACATCTCTTTGTGGTTTACCTCTAGGTAGAGCCTAGTATACAATAAGTTAAATGCGGATGAGGAATCGCTATCCAGTGGTGCTTGTTGTTTTAACAAAGACAGAAATATTGAGAAAGCTGCTATAGGAGAAAATCCCAGACGTAGTCTAGCGTGATACATATGACTTTGTCTTGATCCTGCTATGTAATATTCAGGGGATTTGAGGATTAGAAGGGGGAGGATTAATACGAATTTCGGGAATATTATTTAAAACATAAATATGATTGTTTTGATAAATTATGATAAGTATTTAAACATAAAATGTCCCCAAAACTACGTCAATGGACGCATTTAAATAAACCGGCATTTCTGTATTGCACCTACATACCAAACTGCTTGGAACAGATATCATTTGTGGCAATTCATAAATAACACAAATGTTGTTCTCTTTTGAAGGTATTTTAATGCAGAGTTTCAAAGAAAACGATATATAACATAGTATAAGATAATTATAAAACGACTTCGTGGAGATAAAAAAGGGACATGAAACATTAACAATTTATTGATATAAATATGACTGAAATGATACAATAATAATACGTGCATTAATGTAGCACTCATATCGTTTACCAGATACATTTGCATACAATTGGTCGAAATAATGTCAAATAGTTATCACTATCATGAATCAAAAACCTGCAAGCTTTTCCTAAACAGTGCATTCTATATCAGATAGGAATTAGGAATCAAATGAGTGTTTTGTTTAGGCAAGAAAATCAATGAACATTTATAATAGTAAAACAAATTATACAAAATGCAATTTCATAACAAAAAATGTAGTAAATAAAAGATAAAAAGATATATAAGAACTAGCAAAATATCGTTTTTCTAACAAAATCTTAGCAATAAAATCTGATCCCTGATATAAATGTATTTCAATTTAAGAGTCCATGGAACTGTTGTTACAGTGTACATAACCATAACATGTACAGTATTAGAGTATACTGTACATAACCCTAACATGTACAGTATTAGAGTATACTGTACATAACTATAACATGTACAGTATTAGAGTATACTGCACCACAGTATCCAAAAGATAAGGCATTCTTAATGATTTATTGAAAAGCTGAACATGCATACATTAACACAACTACACACCTTATAATTGTATAATTTACACATGATTACCCAGCAGTTCTCCCCCCATATGATCTATAACCTACACATTATTAATTTTTTTTCTCCTTATAATGTGTACAGTTTTCACATTGAAACATTTTTTAACACGCATTTCCCAGTTTTCCCATTATAACACATAACAGCAAATCTAGTCTTTCCTATCATGTTGCATAACGTTATATTTACATTCGCTCCCATTGAAGTTGTGTAACCGTGACTGCGTATACATTACCGTATACGCAGTGAAATTCCTTGGAGACCATTGCTTCCTATTGATGACGTAATTTACATTGTGACGTCATAATGGTAACGTTGGAGATCCATCGCTGCTCGCGGGCTGTAGGCTGTTCATTTGTTTGGATTTACGCACGTTACGCGCTCCATAGAATATGTTCGTTGCCAACTGCGTTCATAATACCGTATACGCAGTCAAAATGAAGGTTAATCCTTAATTGAATCTACCCAGAACTCCTTTTTTACATGTCATGTACATGTCCTATTAAAGTTCCATCAATGTGTGATCGATTTGTAGCCTGAAATGACAGAGGATTCGTAAATAAGAAATTAAACGAACACTAAAAAAAATCCAAATACATTTTCCCATATAGTCACGAGTTTTACAAGTATTGAAATTCAACCATTCAGCTATGTCATAAACACTTCATATCAAGAACTGTTAAACTGAATAAACACATTTATTTTCGCTGTGATCGATATTCTTCGTTTCAATGTTATCTAAAATGTTTTTGGACCTAATCTTTGTCGCTCTACAGTTAAAGAAACTTAAAATGATCATACTTAGTTAATGCGAATTCTTACATAAAACAAAGTCATGGTTTTATCTTATGGCAAGAATTGGCTCTTCAGCTCCAGTACATATGTACTAGGTTGTCAGTGGTATTTTTATCAGCTGCACGACATAACAAAAACAAGTACATTACAAAAATGTGTCTATAACACACGCATGTCAATCATATTTATCATAAAGTAACCAAATATTAAATCTTACTCACTTTCGTCTACCATCACAAAGTGAACTATATATTCATATCAAATGATATCACTTTTACATTGATAATATTATCCTATATGTATTATTCGTTTATGAAAATACCTTGGTATATAAAATCTCATATACCAAGTTAAGGGTTTATCTTTCCTTAAAATCATGCTATATACGGCAAGCATTGGCAACATCTACTATAGAAATAATGTCATATTAAATTAAATATTGTTTATCACATATTACAGCGTACATTATAGGTCTCAAAGGTTCGATTGTGAACAGTTGAAAAATATATCCGATAAGGAAAAGATAAAATAGAATGACCTTTCACAGAAATTTTGTGTTGGGAAACAATAAGCTAATACAATAGATTAATCACAGAAAACGTGTATATCTCTTCCAGATGTTGTTCACGTGCTCAATAGCCTTCTTGGTCTCCAAAAATGGCTTTGATCTTGTTGTTAAATGGGTTGATGGGACCGATGGCATCGGGATATTCAGTTTCCAGGATCTGCCATAGCACCTGCCCTGTGAGTGCCTGGCCAAGCTAATATAGAAATAATGGGAATATATTGTTTATTATGAAGTTGTCAATCGCATGATATACATCCATATGTGTCATATACACATCACTTATTACAATAAGTTATGTTGAATTGCTTAAAAGTTGGTTATTTCCATTACAGATACAACTTTGACTCATTTAAAGACAACGTAAATTCTTCAATTATATGTTGAAAGCATTTTGAAACAAATGAAGGTTACAGGCCCTTTGTGTCTTTTGTATTTTTATATAAAATTATCTGTCCCATAAAGATAATTGTTTTAATATTCACTATACTCAAATATTTGTTTTTAAAAAACCCTTGATGTAAACATTCAATGAAACCATTAACCTGGTTTGTGTGAAAACCGTCTACTGGTTCAAGCAGCTCCCAAAGGGGACGTCCAAGATTTCTCCAATGTTCAAAAACTTCAATGTAACAAGATAGAAATAAAGGTCATGAAATTAATAAAGACAAATAAAAGTTCAAAGGTCGCATAATCACCAAAAAAAGATGTTAAGATCACACTACCATCAAATAAAAGGTCAAAGATCACACAGTAACCAAACAAAAGGTCGAAGATACCAGTATTATCCAATATGAAGTCAATATAACAATACCAATTAAAAGATCTCAAAACATCCCATTTCCAAAACAGAAAGACAAAGATCTCACAACCAACAAATGATAATAGTTTTACTGCTGCTACATTACCCGTAACATTAACGGGTTTCTGTACATATTACCAAGGACATGGAACGGTGGTTTGTCTACAATTTAAAAATAATAACATAAATATTGATATAAAAAATATATTATATTGTACTGTACCTTTGAAAACAGGATTTTCCAAGTAGGCGAGTTTAAAATTGTGGTACTTGGCTGCCTCAGTCTGTGCCACTTCCTTCAGTACATTACTCAGCTGCTCGGCTCTCTGTATCCACACCAAACACATAAAGTTACCTTTTACCAACAGCCATAGTTTATAGTTATCTTTTACCAACAGTCCTAGTTTATAGTTACCTTTTACCAACAGCCATAGTTTATAGTTACCTTTTACCAACAGCCATAGTTTATAGTTACCTTTACCAACAGTCCTAGTTTATAGTTACCTTTACCAACAGTCCTAGTTTATAGTTACCTTTTACCAACAGTCCTAGTTTATAGTTACCTTTTACCAACAGTCCTAGTTTATAGTTACCTTTTAGCAACAGCCATAGTTTATAGTTACCTTTACCAACAGTCCTAGTTTATAGTTACCTTTACCAACAGTCCTAGTTTATAGTTACCTTTTACCAACAGTCCTAGTTTATAGTTACCTTTTACCAACAGTCCTAGTTTATAGTTACCTTTTAGCAACAGCCATAGTTTATAGTTACCTTTACCAACAGTCCTAGTTTATAGTTACCTTTACCAACAGTCCTAGTTTATAGTTACCTTTTACCAACAGACCTAGTTTATAGTTACCTTTACCAACAGACCTAGTTTATAATCATGCTCGTGCGAAATCAGTTCAATATCAAACACTGCTTTCAATGGATGAATTGATACAAACGAAGTAAAACAGACATTTAGAAACAATTAAAATTGTCTTGGCTCATTCATGAAAAATGGTTATGCGTGGTAAGGTCTGGGCGTTCTTGATGCTATTCTCTCATACTGTGCACTTACGCTAGTTGCAGGACATATGCTAATAGCACGACATACGCTAATAGCACGACATGTTGTATAGCAACGCTGTTACCATGACATGTTTTTAGCAACGCTGGTAGCATGGTTTGTTTTCTTGCAACGGTGATAGCATGACATGTTTTCTAGTAACGCTGGTAGTATATGTTGTCTAGCAACGCTTGTAGTATGATATGTTTTCTAACAACGCTGGTTGTATGGTTTGTTTTCTTGCAACGCTGGTAGCATGATATGTTTTCTTGCAACGCTGGTAGCATGACATGTTTTCTAGCAACGCTGGTTGCATTGTTTGTTTTCTAGCAACGCTGGTAGCATGATATGTTTTCTAGCAACGCTAGGAGCCTGACATTTTGTCTAGAACGCTAGGAGCCTAACATGTTGTCTAGAATGCTAGGAGCCTAACATGTTGTCTAGAACGCTAGGAGCCTGACATGATGTCTAGAACGCTAGGAGCCTAACATGTTGTCTAGAACGCTAGGAGCCTGACATGTTGTCTAGAACGCTAGGAGCCTGACATGTTGTCTAGCAGCTATGGTTATTTAAGGACATGCCAGGTTTTGGTGGTCAGTATCTTGCGACTGCCTGACGTAGGCCTAACCAGCGACCTAGTCTTGGAGGGCTAGTTATCCCATACGGTCAAACGCCTTAACCTCTAGGTTACCGCCACTTATATTACCTGTGTTGTCATATTTCTTATAGTCTCGTTAGTATTCATCCAACCTCGGCAAGAAGATATCTGTACAAAACACAATATTATTATAAGCTCAATAGTATTACTGCCTGAAATTATTCTCTACAGTTTAGTTAAGTATGATTAACGATCAATTAACATCAATCAATAATTTGATAACTGTTACTCCGTAGTGTTGTGATATTCACCCTTATTGGTATTTCCAATAAACGTTGAATTTTCTTTTTAGATTTTTCTCCACTTTACAATTTGTCATAAAGTTTTGTTGACAGAAATACTTTCATTATCGATGTATATGAAGTTTTTGTTGTAAGCATTTGAACAAACATCGGAATCTTTTCAACCATCCGTGATTTGAAATGAGATTAAAGAATGTTTTGAAAAATTAAAATGTTCCAGGTATAGTTTCGACTGTAATATATAATTTCTCATACTACTGCATATACAAGACAACACGACCCGTGTGGAACACCAATTTTGGATTATTCTATCGCATATAAATGCACGCAGTGAGCATGGTTCAGGAAGCACATTTTTCTATATCTTGACTAGAATCATACAAACAAATGGTTGAGTTCAAAATATTCAAGACTCAATCGACTGATGTTCTGAAAAGTGAAATCACTATGATGTGAAATGTGACTTCATTAAATTGGCATTTTGGTCAGCGGGAGAATTTCTGTCGCCATCTTGTAGTTGGCTTCCTTTTTCCTTCTGTTTACCATTTTTTCTCATATGTCTCCTTTTTACCGGGAAGCGGTACGAAAGAAAAAGAATAAATGAAAATATGTAGGTATTCTGGATAGAGAAATTATATCCTCGTTCAAATATTATTGGCACACAACCTCGGTAACAACCGTTTTGACCCAAATGTTACCCTTTCTGGTAGAATTTCCCATAAATAAGCATCAATCTCAAAGCACAATTATACGAAATTGTAAATCTATACTTATAAGAGATGCTCGAAATTCACCGCGTTAAGGCCCGGTCTAAGAATTCCGATAAACATTTCCTTTCAATAATATCTTATCTTTTCGTTTTTTAGATTGGTAAAGCCAAATACTTCTTATTTGAACATTCATGAAAATGATTCTCGAGGTAGTCTTCAGTGTTGCAATACATTCTATTTCTACGGTCACGTATATATTTAATATTTGTATAACTAAATACATATAAACACATATAGTATCATTGTCTATACCTCTAAGCAGTTAAAGTAATCGTAGAAGTGGGAGTAAGTGACGTCATTCCTTAGAGAACCAATTGGGTGTACTCTGTCCTTAAGACTGTCATAGAGGACCCTACCTTCTGCCAAACCTACAAGAAAAACGTGACTCCCAGCAGGCAGGGTTTTCTCCTGTAAAACAGAGTAAGATAACAGTTGCCATCTTACGTTCAGTTATTTAACTGAAGATTAAGAACAACACTACAAAATGTTACCAATGATATACCATGCAAATAGTTTAAATTTTAGCTAAAATTATACGGAATCACAAAACATGGAGAAATCAAACTTGAATAACATATCCATCAAATATGATATTCAATATCGAAACAAATTATAGTCCAATAGACCCTGGCCTGAAAAAGTGTTTATTTTGATTATTTCTCATCGATTCCTGCTTTTATCTTTTCGTAGTGGATTTGAGTTCTAATTTCAGCTTGTCTTTTATGCTGTATGTATTTTAAGATACTAAAATAAAATAAGGATATACTAAAACTAGAGCCACCATGAACCAAATCAAAACAAAAGACATATCCTTACCAAAAACTGCAAAGTTATAATGGAGTTGTTCTTCATTTCTTCTGGTGTTGTCATGTAAGCAACTGTGTCTGTAAGCCTGAATTAGGTTAAAATCATGTTCGAAAATCAACGAAGAATACATATATTAATAAAACAATGCATTGCTAGCTTAAGAATGAATTTGAAACGCTAGAAAACTAAACACTACTTTTTCATATATAGAGTAATCCCCGTGCATTTTACTTTCTTAACTCAGAATACTGTTGATTTTTATTTAATTCATGTTTTATATTTTTCCATAAAAGAATTAACTCTGCAATATCTTATGAGAAACTTTCAATTCATTATGAATAAATAGTTAAAAAAAATCGTAAGTGAAGATATTCATGTCGAAAAAAGTTCCCAGTGCATACGTGTTTGTTTTTTTACACATTTTGACAGTGGCACAGGGATCCTTAATATCTAAAATAATTCATGATGAGATTTATGAAATTTTCATAACATGCGTATGCCATATATAACTTTAAAATATCAATTCAAAATGAAAGTAATGCAATGGAGAAAGCTTATACATTATACTTAGCTAGTTACACACACTTATATGTTGCAAACATTATGTGTTTGCAAATTTTAAAAGTATTTTAAGACTTGTGACAATTTTGCAATCAACAAGTGACACTACTCCTTGAACATGAAAGTAACTGCACATTATTGACCTGAAGGTCTGAAAAGGATAATTGAATCTTCGATATACCGTTTATCTTACTGCTCTTTCCAGACATGTGTTTAATTGTATGCATGATCTTGATATTTTTTCTATATTAAGCGTAGTCTCTGTCGTGTTAAATTAACTTTCAGTACAGAGGTGGAAGTAAAAGAGTCATCAGTGTGCATCCATATGGATATCTCGCATAGCTACATATATAACTGACTCTCTTCGAATATTATCAGTCATAACTATCATTTGGACTGAACATCATTGTCAGTACTTGGTAATAAAGTTGATGTTAAGCGAAGAAAGTTGTATTTCACCTGATATCATTCTATATATTGTACAATGACTGTTGCACAATGGCCTTTTTTGTAATTCTTTTCACTTTTTCTTGAATAATTTTTTAGATTTCATGAAAAGACACAATTTGAGACTAAAACGCGAACATTATTGTGATGTGGTGGCTATACATACGGATTGCAAACATCCATTCCAACTAAGGCGTAGAAAAGTGTGACAGGATTATCTGTTATCTGGTTACGAGAAATGCTACAAAACATTTGAGGAAATATTGAGAATCACACCGCAACATTAGTTCTCCAGAACATCATATATAATTGCCAACAAAGGACACATTGCCAACACTTGTTTTTGACACGATATGATTATTTCTTATACAAATTTGTTTCATATAGGCATATTATTTATGTGTTTGATTTTATGCTTTTTACACATAAAACATAACATTTATACATGTTGATAGTCACAACACTCCTAAACAGACATAACTCACTTCCTCTAATGCTAATTTACTTGCTATAAATATGAAAGATTAAATTTTGTTGACGATATATCACTCACCAAAACCGTTTTTCGAGCAAACCGAGAAATAAATTGGTGAATTCCAATCACAAGCCATTACCTTTTCTCAATTGTGTCAGCCACTGACCATGATCTGGCACCTGTGAAAACCACATTTTTCTTGTAATAATGAGCATCAACTGACTTTGCAAGTTATGATCTACTTTAACCCTTATATAACACTGAAGATTGCGCTTTGCTAAAAACAACCTTCAAATTTAACATGCACTTTAACAAATAATATTAATGTTTTTGTGATATGGATATGAATCAACCTTTATTGCAATGGGTTATTTTAAAGTCTGTCTGATAAACGTTAATTATCTTCATGAAAAAACTGCACATATGAAATAAACTGTACGTAATGGTGACTTTCAACATCACAACTCACCATTGACAGCAAGGTTTTGATAATCCCTGTGGTTACAGCGGTTCCTCTGCCACAGATAGTCATAGACCGAGTTCATAGGGCCATGATTTACATTGGTGTAAGTGTTGTTCATGTAACCTGAAAACAAAAATAAAAATATTTGTACCATCAACGTTTAATAAAAGAAATTTCTTAATATTCCTGAACCAGCCTCCTAGCGATTTTTTGAAATTATTTCAAAATTAGTTCCTTTTGATATCTTATCTTAAAATAATTCATATTTGGTGTATCGTTTTAATTTTTTCAATGATTTGGGTTTATCAAGCTGCATTCTGAAAGAGTTCAATAATCATGAAAATTCAAAATTACCAAACGTGATAAAATATGTAAAAACAAAACAAAAAAACAAAGCAAAAACAAACAAAAAATAAACAAAAACAAATAAGAAAACAGGAAATACCCCTCTGTGTTGGGATTTACTCTAGCGTGAAGTATGAAGATATACTCAGGAAACACAGTTATTTACCTAAATGTATAACGTATTTCAAGTGTGGTTTTGTTTTCAAATAGTAAATTAGAAACAAATTACCCAAATGGAACTCTGCAATATGTTGGATTTATGTCAGAATATTGAAGTCGAAAGCTTACCGATGAACGGACGTATCCATAGACGGAACCTTACTATATATCCGCCGCAAACTCCGTTGAGTTAGGGTTAAAAAGTGTATTTTAAGCATGTCTTATGTGTAGATTTGATCATACTATACGAAATTTAACTACTACTATTTTCAGAATATTTCATGTACATTTTATGTAAATGCCAAATTTTCTAGCTTTAAGAAATAGGGAGGTGTCATAGGTTACAGAACAAAGCTGATAATTGTGTTATAAATTTCAGAATCCAAAACCTTCCCTATACCCTCATTATCAGTAAATTTTATACTCACAGCTAGCAATGCAATCCGCTCACTAACAAATGTTACAAAGCAGTTTTGACAAATGTTTGCCGATCACATTTTGACCAAAAGTGAAATTATAAAAGAATGCTTTTTGAAAATGATGAGCCACCATTCTAAGATATAACAACAATAACAAAAGCTCAAACGGTGACACAGTAAAAAAGCCTTACCTGTGATAGAAGATAATTCTGGCCAATTAAATTCGTTCCCCAATATGAAAGGTAAAGGTTTAAAAACTGCCTATGAAAACAAAGAAACAAATAATTCTTAAAAATAGTTTTACTACAGAGATATTAAACTACCTCGTATAATAACACCTTACACAGCAACTGCTTTTTATTTCAATCTTTGACTTGATTTACATGTTGTTTACTTTACCAAGGAAGCCTGAAACTTCAGTGAGATTAAACACATCTTTTTATATAACATAACACACTATTATACTGTCAATATTTTTGTAAATAACAAAAATTTGAAACTTTTTTTTTTTGTAATTGTTTTATTTTTCTAAATAAATCATCAGCATTAAAGCAATCAACACCATCATACATTTCCAATATCACAATAAACATCATCTTCATCTATTCTTCATCTTCGTCATTAGCATCTATACATATATATATCTATTCATAAAACCATCGCCATCAGTCATCTTTATCATCACCATCATCATTGTCATAAAACATTCATCATTCACATCAATATCAATCATTGATCACATCATAATATTCATCATCATCATTATATCATCATCATTATATCATCATCATCATCATCATCATATCATCATCATCATCATCATCATCATCATCATCATCATCATCATCATCATCAAGTTTCCTCATCAACTTTTTCTATCATTATCATTCACGTCAATCAAGCAATGATTACATCATAAATTTCAACAATTAATTTTCAGCATTCCTAATCATTTTAAAACTATCATCATCATGATGATAAATATAATTCATCCATCTACGCCATTATCATTATAGTCAGTCCTTGTCAACAATAATACATCATCATCCTCATCAATTATAAAATCATCATCAACATTATCATTGCTGACCTAAATTTCATGATCACCAACAACATCCTCAGTTTTTATCACTAATACCTTCATTAATTATCAGATCCAATTACATATATTACTGCTGATAATTTATACATATTTGTATAAAAACAAAACTATAATGAAATATATAGACATACACCCTATTTTACCACTCCACACGCATACTCGCCCACACAGCCGCACATACTCACCCACACAGCCGCACATATGCACACACACACAGAGAGAGACAGAGAGAGAGAGAGAGAGAGAGAGAGAGAGAGAGAGAGAGAGAGAGAAACTGTGCCGTTTTATATTACTTGTATAACTTGAGGTTACAGTGAAATTACATAAACAACAAATTGATTAACATTCATGAAAATATCAATTAGAAAAGTATCATAGATAATTTCTTATTTTCGTCCTGTCAGGGGTTGGGTGTTATTTCTAGCAGCTTATTCCATTTTTTCCATATATTATTAAACTTTGCTACATTCTCATTACCCTTGCTAACGCAAATATATTTTTGAGTCACATAATTATCTTTTATAATAGATTTTAAAGCTGACACAGATAAAGTTTGCTGTAAACATCTTGCTCTATAAATGTATTGTTTCATAATGATTAATATAAGATTGTCTGTTGTGTAGTATATATTTTTATCATTGTGCATGCCAAAAATGAAAGTTTCTTTATTAAAAGTAAATGGAATCAATAGAGCATCTAATAAAAATTCAAAGTTCTCAAAAAATGTCTGCACTTCTCTGCACTCCCAAAATAAATGTATAATTGTTTCTATTTCTGTTTTACAAAAGAAACAGAGTGGACTATCAGTTAAACCAATTTTGAATAAATATGAATTTGTTGTTAATATGTGTTGGTTTATTCTGTATTGCAGCCAATGTAATTTGGAGCTTTTAGTAACTCGGAAAGGGGTTGCATATATACTTCTCCAAGTTTGAAACTTATTTATGTGTGAAACATGCATACGGCCCGAAGAATGTTCTGCATCACCTTGTTTTATTTCTAATAAGAAAAGAAAATAGAAACAATAAAAAGTATGGAGATCCAAAAATACATTCTTCAATTAATTCACGTCATTTAAATGCACCAAAAGTTGAAGTAAATATAAAAACATACTGCTGATATTTCTGTAGCGTTGAGCCACTCCCTGGGGATGTGGAAGTGTGCACTGATGGAGTCGCCTAGGACAACCACGCCCCTCGCTTGGCTATCCTTGCAGTACAGGTCCTCGTATGGCTGGCCGCTGACGGGATCTACTCCCTAAGCACAACACATTAATGACTACAGCTGTACCACACACCAAAGACTATTAACAATGAGTACAAAACTCCCCTTGCTAAACCAATTACAACCCATCAATATTTAAACCAGCACAACATATTAATGATTACAGGAGTACAACAAGTGTTCAGTTTTCATTACAAAAAATGATCTGTTGTCGCTCCAGTAATCGTCGAGTATATTGCTAATGATGCAGGTTCTGGATTTGTATTGATTTTAAATGACGAAGGCTTAACATGCCTCATAATTTTCAATGCTCTAGGCTGCACCATTTCACAGCGTATTAAATATTGAAGGTTCCTGAATTCTACATTTTTTTAAATGCTGAACACTTCGAAAATCCAAATAATTTTCAATGTTAAAGGCATCTTAAACAAAAGCTTCAGAAATCAATATCATTTTAAAAGCATTTTCACTAAAGAAAGCGCTGGAAATCTTCATTATTTCCAATGTTGAAGTCTCCGAAATTCTTTATTGTGCTTATAGCTCTGGACATCCAGCCTTTTTTTGTATTTTATGCTGGATTCTACAACATTTTAAATGCCGAAGGCTAAAACAATCCATGTTTTGTCTACTGCTGACAGATAAGGACACCTAAAAATCTTTTTAATGCTAAAGGTTCCGCTAATTGTACATTATGTTTAATGCTGGAGTTTTCGTATGTCAATTTTTTTTTTGCAATGCTTACGGCTTCAGAAAAAATATATCTGTTTAATCCTGTTTGCTTGGAAACCTACATTACCAACGAAGGATCAGGAATCTGCACAGTTTTAATGTTAAAGGCTCCATGAATCTAAAATTCTTTATAATGCTGAAGCACCAGAAATTCGATGCGTTATGTATAAACTCATTTAGAAAAATCAGTCACTTTTGTAAAGAAATGGTAATTTATGTGCGCAAAAAACGTTTTTTTCTGAAAGGAACATGGATAATCATTGGTCCTTTCATAAATATTTGACCTTCCTTTTATCTGTACGTACCATGATACCATTGCAATTACTATCCTTGTCCCTGTCTGACTGGATTGGCCTACAAATGAAATTACATTGGATCAATTTCTCCTTCATAATCTATTAATAATAATATACAACATTTATATAGCGCCCTATATAATTTTTAAAATTACTCTAAAGCGTTTTACAACATATGGGTAATAATAATGGTTATAATTGTGGGGGGGAAAGAAGAAGAAAAAAGGCTAACAATCACTTTTATACATTTAAGCAAGCAATGTGCACATAATTGAACCAAATAAAAGGTGGTATTTACATGACGTCTGTGCAAGGATTCTAAAATGCAGACATGTGGAGGTGAGTTTTCATGTCTTTTTTTAACTTGGCCATGGTATTTGACTTTCTAATAGCAGACGGTAAGCTATTACACAACGTAGCCGAAACCCTCCCAAAGCATCTGTTTCCGTAGGTCACAGTACGAGATTTTGAGACACACAACAAAGATTCTGACTCCGACCGCAATGATCGTGACGGCTGATACAGGGTAACAAGCTCCGTAGGTACTGAGGAGCTGTTCTATTCAGTGCCTTGTATGTATACACCAGAATTTTGTACTGCGCCCTGTATCGTACAGGTAACCAGTGTAACGAATAAAGCACAGGTGTGATGGGCTCTCTTTTTCGAGTACGAGTAACTAGCCGTGCTGCAGTGTTCTGAACCCTCTGCAGACGACTAGTTAGTTTGTCAGATATACTACAGAGCAGGGCGTTACCATAATCCAACCGAGAGTTAACAAGTGAATGCACCAAAAACTTGCATGCATCTGCGGTTTTAAACTGCCAAATACAGCCGATGTTCCTGATCTGTAAGTAACAGGATTTGGCAATAGCGTTCACTTTTTTCTCCATGTTCAGTGAACTAGCAAAGTATACCTCTAGGTTTTTAACAGCTGGCTGTTACATACCTTGAGCTGGAGAGCCATTGTTTGCTGTTTGTGACACTTTGGGAAAAAGACGATTAGTTCCGTCTTTTCCTGATTAAGCTTAAGCATGTTGGCGTTCATCCAGATACTGATATCTGTCAGACAAGCTTTCAGACTTTCTGAGACTAAAACTTTTTATAATGTAAGTGCTTTACAAGCTAACGCTTAAATTCTAATTTATGCTGCTTAAATGTTACATATATCGTGAGTACATACTTATAATAACTTTGTAAAATACGCATGACTGTAAGACTATACTCCAAAAACATCTCACAACGACTAATGCAAGTCTGTTGCCAGGAGCTAAATTTATATGTAGTAATTACTGAAGAGTGATATTAAATGTACACTTAAGGTTCCATTTGGCTTCTTCATGACATTATAAAAAGTTTTAGTTTTAGAATCAAAAGAAGGGTTCCTCGATTACGTTTATAAGAAAAGTAATGTTTGCAATAATGATGATAAAAATGGCAGTATGCATCGTACCAGAACTGATGCAGTAATGACTACAGCACTATAGCTAAGTAGTTCCCTTCAGAAATGTATAATGTAGAAAGAGAAATTAAAGGTACAATGATAAAAATTATGAAAAAAACAATTAGCTAAAATTACCCATTAAGTATCTTCACCACAGACATACGAAGCATGTTATCAGGGAACATGATGATTTCAGACATGAATATTTTTTTATAATAATCAATATCTTTTCAATTACAAAAATATTCTCTAAGACTTACCGGCTTCCTGGGTGTATGTCTTTTCTAGAATCATCACAGTCCTTTCCCCTCCAAGAGCTCCCCCGCAGTGCCTACACACAATAATTACAGTTTAATACAAGCCCGGTATTCAGTAAAATTGTAATCATCAAAAATTACCAAAGGAACCTGACAAATACGAGTACACACCACTATTGAAATTCTAAGTAAAAAAATAACTTTTTGAATTTCTGAAAATGAAATTAACATATGTCGATAATTTAAATAACTTTTTTTTTTTTTTTATCTAAATGGCAGTTTGTTCTGTCTTTTACTAGTAGTATTTTAATTATAATAAGATTAAAATGGAAAACAAATGGAAAATTTATGAATCTGTTATTTGGATAAAAATAACCTACTGGTTAAATCCAACCCGGTGATCTGACGTATAAACTAGTTTTTTTCTGTCCGGACCTTTTTGATATTTATAGTTTCCAGATTTTCAATTACTCAATACGTCAAGCAACCGGATTGGACAAGAACAGTTTAAGTCCAACATAATGGTCACGTCAGGATCGGTTTGACGTAAAATAATTTATTTCTGTCTGGCCTTTACAAGGATGTCCCTCACTAATAATGTTGTTTTTCATACAGTTAGAGACATGTAAGTGTAAACATTGCAGGGCCCAGTTGAACTTAGCTCAAAAAGTCGTAAGCATCACTTTCATAAAAAGATTCGAAAATATTACATGCATCTATGTGTTTCCTTTTTTTCCAAATGATCGTTTTAAATACCTTAGAATTTAGTTTCAAATAAAAAAAAAATGAAAATATCCTGGATAATTTTTTAGCAATACATTTTTGCTCTCAACAACCGAAGCCTGGTTCTAATATACTAACAAAAATAATATACATAAGACAAGCATACCTGGAATGTACTGTATCTGTCACCATCCAAGTCAATAACAGGGACATGTTTGTCCAATATCCTGTTGGGATAGAAGTCGCCATCAGTAGCTGATACGGTGATATGGCTTTGCTTTCCTAACACATGATACTTAAGCATTGAACGTGCATTATGATTTGTTTGCTTGCAAAGCTGTGTCATTCAAAAAGATCATAAATACCTTACAGAAACAGTTCAATACTTATATTTACGTTTTCTCTGCCTCTTATGTTCTTTTTAGACTTATAATTTATATTTAAAATTAAAATTGTCCGCCTTATCGACAGTCCACACAATTTCGTTCAATAATTTGAACAGCGTATTGTCGCGTGCTGATTGGCAAACAAAGTAGTACTTTGAAATTTTAACACTTCAATTTTATTCCACAATTCAGTATCAATACAATTGCGTATGATATTTTTATGGGTGATTTAAGTTTATCAATAAAATTTGAGCTGAAAGTTAGATTTTGAATTGTCCTGATTTTTCCCCGGAACAAATTTCGCGCATGGATAAATACAGTAAACACCGTGAATCCGACCTTGACCTCCACGAGGGAGTTAATTCGAAAGTTTCTCTTTGTTCATTTTGTGAAGATTCCAGACGTTATTTGTTGATTGTATGGGAATCTGACTACAGTCGGTAGATTATATAACAGCCTCGTTATTTGACATGTCGTGATCAGAAACTGAGGAAACCGTGGCTGCGAGACGCGTGCAACTGATATCGTTTGAAGTGAGTGATCTTGCGACGGTGCACAGGGGTTCGTTACAAATGTCTGAGATGTTTATGTGTGATGTGACTCATATCAGTAGGTCTGTAAAATATGTGTCAGTAGGTCTATAGAATTTGTGTATTTCAGACATTTGTAACGAACCCCTGTTGATCAGTGCAGTATAACAGACGGTATTTCTGATAAATTGAAGGAGTTTCTATTGCCGGCATTGGTGATTTCAACCGATGTGCATTTTGTACGATATTGTAGACCTTGGTCTTGTTTTTGTTGTAATAAAAGAATTTTTTATTTACTTTTTTCTTTTGCACATGAATTTACAATGACATTGTCAAGTCTCACAATGCCCAGCGATATTTCAGCAGCCGTCATGTTTATTTACATTGGATATTGTAGTTCCGGTCAGTGTTGTATTAATACGCTAAGAATTGTGTCTCGTGATGCATGGTAAATAAGTCCCATCAACGACACAGCTTTCAAAGAGGCTATATATTGAAAATGTCATGCAAATGTAAATATATAGGTACCAAGTCACCATAGTTTAGAGGGAGATTAGAAATATTTTATTCTTAATTGTTTACTTCAATAAATGATCAGATTGCCCTTTTTCAATTCAATTATAATAATTCAATGTAAAAACAGCTTAAACTAGAGCATTTTGTACTTATATTTTGTCAAATTTAGTCCATTGTAATAACATTTTCTGAGTTTGCCAAATGATTTCTTCCCATGAACAATTTGAAACGCTGGCATGTATGCACATGAAATAAGTAACATATGTACTGAGCAGAACATTTATAGATCCATGGTACTTTTTGTTTAGAAATTTAAATGAATCAAGATTGTAGTGTGAGGAAAGCTATTAATAGAAGCAGATTTTTTTGTGTGAAGAAAATAAATAGAATCGGAGGCTTTTTGATGAGAATTTTATTAGAATCATTGTATTTTTTAGGATAACTTTGATAGAATTAGAGGTTGTTTTGTGGGAGAACTTTAAAAGAACCATTATTTGTTACTAAAATTTTAATAGAATCAGAAATTGTTAGGATAATTTTGTCAGCATCAGAGTATGCCTTTTGAAGAGGATATCAACAGAATCAGAGTTTATTTTTTGAGGGTGATTTTAATAGAATGAAAGCTTGTTGGGAAAATTTACCATAATCAGATATTGAGAGTATTTGGTGTGAAGTTTTTCATAGGTTTAATGTTTTATACTTTCAATTCCAAATAGTTGTTTGCGGGTTTGCTATAGAAGATCAATGCATGCTTAGTCTTTTAAAATACAATATCTAAGGCAATTAAACTTACTTGTCTATCCAATTACAAATAATTTTTATTCCAGGTAATTCACAAATCTTAGTATCTTGGTGTATCTGTGAATAAAAATAGTACCTGCATGGGTCACAAAATTTCTTAATTAAGGTATACAGTATCATTATGAATAACAACTTTAAATGTCTACATGTTTAAGGGGTTATTCTGTTAAATATGTCAACTCCATGATAGGATGCTGATAAAGGTGCTTCCGCATGGTACTGAACTATTTTAAAAATTCATGTACAATTTTGTTGTAGTTTCAATTGTTTTCATTTCTTAAATCATTATGCTGCAAGCAATTAACTACACATGTTGTCATTTATGTTGAGTACTATACCAATTATTATCAAATAACTTTTGTAAGGAATCACTTAAAACCAATTAAATATTTTTTATAGATATTCAATACAATCAGGAGTGTCAAGCGCATCTTATCCAAGATACCCTTTAGTACCACCAGTTGTGTAAGGGTATGCATGTGTGAGCTGGAGTTTGTATTGATATTTTAATAACTTTTAATAAATTTGCATAACCTACTGATCATGGTAAAGTGCCACTGAATAATACAACACAGGACCTTAATACCCAACGAAGACCTTATTATACTTCACTGATGGGATCGTAGTACACGGAAACAATGACATATATATCCCCCCCCCCCCTATCTGTAGGATACACATACCACCTAGCAGTCAACAGATTGGTTCATTAACAGCTATTTTAAGGGGCATTAAAATGTTGTTAATCGGTTGGTCGGGTGGTGCAGTGGATAGCGCACTTGTCTTTCACCAAGGCGGCCGGGGTTCGATTCCCCGATCGGACGTGAAAAGGTATGGGATTACCTGCCGTACCACGTGGGTTTTCTTCCGGGCACTCCGGTTTCCTCCCACAACAAGACCCCCCGCGTGCTAACATCCGGGCCAACAAGAGTGATTAACATAAGTTGAAATAACTTGTTTCATAATTGTTGTAAAATAAATTAAGTTTATATATATTATATGTTAATCGCAAAAAAAACTTACTTGAATCTGACCAGTGTATCCGCTTTATTTGAAAATGTAACATATAAACAATCTGTATTATTTAAAGTCAATAAAGAATTAAAAATATCTTGTAAACTGACCTGGTATGTTTCTTGCTTCATTTCGGAACTGAACAATTCTTTGAAGATTCCCGAATGAACATTTCGTGAACTCTTTAAAACAATGGGAAAAGAACAGGAAAAAACGGTCATTGAGATATCATAAAATATCTTAGGTATAAATCTACATACAACAGACTCAATGGGCCTGCATCGCTTACCTGGTATTAATCTCACACCTGTTACCTTAAAGCGGACTAAAGAATTAAGAGCTATAGGCTAAATATAATTTCCTATGATATGATTCTTAGTCATTCAAAAGAACTTGTATAAGTGTTTAACACATCTAACCCCTGTGACTTTTAAAGTGTGTCATGGTCATTCATTTTAACAAACTTGATATCTCTTTCTCCAAGCATGCAACTGGCTAAATATCATCAACCTATGACTTTTTTGGTAAATGTCGTCTTTCTTTAAAACAAACACTGTAGCTCTTCATCCCAGCATGCTGCTTGCAATTTTGATATGTTTCCTAGTTATTTAAATGCTTTTTATAACATTTGACTCTCGTGACTTTGAACATGGATGAAGAGCAATCATTAAACAATTTGATAGCTCTTTATCAGAGTATGTTACTGGCCAAATATCATCTCCCTGGGATTTGGGCTATTAGGAGAATGTAGTTTAAACATATAACACATTAGTCCATGCTACCTTGAAAGTGATCAAAGGCAATTCATTTTCACAAGTTTAGTAGCTCTTCATACCAACATGCTAGTGGCAAATAATAATTGCCATTGGCATTTTTTGTTATTCAGAAGAAGTTGTTCGAAGATATTTTTAATCGTTTGATCCAAGTGACCTTAAAAGTAGGTCAAGCTTATTCATAAGAACAAACTTGTTAGCCATTTATACCTGATGGCTACTTGCCATAAATCATCACCCGGTGGAATTTGGTTGTTCATAAGAGGTTGTTTGAAGATTTAACACATTTGACCCCTGTGACCTTGAAAATGGGTCAGGATCGATAATTTCTATAAACTTTTTAACTTTTCATCTCGGCATGCAACCAACAAAAAACATCACCCTGGGCACATTGTTATAAAGAAGAAGTTTTCTGATTTTTTTTTTTATCATTTGACCCCAGTGACTTTTGAAAATGGGTCAATGTCATCCATATGAACAGACTTATAAGTTGTTCATTCCAGCATGCTACCACCAAATAATCATCACTCTTTAGTTTTGGTTATTCAGAAGATATTTTAGGAGTTTTTTAATCGTTTCACCACCGTGACCTTAAAGATGGGTCACGGTCATTCATATACTAGCTTCATAGCTTCTGCAGACTACTTACCTAATGTTATCACCCTAGGAATCTGGTTATTGAACAGAAGCTAATACTTTCAATGTGTGAACCCCGTTACCTTGAAAGTCGACCAAGGTCACACATATTAACAAACTTGGGAGCCCTTCATTCCAGCATGTTGTTGGCCAAATATTTCCACCCTGTGGCTTTTGGTTATTGATAAGAAATCGTTTAAAGGAAAATGTTGACGCGGACGACGCGCCATGGCATTAGCTCACTTGGCTCTTTGGGTTAGTTGAAAAGTTACAGTTATTTGCTACAGGCTGTAAAACATTATGCAAAGTATATCCAATGATTTCAGTTTTTGCATGCAGAAACAGACTCCGAAATCCCGCCATACAATATTGGCAAATGTTTTTTCTTTAAGTTGAATATAAATTGTCCTTATTTTTAAGTATTTTCAAATACTCCTTGTACGTTATAAGTAAAGAAATATATCATTTAATAAACATTATAACGATAGGAACTATGTTTTAGTTACAACAGGCAGGCTTTTAGGATACACTCAGGTCGAATATACAGACCTAACCGAACCTCTTGTTGAAAATTGTATATTTAAAACCAGTTGTACATGCTTTTAAATACATGCATGTATAATTGATTGTTGCCTAAAACAAAAAACGTTCATTATCAAATGTTTTGAGCAAACTTGAATGTACTCTAGACCCGGTTTTTGGAAAGGCGCGGCATTCCTGCTTATCTGACTCGGTGTAACAGAATCTGATCTTATGGCAAAATGTATCAGGGTTGTCTTCTTCTGTGAATCTGGAAACGCAGTTACAATTAGCAAATATGTATTCTGCACAAGAGAAGGAATGTAAAACAAGTTTTTAGATTGAGATATGAAGTGTTCATAGAAAGATTTTACCAAATAGGAAGGGAGACATTAAGGATTGTGCCAAAAAAAACATACAAAAACTTTCTTCATGAAAACTCTTTGAAGAGGTCATTGGTTGATCCCATATATCAGGGTTAACATGGACAATGTACTTTGTTAGTGATGTTAATCAAAGGGGAGGTACACATAGTCTTGTCTGTTTGTGACCTAGCATTTATATTAAGAGACCAATTTTAACACTCCCCAATTGCAGCTGTTGTCATAGTGACTGAACCAGGAGATCACCAGCAATAGGAGACATGACTTTAAGGACTTAGAACTTTAAGAAGATGGTCTCTTTACATTTATAGTTTTTATTATATCATGAACATAATAAAACACATTCAGGAACAAAGTAAGTGTTATCGTTATTCTTATTTTATTGTTTACGGGGAAATCAAATTGACATGTAAATACCATGTGAACAATAATGTACTTATCATAATGAAAAGTTCCATCTTACAGATATCAAACTCACTAACAAAACTCACAAAACATTTTTTCTTTATGTATAATTAATATCGATTGTACGTATTTATAATTGAATTCAAAGACATATATTGTTTGAAACAGTTTTATAAATAGAAGTAGTTTATCAAAAATTAATTATAAGTTGTATAAACAATTTACCTCGCTATGAGAATTCCTCCAAAGAACTCTGTGAATATCCGACATTGCTGCCTGTATTTGTCCGGGAGGTAGTTACACAGTCGCTCCAGGGAATGTATGATGGTTTCATTGTGTATCACAGAAACCTGCTCCGTCAAAATCATGACGACCGTACATGCTGTCAAAAGATCATCAAAAATCATTTAAGTATACAACATCCACAATATACACCCATCTATAACCATGATTTTTCTTCTTTATTTTCTTTTCTTTTAAGAAGGTTGTGTCCCGGTGTTAAGAGGTTCATCTCCATGCAAACAGTCTCCATGACAACATGCAATCGGCCTACCGCATAGGACACTCAACTGAGACAGTGATATAGCTTCTGCATTGGATAACAAGTGCAGAGCGGTGCTTGTCATGCTGGACTTGTCAGCTGCATTTGACGTCATCGACCATGGCATACTTTATAAACGTCTGGAACACTCTTATGGAGTGACTGATACCGCACTATGCTGGGTACAGTCATACCTGAGTGAACGACGACAGTGTGTTGCCATCGGATCTGCCACCTCACATGGCAAAGTACTAGATTTCGGGGTTCCTCAAGAGTCTGTGTTAGGACCACGAAAATATTGTATGTACTCCAAACCGATTAGAGAGATTTGTCGTCGCCATAGCCTTCGCTATCATTGCTATGCTGATGACACACAAATTTACATGGTCATAAAACCACAGGACAGTTGGAATACAGTCTCAGAAAGTCTGGAAGCTTGTCTGACAGATATCAGTATCTGGATGAACGCCAACATGCTTAAACTTAATCAGGAAAAGACGGAACTAAACGTCTTTTCCCCAAAGTGTCAGCAAACAATGGCTCTTCATCTCAAGGTTGGTGCCAGAACTATTGAGACTGTTCCAGTTGTTAAAAACCTAGGAGTATACTTTGACAGTTCTCTGAACATGGAGAAACAATTGAACACTATTGCCAAATCCTGTTACTACCAGATCAGGAACATCGGCTGTATTCGGCAGTTTCTAACTGCAGATGCATGCAAGATTTTGGTGCATTCACTTGTTACCTCTCGGTTGGATTAGGGTAACGCCCTGCTCTGGGGTATATCTGACAAACTAACTAGGCGTCTGCAGCGGGTCCAGAACACTGCAGCACGGCTAGTTATTCGTACTCGAAAGAGAGAGCACATCACACCTGCGCTTTATTCGTTGCACTGGTTACCTGTACGATACAGGTCGCAGTACAAAATTCTGGTATACACATACAAGGCACTGAATGGAACAGCTCCTCAGTACCTACAGGAACTTGTTACCCTGTATCAGCCGTCAAGATCACTGCGGTCGGAGTCAGAATCTTTGTTGTGTGTCCCAAAATCTCGTACTGTGACCTACGGAAACAGATGCTTTGGGAGGGTTTCGGCTACGTTGTGGAATAGCTTACCATCTGCTATTAGGAAGTCGAATACCCTGGCCAAGTTCAAGAGGGACATAAAAACTCACCTCTTCACGTCTGCATTTTAGAATCTTTGCAAAGACGTCATGTAAATACCACCCTTTTATTTGTTCAATTATGTGCACATTGCTTGTTAAATGTATGAAAGTGATTGCAAGCCTTTGTTGTTTGTTTTCACAATTATAACCATTACTATTATCCATATGTTGTAAAGCGCCTTTGAGTAATATTACAAATTATATAGGGCGCTATATAAATGCTGTATATTATTTATTATTATTATAAGAATATTGTACATTGGATACTCAGTAAATGTTTTACCCATATCGGATGGCTTGATTTACAAACAAATAGATTTCTAGGAACAAGTACCAATAAGCAGTCCCGTGATACGTTGATTAGATAGTGGCATAACTAGATTTGTAGTGGCTTGATTATTGACCACCTGTATTAGTGGTGATATACTTTTAAACAAGGTCTTACTGCCATCGTTCTAAAATTTGCTTGTCTTGTATCAATATGAGTTATTTGTTTATAACAACAGTAAGAAGCCCAGCATATTTTTTTTTATCAATATGTGAAGTGGTTATAAGTATGTTTGCTAACATTTAAATAATAATAATAATAATAATATACAGCATTTATATAGCACCCTATATAATTTGTAAAATTACTCTAAGGCGCTTTACAACATATGGATAATAGTAATGGTTATAATTGCGAAAACAAACAACAAAGGCTTGCAATCACTTTCATACATTTAACAAGCAATGTGCACATAATTGAACAAATAAAAGGGTGGTATTTACATGACGTCTTTGCAAAGATTCTAAAATGCAGACGTGGAGAGGTGAGTTTTTATGTCCCTCTTGAACTTGACCAGGGTATTTGACATCCTAACAGCAGATGGTAAGCTATTCCACAGCGTAGCCGAAACCCTCCGAAAGCATCTGTTTCGTAGGTCACAGTACGAGATTTTGGGACACACAACAAAGATTCTGACTCCGACCGCAGTGATCTTGACGGCTGATACAGGGTAACAAGTTCCTGTAGGTACTGAGGAGCAATATGATATCCAATGTACTGTTGGATATTTTTTCTTTTGATTGTGTCCAATATATATAAAATAGCTAGTATCCATTAAAAAAGAGATCCTGCCATCGTACCATCTTCCTTAGTTCTAGTTCAATTCGATCTTTACTCTTCTCTTCTCTTATCAGTTGGATCGAGTCATGTAAACTTTAGGTAGCTTTCGATCATAACTCATACTGTTGTGTATAAATGACATCCCTAAAAGTGAGTTTGTCGGTTGACATGTTTACTAGTACAGTACTTGATGTAACAGAAATAGCACCACTCATTGCAGTATGAGAAAAATCTGTCGAGTACTTCCTGGGTCATAGTGATAATATTCTTGAACTGTCAAAATCCAAGAAACACGGCCAAACAGCCATCTTAAGTTTTATTAGTCACAAAATGAAACATATACTATACTTATGGTTTGGTATTGCCATCATTTTGATATTACAGTATTTTTGTAATCATTGCAAAATATATTGCGATATGTTGCAGACTTTTAAGAAAAATTGATACTTAAGGTTGATAAAACAATAACACATATATTCAGCTCAGTGTTTTGTCTGGCATGCCATTTACATGAATAAAAGTAAAATAAATTATAATATATTAGACAGTTCTAGGCAGATCAATTAATTTAATAGTAATAGGTTTCTCAACTGGATGATTACTTTGTCATTGTTTATACATTTTTTTTGCATAATAATGAGTGTACTTAAAAAAAAATAATCGTCAATTGCCTAAATGAAATGATAAGAAAAGAAAAAAATCCAAACAACATCAACTAGTATAAATATTTTGCATGCCCATGTTTTAGTAGATCTACCTGGCCGGTCGACCTAGCGCTCGGCTGTGACACAAAATACAACATCGATAGTACCACAGGTTTGAAGGGCCTCCTTGAAATACGACATACTGGAAAGTATCACAATGTAACGCCATGCCAAATTTGGCACGCCATACATACTATAAGTGGTTTACTCACAGAACAGTAGGTTTCTGGGTAAAGTTACATTGACAATTAATAAGAACTTAATTTGTAAGAAATTATATATAGTTTTGTTGTTATAAGTAATACCAGAAACCTGAATAAGAAATTACATTGTAATTTGTTTTAAATACACAATTAAAAGTGATATAAATCGTAAGTTTACAAGTGCACTAAATCATCAACTTAACATTTCATTGTCCTGACATGTATCATCGTCACACACTATTTCCAATATGACCGGTATTATGATGATATTGCACTTGATATAAAGAGAAAAATATATATAAAATGTGTGAAGGATCTGTGACGTACTTCTAGAGAAATTAAATAGACAATATCGGTATCACGATGATATTGCATTTTTCTACCACCATTGATAAAGGGAAACTTACATATAAAATGTGTGTAAGATCTGTCAAGTACTTCTTGAGAAATAAAATAGACAATAACGGTATCACGATGATATTGCATATTTCTACCACCATTGATAAAGGGAAACTTTCAAATGAAATTTGTGTAAGATCTGTCAAGTACTTCTTGAGAAATAAAATAAACAATAACAAAGTTGAACTGCAAAATTCAGGATGGCTGCCCGGTGGCTATCTTGTTTTTGTGATCAGTCTCAAAATAAAACATGCACAACGAGACCAAACGAAATATACACATGAAATTTAGGAAATTAAGGTAAACTGTCAAGGACTTTTTGAAAAATGATAACAATACTGAGCTCTCAAAATCCAAAAGGATAAGCCTAAAAAAACATATGCAACTACTGACCGAGAGAAACCAAATCATGAAATTCGAGAAACATCTTTCTAACACTTCTTGCGAAATAGCGATAACAATCTTGAACTGCCAAATTCCAAGATAGCTGTCTGATTTACTTGGAGAATGATCTGTTCAACCATTCTTGAGCAATTGATATAACAATTGTTTGAAGACGGAAAACGGACGGACGTATCTTGAGAAAAAGAAATAACAAAATAGAACTTTTAAATCAAAACTGGCTGCCTAGCGGCAATTAACAGTAATAGATCAATATCAAAATAATGCATGCACAATAACGGACCCACGGGAACAGTTAAATGAAATTTGAAAAAGATCTTTCAAGTACTTTCAGAGAAAAAGTGAATACAAACTTTAACTCTCAAAATTCGAGATGACTGCATAGCAGCCTTTTTGGTTTTTTCGATGAGTCTAAAGATAATACATGCAAATTAACGGACCGAGGGGAACTTTCACATCAAACTTGAGAAAGATCTGTAAAGTACTTTTTGAGAAAACTCTAACTCTTCAAATCCAAGCCGATCAGGCTTAAAATGATACGTGCACAACTTGATTATAGCCCACCAAAACAGACAAACCCTATACAAATCTTCTCTTTTAAGTATATCAATTATATAAACCATTTGATATTTTTTAAGATCTCAAAATAATAAATGATAGCATCTAAGCAATTCCACTCTATGTCCGCCACGCCTTTTCAAAACATTCATTTCATCAAGGCAGCATGATGGTATCAGCACATAAATTTAACAATATTTGCTATGCATCGAAAAAGGGATTCATATGCAGGATCAGCGATATACTGAAACGTATTATGCTATACAAGAGAATGACATTTTTAATTTAGAAATTACTGGATTTTCATTGGGGTTAAATTTCCTTGTTTTTATAATGGGGACAAATTCGTTGGGATAATATTTCGTGGAACTAGTATCTTAAAAGCCTGTTTTTTTCTGGTAAGTATGAACTTTAGATTGACAGGCGTGTCGACACAGTGGAGGTGAATAAAATACAGGTAAGACCGGGCGAGATTTACTCACTCGAAGGGTATCGGTCAAATCTATACACATACTGTATACTTTATAGACGTACATGTACCTTGTGTATCAATATAACTGTGTTACAAATGCAACGCTTGTTCGACATCCCCCCGTGACGATAATTACACCGTTAATCATGGCTTGTGTCTAGATGTAAATACACCATGGATTTGCAATAAAATTCATGGTTTATTTACTATTTTCATTTAGTTTATATTTCGAATCGTGAGTTTAAAATTTCGTTGGGATTATACGAAATAAACGAAATTAAATCTCCAACGAAATATTATGCTTTTATCATAATAGTATAATATAATAAAATATTTCAAAGATGTATTTTTGTTTATATAGTAAAGTTATAAACACCACATATCGATAGGAGTTTGTGACTTTTATGATATTGCAGCACAAATTCTGTTCAGTATGCAGAGAAGTTTTGACTAAGTCAATATTACATATGCACTTGAAATAAAACAGCTTGTGTAAATACACAGCGGAGAAACCGAACCGGGAAGTTAAAAATATTTACATAAAAGTAATTTTCATATTAACTTACCTGCACATGATATTCCACCATTTCTTCCTCTGACCATTAAATCTCCAATCCCAGTTGATAATGATGGTGAAGTCGCATAACACAATAACAGAAAAATAGAAAGTAGAAGTGCCCTGTACAACATGTTTGCTCGATTCCGAATCTTACGATAAGTCACAAGATAAGAATCCGAAATTTAATCATTCGGCAGTCTTCGGTGTTTTTCATTAAAGAGTGTTATAAGCTGTGCAGGGCTAATTCTACTTTGCCTGAAACCTCCATTCAATCATTTAAACCGGAAGTTTGTGAAGTGAAAGCAGAAGCCACCAAATATGACTGGTTGTAGCGGTATTTTATTATATAAAGTGTTAAGAAATAGATTGTAGATAAGTGGGGGAGAAAAGGTTATTCCTATGTATTTAATAGATGAAGGGAAACGATAACTGTATGTATAACATAAAGTTTAGTAATTAAAATGGTGTTTTATTGTCTTCCCTGATTTCCTTTCGTTGTTAAACAGTAATTTGATAAAATGATACGTATAAAAACAACCTAAAGCCATCAAAAGCGGATTCCTGAATTCAAACATTTAAAACAAGGCTTGTAAAAACAAATTTCAACTGTCTTTTTAACAGTGAATGAGTTGGATTAAATGTTTATTATCACAGACATATAATATACCAATTTTCACTTTTATTCAAACATGTTATTAAATAGGATTTAGTATCAAAGCTACTTTCAAAGACAGATTTTAGACATTTATTTACTATTCCAGATTGGTAATACACAAACATTTACTATCGCAGACAATGAACATTTGCTTATTGATTCAGACTGGTCATACACCTGTATGTTTTATCACAGACAGGTAATAATTTTTTTTTCTATTGCTGCAGAATGGTTATAAACTTGTGTTAACTATCACAGACATGCAAGAAACGTTTCCTTACTATTTATACATGGGTTTTTAGTTCTATTTGCTATCACTTACACGTAGGGGAAATTCAATAATTGTTTCAGACTGGTAAAAAGCTTGTATTGTTTGTTTTAATTTGGTTATACCCATGTATTAAACTAATACATACATATAACGAACAATCGTTGTTCCAGACTGGTTATTTATGTATTTATTATCTCAGACCAGAAGTAATGTTATATCTTTTTACTACATGTTGCAGACAAGTGATATACATTAAATCATCAGCTGCAGGTTCTTTCAAGTCTTACTGTGAGCGCAATGAAAGTGTAAACGATATCGGTTGACAAGTTCCCACGAATTTACATTGTGCACTGTTGATCGGTAATGTAATACGTTGATCGGTAATCAAGATTTTAGTAACAGTCAACTGTTCGGGTCGCCTCCTACTTTTTGATTGGCTGTTGAGAACAAGCAGTGACTGCAGAGTATACGCCCATTGTTCTGTCACTGAATGACTGACGTGGGAGAAGTTGGTTGGCGTGGCAAATTATTGGACAGCCAATCAGAGGACACAACTGGTCACTAGGTCCGTGGGAAAACATTTTACGTTCCGTTACGGAAGTAACCCAATCTGGATGATATTTTACAAAGGGAGAAAGAATTACTGATGCCGAGAAAACAAAAGTTATCGAACTATATTCTGCAGGGTTACCTTATTCTCAAATCGCAAAAAGTACTGGCATTACCAAAGGCTGTTGTTTCAAGATAACAAAGACATTTACTACGGAAAAGCCACAACGGGACCCGGTCATTTCTCCAAAACTTACCAACAAGGTACTCCAATTTATTGAGTACCAAAAGATTGCAAAACCTTCAATTTATGCGAAGGAAATATATGTGAAGTTGCTGGAGACCAACGTGTGTACTATGAACAACATTCCGAGTGTAAGAACAATCCATCACGCTTTAAAAAACATACTCGGGATGACGCACAAAGTTCTGCAGAGAATTCCATCGGAAACGGCGACGGATCAGTTCGAGAATAAACTCAACCGTTTCCTGACAGAATTACTGTTGTACAAACCTGAACAATTACATTTCTTTGACGAGGCATCAATCGTTAGAACTGATGGTAATCGGAAAAGGGGACATAATTTCCGAGGCGAGAAAGCCGTGGAAATCCAGAAATACGCAAGCAATGCGACTTTCACTACTAATTTGTGTACTGGGTATTTTGGAATAGATCATTTCGGAATAATTGAAGGTCCGTCTAACGCGAATATTATGTTACAATTCTTCGACGAGGCAATGCAAGAAATGAACATTGTTGGGAATCCAGTGTTAGCTCTCGGTGACTGTATTGTCATGGATAACTGCGGCTTCCATCACCAGCGGTTCGGCGAAGCATTTCTACGGCATATGCTAGGTATTCGAGGAATAAATCTAGTATTTCTGCCCCCTTATTCACCTGAACTTAACCCTTGTGAATATGTCTTCAAGTTAATGAGAGATCGTCTCCGACAAAATACCGCACTGACATATGAATATACTGAATATGCCGTCGTTAATGCTGTCACAGGCATTCCGGATTGCATAATGCCAAAATTATTTACAAACTGCGGATATGTTTAATTCAATGTACATCTAAAATCAAAAGCATTTGAACCATGCTGTAGACATATATTTTATATGTTTGGAAATTACATCATGTTTATTGAATAAATTAAACATCATGTTTATTGAATAAATTCCCCTATCTTGTTTATATGTTTTGCTCAATCAATCTGACACAACATATTTTATTATGAACCACACATGCGGTCTCATCGCAAGACAACAAAAATGCTTTCTATTTCCAAGGGTCAAAATACTCAAATTATAACATTCAAATTTGAATTGTATCTAGAATATGTTATTTTCGATTATATGATACTTGATGTAATTGTAGTCTCCTGGATTGCAGATTGAATTAAAGTGGTTCATAATTACAAGTCGAGAGAAAGAAATTCAAATAACTGATATAAAGGCTTTTAGCAAGGAAGAACAAACACCCTAGCCAGTGTATAAAATATCAATATAGGCAAATGTTACAATCAACAAGAGGCCCAGTATCGCTCTTTTGTTACATAAAGCTACTGGCCTTTCAGATCTTCAGAAGTCGTAGACCTTTCAGATCTTCAGAAAAAGTCGTATGAAGGTTTTGACCTATTGGACCCAGTGACCTTGAAAGTAGGTCAGGGGATTTTCCTTCTCAAACTTTGTCCGGGTCCATCGCAGGACTCGAGACCTTTTGGTTCTTCAAAAGAAGTCGTTTGAAGAAAAAGTTGACGGAGGGACGACCTGCCATTGTGTGAGCTCACTTGTCCTTTGTGCAGGCGAGCTTAAAAACTACATACTAAAAAGCATGCATCTCCTTATTAGCAAATACTCTGTATGCACAAAGATTACTATTATTTTGCACTTTGTAAATTTTACTATTGACCTTGATGTCAAGATCAGTGACCTAATTACCTGTGGGTGATTCAAATATACTTGGTATATCTTCATGCAAAGGGGAGGCATAATAAAAGAACCAGTAAGTAAACTCTGTGGTATTGTAAATAGAAGAACACATCAGATCAGAATGATAAAGTCAGCTTATTCTCTGCTAAATCATTGGTTCTCTCATATTCAGATGACAGGTTCTCTCAAATTCAGATGACAAAGTAAAAAATGTTACCAAGACACTTAATAAAACAACCCATATAATTATGATCTGAATCCGGAACAAAAAAGGAAGGTATTGGGAATTAAAACTCAAAATAGACCAGTTTGTTACAGTAGAAATTCTCAACATATGGATTTGAAACATGAAATCAGAATGTACTTTAATGTTTGATAAAAATACCAAAACAAAACCCAAAGTTGTAAAATTCTGTAATCCATATATATATAGGTCACAGCCATAGTTTTGCATATATATATATATGGTAAAATTGCATATATATATATATGGTAAAATAATGTAAAAGCAGGCACAGGAACCTTAACGCCAGGAGGGGTCCCAATTATTTAGTAATCACCAGGCCCCTGTGATTGCAGATGGAGTATATACAAACTGCATACAACTTTGGTAATTCTTGGTGGAAGAGTATTTGAAGCTCTCGACAAAGTGACAGATGGATGAAGTACATTTCCTACAGTAGTGCTGATGTGCAGATCACAACAATTTTATGATTAAGCATGCAAATTAAAAATAGTAAAATATGAATTTCCGGTCAACCATTTAGAACTTCTTTTCTACTTGCCCCCTTTTTTTCTGTCCTGTTATTTATCTACATATACACAAGATCACAGGTACCATCAAACTTCTTTTTTAAATTACCTGGTTACTAAGTAAAGTAGGTCAAAAAGCATGGCCACCAGGCATAATTAAAACTTATTATCTGTATATATATATACATTATAAAATGTATAGATAACTGTAGACCAACTAATCAAAACACAATAATGGTTTATGTCGATAAAAGTGTTATGTGATCATTTAAAGTGTTATTCTAAATTTTTTACTTGTGCACAACTTATTAACTGTAAAAAAAATCTTCATAGGTTGACCGAAAATACATGTTTTACCTTAAAGAAAAAAACGGAGGAAAGTTTCTTGGTATGTAGTACTTTATTTATTGATACCCGCCTCAAAAATACATTTAGTTGTAAACAATTTGTAGAGTTTTTTCATTCGTTCAGTTATGATATTACTATTAGTTTGAAACCTCTCAGATTGATAGTAATTTCTATGCAATTTCTAAAATGTTACTTTGTCTGTTTCTCAGACTACCTACAGAACGGATAAGATAATTGAAATGATGAATCATCTTTAGGCAGAACTTTATATTACTGTAGGTTGTTTAAACCTCTCACATTCAGTAATTTCCAAAATGTTATTTTGTCTGTTTCTCAGACATGGTCACAACCTACAGAATTGAAAAATAATTAAAGTCATTCATCATCTTTAGGCAGAGGTGGGTTAACTGGATAGCTAGGCGGAAGAGGGGGGTACACACTTTCCATATCTCTAGGTAGAGGAGGAGACGTACTGTCCTGCTCACTGGTAATTGTGGATGATGGTTCTACAAATCCGATGCTGGTGGTACTGAACGATTGACGGTATGGTGACCAGGGCGTGTAATTCCCGTACATCCCAATCTGACCTGGGGGCCACATCGGCATAACAGAGCGTGGGCCTGGACATGGTGGTGTGAAGTTCCAGGCGCCTGATGTCGAAATAACTGGAAGAGGGCTTGGTGACGTGGGGGTTGATATAACGGGAAATAGTCCCGGGGCCCACGCTGATGTTTCGGAGGGATACGAGGACTTCATTGGAAGATTCCACGTCCGAGGAAATGTTGATCCAGACCCAGACGGAACTGAATTTTCCGACAAATAAAATTCACTTTCTTTTTCATTAAACCCACATTTAACAGATATTTTATCATTTCCTGTAGCAATCAACTTTTCCATAGAATGTCGAGTAATTATTTCCGGTATTTTTCCACCTGTGGCCGTTTTGATCAGACGTAAATCTCTCTGCAATACCTGTGTGCCATCTTTGTTTGCGTACTTTTTGGGGAACATCGCCTTTAACCTCGGGCGCATGGTTCCGATAAAGCTTGAAGCATTTTGTGCCAAGAACGTCCTCATCGTGTGCAACTGTGTGCTTTCATCTTTCAGCGATTTTTCCAACGCTGTGATCTCCTTTTCAAGCTGCCAATGAGAAAAACAAAACACGAATTATTTCACTAAATTACAGATTTTTTTTCCAGAACTGAATGCATCCTTACCAATAATTATGTAAATCTTTAGACATTTACCCGATCTTGTACTGTTCCAGACCCTATAAAACACGCATTAAAAAAGATAACACCATAAAATCTATTTAAAAACCGGCGAAAATAAACAAACCCAAAATAAGCATGCAACATGAAGAATTGTTGTTGATTAAAAGCCGTATTTATCTACAATATATTCCAAACTAAATTAATTTCTAAATTCAGAACGAGTAATCTAAATCATAACTCACGTTTTTAACATTACGGTAATTAATACTTGAAAGAATTAAATATAAAGGAAATCTAATGACATTACAGAGACAGCGTATTGTGATATTTTAATTTAATTCAATTTTGACAAAGACCGCTCAGAAGAAGTTCAGATTTCAGATAATTTGTTTATAAAACTATAACAAAATCTCGAGCCGAAGTTTACACATTTTCCGGCACAATTTGATATTTAGTTGTTGGTTATTTATATTACATATTGCTGTGTAAACCAGCTGCAACGAAAATATATGTAAAATGTTTCTGATTTAATAATTGAAATACAATTACTAACATACTAATTTACATTGGTGTAGTCTGTATATTTGCAGGCAGCTTTACAACTTAAATTTGTGTAAAATACAATTTTGTACATTAACATGCTTAGTTGCCAGCCTTCTCACGGCGAGAAATGCGCATGCAAATACATCGTAAAATACACGGTCACATGTGTAAATCTGTTCGTTTATAACGAATTTGCAAAAAAAATAGATCGGAAACTGCACGTTTCATAGACAAATTTCTGACACTTGTGAAAATATGAAATGCATACATGTATATATATTACATAATTGGAAGTGTGTTTACCAACCTCGCCAAGTTCAGCCTTGAAATCTTTATGTTTGCTCAACAATCCACAATAGTAGTAGCCGTCACACGCCATGTAAGGACACGCTTTGTTGCCACGATTCCCTGCTGCCCGATGACCTTGGTGATGACAATTATCGCAGACCACTTTTATCACACAACATCCGGGTATGGAGAGAGGCTTCGGAAGAACTGGACACAACTTCTTTGTTTTTAGTTCATCTTTTTTTTCTGTTATAATCAAAGTTATTGATTTTTGATTTTCCGTTAAACGTTCTATTTCCTGACAGATAAACCCGCTATTTTTGTCAGTTTGTGTATTTGTAGGCATGTCATTATTCTCCGACAACTCACAATCGGGGAATAATCTCTTACCACCTCTCTTTTGGTGGTCAACACCCCGCTCCTCCCGACAGAAAGGGCTTGTCTTTGCCTTCATAGTTTTTTTAGTTTCCGGGGTCTGCAAACTCAAAATCCGTTCAGTTAACATCCGCTTATACACATCAGGTATACTCATTTCAGACACCTCACGCGGACGTAAATATTTCAGGGTCCGTTCGTTCGTAACACTTCTCATATATAGCTCCTGCTTATAGGTCAATAATCCAGGGTCTAGCGACTCAATAAAATCGTCCATTTCGGGAGATCTAGAAGCCATGCTGATTTATCAGTCTCACGTTACAGATCATGAATGTTAGACCGAACTCATGTACACACAGTTGTGTAGGATGGCGCGAAAACAATCAGTGCCCCGCCTACATTGACCTGAATCAGGAACAGCCAATGAACTCTCTTTGATCATCACTTGGTTCAAAACCAATTAAGGGGTGACACTGAGTGTCGACTTTACCTTCAGAGAGAGTTGTCAACTGATATCGTTTACACTTGCATTGCGCTCACAGTAAATGCATTGATCACTGGACATAATCATGAGGGGATACATTTGTATAGTCACCTTTAAGATATTTCACACAAGGCAGATACATGGTAACATCATGCAATTGATTACTACTTATATATAAAATTAAATGGGGAAAAAATCAACTAATGAGATAAATAAAACCTTATTTTCCATTTTAATCTAACCTATCTGTGACAATAACAGTAATGGTGAAAACAACAACATTGAGGCTTACTGGAACTGTTCCAAATTTTTTCAAAGCAATTTCCACATCATAGTCCAGCAGTCAAGCCTATTTCTTTGTTTGATGCACATCTGGCAATGCAATGTGATATGTTAATATGTATTTGTTCACATCATAATACATGTAGCAAACATTAAGAATGTGTGTTCCGTAATTCATTTAGTATCCTGATATGAAGCTTTTTTTGTTTTTATTATTCGATGAATCTCATACGTCTTTCACAGATATTTTTAAGGCCAATTGTTTTTTTGTCTGTTTAGGGTTGCATGGGCAAAAAAACAAGGGTAGGTAGGTCGATTTTTTGTGTGTGTTTTTGTTGTTGTATATTTTTGTGTACCGTATGGTCATGTGATTATGACCCTACTAATGTATGTAAAACAAAGAATTACATAACCACGGTCCATTTGGAGGCAAATTGTGCTCCATATGCTGACATTTAGCGCCAACACGGAGCTGGAAGCCATTTTGAAAGGCAAGGATCCTTCTAAAATTCGAAAATCAGCGTTCTCATTTTTTTTTCATCAAAAAGTTTTGGGTCAGGGGTAAAAAGCTAGGGTCGGTCGGGAACCCTAAACAGACATTTTTTTTATTTTTGTTTGGCCTAATAAGGGTAATAAGTGGCTTTTGGATTGTGTAAGGTACATGTAATAAAAAAAAAAACATGTGAGATTCCTTTTATTGAATTTTACCGTATGTGATATACAGGGATATTTGATATGACCTTATTTTTTATTATAAGATATAATCCTTATATCTTGTATTAGTGTTGATTAGGTTACAACAAAAATTGTTAATGACTTTGAGTCATAAACCTATATATCACAGTCAGATATATATACCGTACAACAGGAAAAATAAACGGCTGTGTTTCATTGGATTAAATGTGTCCAGATCTCTAGCTGACATGTAAAGCATGTCAAGACCTCGAAATATCTTTCGGAAGTATTTACATTGCCATGCTTGTTAAAGATTTATGCATTTATTTCACACGGTGTTGTGTCTTTCTTTACCAACACACCTTGGTGATGCCCTTGAAATCGTTTTAAAGCCCGTACTTTATTTACATCTAAGTATGCCCACACTTAACCGGTCATTTTACTGATACAGGTGACAAAATACACATCGTATAAGTTATCGAAATATAAAGCATAAACATATCAATGGTCGTCCTAAAAGGAAATACAATAAGCATTCATCCTGTTTACCTTTGTATTGTAAAGTGAAAGAGTCCAAGAACGTTGGTAGCCCACATACTTAATTGGATTGACTAAAACATCACGATACGTGCCACTTGTGGTGCAGAAAATATTTACCTGTGTACACTTTGTTTCACTTCCGTTTCAGGATGATTTTCCATTTTGAAGTTTTGAACTTCCAACCCATGTAAGTTTTATAATTTGATATTTATGACGCTAAAAATTATATATTTTGGCTTTATATGCCGAATTTGTCGTTGTGGTGACTATACTCCGATTTTGCCAACAGACTCATTTGGCTACAGACTTTGTCTTTATGAACAGCCCTGTTATCCCCATGTCTTGTATAATGTTCGTGTATATGGCATAACTGCAAAGTGTGTTCCAGCGCAATATAATTTCTCAAGAATTTACGTGAATAAAGATATAATAGGTGACAGTTCATAAATAGCGCTTTTTTAATTGTTTTAATGAGGAATTTCAAAGAAGACGATATATCACAGAGTACAAGATAATGATTACAAGACTTCATGGCATATTAAGAAAACAATTGAGCATTATTTAAAATGGACATATATAAAATATTCATTAGATAATAAAAGAAACATACTCAGATTTGTAAAAAGTATGATCATCCAAAAAATTAAAATAGAAAACATTAAGACTTTATTTGTGTTTTTTTTCTATACATTATAAGAATATATAACGATGTCCAATGAACTTCATTTCATTTCATTAACGAGGTAAAATATTTAATTGGTCGAATTAATATCAATTTTGAGTGAATCAAGAATATGATTTCAAATACCTATTTAACTCATCATAAACATGTTTGTATCAGATAAGAATTAAATAGGGTTTTATTAATACAAGGTAATCAATAAACATTAATAATGACTTAACAAATCATACAATATGATTCAAAAGGTAAGGCACTTTAGATGATTAATTTCGAATCACAGACTAATGACAAGCTAAACAGATCTGCACACCTATAACAGTATTTTCCAATTATAACATATATCTTACATGTATTAACATTGTTTCTGACCCATTGTAACGTATAACAGATTTTCCCACAAAAACATATAACCTACATATTTTAACCACAGATTCCCGTCATGAAATGAGGCTTAAACATAATTACCCAGCAGTTTCCCTATCATAGGATCTATAACTTTCACATCTTTACATTTTTCCTTATAATGTGTTACTGACAACTGTTTACCCAGTTTTCATAAAATATATATATATATATTTCGCATTATAAGATATATCAACATGCCTTGTTTTTTCCTATCGTATTGACTAACGTTCTGTATTTATCGAATGTTCTAATTGTAACATATAATGCATATGTATTAACCAAGCTACAAAAGATGCTCCATTTTAGAAGAAAAAAGATCCATATGTATAGCTGCCATGTACGCAAATTAGAAATTATATGAATATTAAAAAATCCAAAAAACAATCTCCTATATATTAAGAGTTTTACATATATTGAAATTCAGCTATCCAGCTATGTAATAAATATTGGAATTAAATCTTTTAAAGGAATAAAGCTATAACATTATTCACGTAAACTGAACTTTCATAATCAGAACATTGGCTTATTGCCGACAATATTATTGTCTGGGCCATATAATCATGCTTTATTTGATTTCCTGCTCATAACAAAGTCATGATTTTATCCTAGGTCAAGTAATTGGCTCTTCAACTCCAGTTTAAACATGTACTAGATTATTAGTGATATTTTATTCAGCTGCACGACATAACATAATAAGTCTATAACAAAAATATGTCTATAGCATACACATGTCAATCACGTTTATGCTAAAGTAACCAAGTATTGATCTGAATCAAATTGTCCACCTTTACAAACTTAACTTGTATATTTCTTATAAAATAATGTCACTTTAATGGACATAAATACATAAGTACATATCAAGTATGAAAATATAATATCTGGTACCAAAAATTTCATATACAAAAATATATCCCTCAAAACGATACCATATTGCAAAGCATTATCTTAATCTTCTATGGAAATAATATTAAAAATGCAGTTTACTGAGTTCCTCTTTTATTACAGTGTATATAACGTCTCACATTTTCGATTGTGAACAGTATAAGTAATTTGGCAAGGAAATAACGTCTCACATTTTGGATTGTGAATAGTTAAGATATTTCGTAATGAAATAACGTCTCACATTTTATGATTGTTAACAGTTGAAAAAGATATTTGGAGAGGAAATAGCATGTCACACATTTTAGATCATGTACAGTAAAGAAGATATTTGGCAAGGAAATAGCATGTCTCACATTTTAGATCATGTACAATAAAGAAGATATTTGGCAAGGAAATAGCATGTCTCACATTTTAGATCATGTACAATAAAGAAGATATTTGGCAAGGAAATATTTTGGATTGTAAATAGTCAAAAAGATATTTGGCAAGGAAATAACAATGGAACGACCAAACAGCAAACTTTGGTAGTTGGTTAGAATATAGATTAACATATTAATATATATTTATCACAGAAAAATATATGTATCACTTTGGGTGATATTGCACATGCTCAGTAGCCTCCTTGATCTCCAAAAATGGTTTTGATCTTGGTGTTAAATGGGTTGATAGGACCGATAGCATCGGGATATTCAGTTTCCAGGTTCTGCCATAGGACTTGCCCTGTGAGTGCTTGACCAAGCTAATATAGAAAATAATACTTACATAGTAAAAAATGTATTATTGTAGCCTATTCAAATTGTAAGTAAAGACTTCTTTAAAGACAATGAAGATTCTTATAAGAATTATATTGTTGGAAACATAGATCATAAAACCAAATTAACGAGACACGTTGTGTGTCTCCCTCATTAAAGTTCTGTTCACTTGAAAATGTCCGTTCCAGATGATTATCTTTTATTCACCTTATTCCAATATATGTTTTGAAGAAAAATCTTACTGTAAACATTCCTTACCTGATTTGTATGAAAACCATCAACTGGTTCTATCAGCTCCCAAAGTGGACGTCCAAGTTTCTTCCAATACTCAACAACTATAATATTACAAAGTATGAATAAGGTTATGGAATTAATCACAGCAAATAAAAGTTGAAGGATCACACTACCATAAAATAGGAGGTCAAATATCACACTACCATCAACTAGGAGGTTAAATATCACACAATTATCAAATAGGAGGTCAAGTATTATAATATTACCTAATTGAATACAATATCACATTGTCAACACATCCAATTTCCAAAACAAAAAAACAAAAGACAACACTACCAAAAAATAATAATATTTTGTTTACTGCAGCCACATCACCACTTACAGGTAACCGGTAGCTGTTTATCTTACCACATTCATGTTGTAGCTTGGTCTTACAATTTAGAATTATAACACAAATATTGATATAAAAGTCATTGTATTGTACCTTGGAAAATAGGATTTTCCACGTAGGCGAGTTTAAAATTGTGGTACTTGGCTGCCTCAGTCAGTGCCACCTCCTTCAGTACATTACTCAGCTGCTCGGCTCTCTGTTATCCAAACGAAAATCAGCCACCAATTACCAAAAGGCTTCGTTTTATAAGCATATTCTTGTCAATTAAGAAAAAAAAAACCCCAAAAAGACCAGTTTTATGTGCATGTTCTTGTGAATTCAGTTAAATTTCAAACAAAAATGCCCAATTTTATAAGCACGTGTTTGTGAACTCAGTTTAATTATAAACACTTGTAATGAACAAATTAGTTAACATTCTCATATTTCTGTCTCATTAGTATTTATAAAAAATTACCTGTGTTGTCATATTTCTTACTGTCTCATTAGTATTCATCCAACCTAGGCAAGGAGATATCTGTATTAAATCAAAAACACAATATTACTACCTATTGTCGTTCTTGAAAGAAATTGATTTTTACTTTTTAGGCATTGTTTTATCATCAACTACTCAATCAACTTCAATTAATTATTCTATAAATCAAATCAATGATTTGATACAAAATTAAGTAAGAAATATATAAAGCTTTTGAAATATTTCCTTGGTTAGAGTGAAGCGTAGAAGTATTGTGAAGCACTTAAGATAAGTCAGTCGGATATGAGACCTAAGTATGCTTGGAAGGGTTCAGTGGTTCTAATGCTTCAAAGTCTACCAGGAATTGTTTCGATTTTAAGATATTTCATATATAAAGACACAGATAGTGTCAAAGTCTCTACCTCTAAGCAATTAAAGTAATCGTAAAAGTTGGAGTAGGTGACGTCATTCCTGAGAGAACCAATGGGATGGATTCTATCCTTTAGACCTTCAAAGAGGACCCTTCCGTCTGCCAAACCTACAAAGAAAACGTGACTTCCAGCGGGCAATGCCTTCTCCTGTGAAATGAAGTGAAAGTTTTAACACTGATAATCGTTGGTAACACGTGTTAAAGTGAATTATAAAAGGAGACTATCGTGGATTAACGATGATATACCTTAGAAATAATCTACATTTTAGCTAAAATTATAAGGATTCACGCATTAAGAGAAATCATACTTGGAAAATTAGCAAAATTCACCAAGCATAATCATATCGTTGGAAAATACAGTATATCGAATAGGCCCTACCTTAACGAACTTAATAATCTTTCTGGCGACTACCACTTTTATTCTAATATTAACTTCATAAGTATGATGATATTTTACCCCACGGTGAATAACCAGCCATTCCTTCTAATGGAATTTACCTGTCATGGATGATTAGTTTAACTAATTATTTATTTATGTATCTGGCTGCTCCGAATAGATGTGTATTTAAGAGGGTTTTCCACAAGAAAGGCTTCAACCTACACTGATGAAATAGTATGTTCGTCATCATTCTAATTATAGGACGTCAGTGTCTTCCACAACCAGGGGACATTACGGCGGTTGCCACAGATGGTTCAGAATATGCAGATACATATGGAACGACTGGTTTCATTTTTTGTGTGGGATATAAAGATGTCTTTTGCTGTGTTGTCTGGTCGGTTCCTGCCGTTATCTTTAGTAATGGATGTGTATTTTTCTTTTACTTGAAAGGGTTTTTACTTCATGTTTCTTAATTATGCAGTTGTAAATCAAGGGGAAATATCACATCGAATATTGAAATATATTATAATGTTTAAATATTTAGCCTTCATAACTAACAATAAAAAGTACTATTTTTATATAGGACCATCTCTTACATTAAACAACAGCACTGGTATTGACGGAGATTCATTGAAAGGTAAAATAAAACAACATATAACATGCCATCAGTACACATTGACAAATTCGTAACTAAAGGTCAAGAGGAAAGTATGACTTGATAATACTGTAAAAGTAAAGTACTAAAGAAATATCCTTACCAAAAACTGTAAAGTTCTAATGGAGTTGTTCTTCATTTCCTCTGGGGTTGTCATGTGAGCAAATGTGTCTGGATGACTGAATAAGGTCAGTCATGTGTAAAATAAACTTTTTATATATACATATATATAAACAATGTATTACTAGCTAAAGAATCATGTCTCACTGCAAGTGAAACGCTAGGGGATTACATTAGTTTTTTTCTTAGATGGAATACCTACCCTAGATTTCCTTTATGATATAATAAATGCGTCCCAAATCCCGGTTTAGGCCCGTTGCATTTTACTCACACAATACTATGGTTGAGTTTAATCAAATATTCATACAATTTGTATATATTTTATTTCGCCTTTGTTATTTCTTTAATAAAAGAAAAAAGTGTAAATGAGAAACGTTGGTTGAATTTTCTCCACTACATATGTTAATAGTAAAAAACATAGGTTATAATTTTCTTTTCGGATACGATTTATACGATCCTTTATATCTAAAGTAAATAGTTATAAGATTATTTTAATTTCTTATAACAAGCGTTACCATGATGATCAAAGTATCTTTAAATGTGAATTTTAAATGAAAGTAAAATATAGAAGGCATTTTCATGATACGCTCTGCTTTGCAAATATCATTCACATTTAGAACACCATGTGTTTGTAAATTTGATTAATCTTCAAGTTGTAAACAGATCGCGTTACAAAGGTTTATATTATATCCGATATCCCTTTAAAGAATACAACGCTTTTCACTCTTTCTTTTATAAATATTTTAATGGTAATGAACACTCTTCGTGACTAAATCCCGACCACCATTAATTGTGAAACTGTGGCTATACCTACCCGTTAATTGTGAAACAGTGGCTATACCTACCCGTTAATTGTGAAACAGTGGCTATACCTACCCGTTAATTGTGAAACAGTGGCTATACCTACCCGTTACATGTGAAACAGTGGCTATACCTACCCGTTACAAACATCGTTTCCAACCAAGGCGTAGAACAGAGTGACAGGATTGTCTGTTGTCTGGTTACGAAAAAGGCTACAAAATAATTGGTGAAATTGGAAGCATATCGAGAACTTTAAATCTTCAAAATAATCTACATAAATGCACACATAGAAAGCATAACCGACACCACACTATGTTACTTTGACACGAGAGTTTTTTCATATTGAGATTGAACAAGACATATTGTATTTGTGTGATTGTTTAAATATTTCTATTTTGACATGACAATTACAGATATGTCGACAGTCACACACACTTAATAACAAGACATAATTAACTGGATCTAAAGCTAACTCACTTCTTATAAAACATATAACATTTCAAAATCCCTTTCCATACCTATTTTCAGTGATTTTATTTTTTTTTACAAAAAAGAAAAATATTGAATTGGTGACGACCAATTGTAAGTCTTTACCTTTTCTCGATTTCGTCAACCATTGACCCTGATCTGGCACCTGTGAAAATCAGATTGCTGCTGTTGTAATAATGAGTATCAATTTAAGTTGCAAGTGATCATCGAAATTGGTCTTTCTGCAAGACTTAGTAATTTTGACCACTGAACCTAATTCATCAAAACCCATAAATGTTATATGTAATTCACCAAATACATCATGATGCATTTGTGATATGAATCTTCCTCTATTAACATGCATTTTTGGTTCATGAAAATAACTAAACATGTCAAATAATTTGTACGTAATGGTGCCTTTCAACATCACAACTCACCATTGACAGCAATGTTTTGGTAATCCCTGTGGTTACAGCGGTTCCTCTGCCACAGATAGTCATAGACCGAGTTCATAGGGCCATGGTTTACATTGGTGTAAGTGTTGTTCATGTAACCTGAAAACACAATTAAAAATATGTATACCATCAACTTTTGATAACAGAAATGTCTTTACCCTGCTGGTTATTTAAAGGCAGACACAGTTACCTAGCAATTCTAATGAAATTAATTTCATCTTGGGATAATCCCTGCTTTGTAAATGTAAATTTTAGGAAACTCATTTAAAGAACATTTGATCATAAAGCATCACACTTAAAATTCAAAATTATCAAGCGTTGCTGATAATTAAAGATATGCTCCGGACACACAAATATGCGCCAAAGATTACATATTTTGGGTGCCGTTCCAATAGATGCTAGAATTGTTTTTAAAATAAGAATTTTAAAGGAAATATCAAAGTGCACCTCTTCAATGTGTTTGATTTATATGGGAAATTTGGAAATTAAGTCTTTAACGGTTTTTTTAAGATATGGTCCTGAAACGGTTGTTCACAGACGGGACCTGTTTATATATCCACCGTTAACTTCACGATGGGTAAAATGCTGCTTTTTTTACTGTACAACTGTCATGTGTTTCGATTTGATCATATGATATGTTTATAATAACAACGTTCATTTTCATATTTTATATGTATGTTAGAGTGGTCAAAACCAGCATGTTTTAGCTGTTTAAAACAGGATATGTAGAATAAAATAAGCTACTATAAACAAAGCTGATAACCAAGTTATTATCTCATCAGAATCCAAACGTTCCCTAAAACCTCATAATAGATAATGTTCATATCTACAGCTAACAAGTAAATTCGCTCACTAACCTATGTTTTAGGGCAGTTTTGATAAAAAATGCATTCGTGAAGACTTAAAACTGCTTTTTCGAAAATGATAAGTTAGCATTCTTAGGACATAAAAAAACCGGAAAACGTGGCAGATAACATGCGACATCGTAAAGAGGTTTTACCTGTGATAGAAGACAATTCTGGCCAATCAAACTCATTCTCCAAGATGAAAGGTAAAGGTTCAAAAACTACCTATATAAGAGAAACAATTCAATCAAGATAAATACTTTTAGAACAGAGGCGTTAAACTACCTGGTTTAATGACACTTGGTATTTACCTGTTATTTAGGTCATTAATCAAGCTTGATGTATCAATAACAACACATGATTATAGCTCATACTTATACTGCTTACACATATAATACGTATGCTATGATAATGTCAATATATCCATGGATATTCATACTTGGATACTTATTAATGTGAAAATGACAGAAACAGGCAATGAAATTTTAAGCATCATTTAAATTTATTTCTTATGAGGTCATAAATAAAAAACATTCTTAAATAGTTCCAGGCATTTTAATGCATCATATCTTGATTGAAATCTAAACTTACTGCTGATATTTCTGTACTGTTTAGCCACTCCCTGGGAATGTGGAAGTGTGCACTGATTGAGTCGCCAAGGACAACCACGCCCCTCGCTTGGCTATCCTTGCAGTACAGGTCCTCGTATGGCTGGCCGCTGACGGGATCTACTCCCTAAGTACAACACAACAATGAATACATCCGCACCACAAACCACTGACTTCTTCAAAATGTATTGTCACTCCATTTCTCACTTTGTATAACGGTCTACCTAATGTGACTTTAATTCAAAATAATTTGCAACTGATTTTTGAAACAGGTGCTCTCGAACATTTGTATTTGATGTCATTTAAACTTTAACATGTGCTGTACATCCAACCCGTATATTACATGTACAGTACTACATATACTACATGAAAGGATGTCACATCAACATTGAAATAGTATTACATATATATCCCAAATGTCTACATAATCGATTTTAACGCTAAATGCTCCAGACAGCTCTATCCATTTTTATACTGAAGTCTTTGGAAATCTAAGGGATCGGATATTTACTTGTGCAAGTGTATTGTATTTAATGCTGAAAACTACGTGGTAACTTACACGTTATCAATGAGTCATGCTCCAGAAATCTAAATAATTTTAATGATAAAGGTTTCCTTTCAAACGACGAAGACTCCGTAAATCTCCAAAAATAATTTTAAATGGTAAAGGCACAAGAAATGTACATCTTTCTAACGCTGAAGACTCCAAAAATCCATACATTCGTCTCAATGATAAAGGTTCCTGCAGAAGGTCATTGTTTATGCGGTCTCCTGTCAATTTTTATTGTATTCAATTATAAAAGCTCCAAAAATCTACATCTTTTGAATGCTTTAGGCTTCAGAAATCTTCATTGGTTTTCATGCTAAAGTCTATAGAATTCTACTTAGTTTTTAAAGCCGAAGGCTCTAAAACTTAACATCGTTTTCGTTGTTGAAGGTTCCGGAAATCTTAAATCATTTAACTGTTGATGGCTCCTGAAATCATTATAGCTTTTAATTATATAGGCTCCAAAAATCTATATTGTATGAAACGTTGAAGATTTTCCTAATTTTGAATGCTTCAGCGCCAAGAAATTCTTTTTGGAGGCTCAGAAAATCTACACTGAAGGATCCGAAAATCACCGGAAATCTACGTCTTTGGGCTCCAGAAATTTTCCTCGAATTTTAAGTTAAAAGCTCTGGAAAGCTATATCCTTTCATAAGTAAGAGACACCAAAAACATACAACTTTTTCACTGTTGAAAGCTCTGGAAAATGCTGAAGGTTCAGGAAATATTCGTCGTGACTAATGCTGATAACTCTGGGTCTATACATTATTTGTTTAATGCTAAAGACCCCGTAAAACTTATCGTACGCGATTTTCAATGCTGTAGACTTCAGAACACTTTTTGTATATGATGATCAAGTTCGGAAATCTACATCACTCTCAGCAACCACATCTTTGTAATGCCGACGATTTCAGAGACTTTTTTTTCCTACTTATGAGGCCAAATGCTCAGAAATCTTTATAATTTTAAATGTTATCCAAGAATCCAAGTTCTTTTTCAAAACCAAAGGCACTGGAAATGCACACTGTTTTAGCGCCGCGTTGTATATTTGTCACCACTGTAGAAGTAGTGATCGGCAAAAAATATTATCAACTATGATTCACTTTGTTATAGATATGTTAATTCAAGCGTTGGGACTAAACTTTTTCTGAAATGAGCCTTGGTTATCGTTGGTCCTCTTATAAATATCCGATCTCTTCGCTCTCCTTTTATCTGTACGTACCATGATACCATTACAATTACTATCCTTGTCCCCGTCTGACTGGATTGGCCTGAAAGTTAAATATCATTTGATCAATTTCTCTTTTCATGATTTATCTAGCGCTTTGTTGAGCTGATGATGAAATGCTAATGTACAGTACTAAAATTTCACATATTTTCCAAATACATGTATAACTACCTACATTTTAATTTGTATAATATACATGCTTTAAAAACATGACAATACTTCTCACGACGGCTAATGCAAACATTGAAATCAATCCAAGTAACAATAGATTGCATTTGCCAGGAGCTAAATTTATAAGTGGTAATTACTTTACAGTGATATTGTAGACATAATTAACGATCCATAGCATCACACATACATATCCATGACTGTCAAGGTAATAGCTCTGGGTCACGTTTGACATGTTAAATTGGCACCTACAAATTATACATAATGAATTTGATGTTGGTGACAGACGAATGGTTTGATATAGTTCTAGAATCAAATGAAGGTACCCTCGAATATGTTGATCCGATATATAATTATTGCAGAAACATGTCATCTCTGTATCGTACATAGCAATAGTACGTAATGTTTACAGTATGCTATCAACTTGAAGCATATATCAAGGAGTATTGGTTTTTATGGTTTTAATAATAATGTTTAATGGGTTTAGGGTCGTATTTACAGCTACGTAATTTAAGGCATGGATGGAATACAATAATATCATGCAACATTTTTTTCACAGCTTAAATTGTCAATTTCGTATCTGCATCACAGACATACATACACAGTTTGTTATAAAATAAAAAGGTAACTGATTTTTAATTTTGAAATCTCAGGAAACGTGATGATATTAATATATCTTTCTGATAATCGATATATCTTGTCAGTTTCAAGAAATATTTCTGTAAGACTGACCGGCTTCCAGGGTGTATGTCCTTTCTACCATCATCACAGTCCTTTCCCCTCCAGGAGCTCCCTCGCAGTGTCTGCACACAATAGCAACCATTTAATACAAGCCTAATATTCAGTACAGTAATTATTATCCAAAATTACCAAAGTAACCCGACATATATGAGAACTCACTCATTTTTGTAATTCTAAATTAAAAAGACACTATTTTCAATTTCTAAAATAATGAAATTCAGATATATCAATACATGCAAAAAAATGAACAATAGTTTGTACTGCCTTTTACTGCTGCTTTCCTTTTTGTAAGAATCAAAAAAGGAATCAAAGGGAAAATATGTTCCTCCCATATTTGGTTAAAAATAAATGTTAAATGTTTCACTTCAAATTCAATTTATTTCTAAAAAAAAAAGGCGTTTTTTCCAGATTTGTATTGTCATAATTAACATGTCAAACCAGAAAGTCGTGTCTGTGCCTTGAAACCAAGTTTGTTTTAATACATAAGGCCCTTAAAACAGTGTCCCTTAAACCTAGGTGATGATTTTGCTTTCAACATTTTTCCCTAACTTGGCATCGATCTTAGAACATTGAGAGACAGGTAAGGGTAAATATAATTGGATCCAGTTGTCTAAAGTCTGATTAAATTAACAAGTCATAACAACAGTTTTCAAAAAGGGTTTTAAAAAACTATGTATAAAGAAAAATTACAGACATGTTTGTGTTTCTATTCTTCAGATTGGCACTTTGAATACCTTTACAGGTTTTTTTTAGTTTTTGAATCCAATCTTCTAGAAAATGTACTAGATTAATGTTCACATCAAAAATGTCTTTTATGAACAATTGGGCCCTAGTATAAGTGTACTGAGGACATACATTACCTTGTATGTACTGTATCTGTCATCATCCAAGTCAATAGCAGGATCATGTTTGTCAAATATCCTGGTGGGATAGAGGTCATCATGAGTATCTGATACGGTATACGGGGATATTGCTCATTGCTTTCCTGACACACAGTGTATGCTTACCAAATCTTTTTTTGGGGGAGAATCTCTACTTTTATAGTGAAATAATGCTGTCCTTAATAATAATAATAATAATATACAACATTTATATAGCGCCCTGTATAATTTGCAAAATTACTCTAAAGCGCTTTACAACATATGGATAATAGTATTAGTTATAATTGTGAAACAAAAACAAAGGTATACAATCACTTTTATACATTGATCATCGCAATGTGCACACAAATGAATAAATAAAGGGTGGTATTTACATGACGTCTTTGCAATGAGCCTAAAATGCAGACCCGAACAGGTGAGTTTTGATGTCTTTCTTGAATTTGGCCAGGGTATTTGACTTTCTAATACATGTAGTAGATGGTAAGCTATTCCAAAACGTGGCCGAAACCCTCCTTAACCACCGGTTTCCATGGGTCGCAGTACGAGATTTTGGGACACACAATGATTCTGACTCCGACCGCAGTGATCGTGATGGCTGATACAGGGTAACAAGTTCCTGTAGGTACTGGGGAGCTGTTCCATTCAGTGCCTTGTATGTATACACTTAACATTTTGTACTTCGACCTGTATCGTACAGGTAACCAGTGCAATGAATATAGCACAGGTGTGGTGTGCTCTCTCTTTCGGGTACAAGTAACCAGCCGTGCTGCAGTTGCAGACGACTAGTTAGTTTGTCAGATAAACCGCAGAGCAGGGCGTTACCATAATCCAACCGAGAGGTAACAAGTGAATGCACCAAAATCTCGCATGCATTTGCAGTTATAAACTGCCGAAAAACAGCCGATGTTCCTGATCTGGTAGTAACAGGATTTGGCAATAGCGTTCACTTGTTTCTCCATGTTCAGTGAACTATCAAAGTATAACCCTAGGTTTTAACAACTGGAAAAGTCTCAATAGTTATGGCACCGACTTTGAGCTGGAGAGCCATTGTTTACTGACACTTTGGGAAAAAGGCTATTAGTTCCGTCTTTTCCTGATGAAGCTTTAGCATGTTGGCTATCCAGGTACTGATATCTGTCAGACAAGCTTCCAGATTTCTGCAATTGTATCCCAACTGTCCTGTGGTTTGATGACCATGTAAATGTGTCATCAGCATAGCAATGACAGCGAAGGCTATGGCGGCGACAAATCTCTCCGATCGGTTTTGAGTACAGGCAATATTTTCGTGGTACTAACACAGACCCTTAAGGAACCCCGAAATCTAGTTCTTTATCATGTGAGTTGGTAGTTCCGATGGCAACACAGTCGTCGTTTACTCATATAAGACTGTATTCAGCATAGTGCGGTATCAGTCACTCAATAAGAGTGCTCCAGATGTTTATAAAGTATGCCATGGTCGATGACGTCAAATGCAGCTGACCAGTCCAGCATGACAAGCACCGCTCTGCACTTGTTATCCAATGCAGAAGCTATGGCATTATGTACACGTAGGAGGGCCGTCTCAGTAGAGTGTCCCATGCGGTAGGACGATTGCAGGTTGTCATGGAGACTGTTTGCATGGAGATGACCCGGGACACAGCCTTCTCCAAGATATTAGACAGGAAAGGCAGATTTGATACTGGGCGGTAGTTCTTCAACTCCTCCTTGTCCATTCCAGGCTTCTTCAACACTGGAATGGAACCTTAGGCTTTGACTCAGCCAATGATTTGTTCATGATGAAGGTGAACAAAGGAAGCAGTGCTTCAAGACATTGCTTAAATAAGTCTGCAGGAAGTGGATCAAGCTCACAGGACTTCGATTGCAAGGTCATGGTGATATTGCGCAACTCGTCCTGGGTTGTTAATGAGAGCTTTGCCAATGGTTCCCCATCAAATTTAATGTCAGCAATCATGACAGAGATATCATTGTCAGCAGTAGAATGTCATAGGGTTAATTTTTCATTCAATCCCACAGTGTTTTAACAAGTACTTTCAAACTTTTTGTCCTTATTAAGATTTGTGCAATAAGTCTACATTATAAGCCAAAATAAATAAGAAACTTCAAACTCTGCTTATTATTAACCCTTATAACTCCAGGATTGTAATTTTCATTTCCTTTATCATAGCTTCTTACATCAAATATCCCCAATCAATTACAGGCGAAGAAACTTAACTTAACTATGGCATACTTAAATAATTAATCCAACTAGCACTAAATAACATCTAAATCCTAGAACATGCATACACAGTAATGTAAAATAAAATACCTCTGGAAGTTTAAAATTCAACTTACATGTCTATCCAATTACAAATAGTTTTTATTCCTGGTAATTCACATATCTTAGGATCTTGGTGTATCTGTGAATAAAATTGTACCAGCATGGATCACAGAGTTTCTAAATTAAATTTAAAGGTAAGAATTATAATTGAAATTCACACATTAAATATATCTACAGATATATGGTAATTATCAAGTTGAATATAAAACCTCCATGAATAGACCATGATAGGTTGTCTATTTAGTTGCCTCCACATACTGAACTATTTTGAAATTCATGTAAAATTTGTTGTAGTCTCAATCAAATGCACCTTTTCACATCATTTGTGTATAATACTTCAAATAAAATGTTTACCAATTATTATTATTACATAGCTTAAGTATGACACTCTTTCTATAAAATCCCAATGAAATCACAAAAAAACCCACTTAAATATTTTTATAAATCTTATAAAGGAGATTGGCATGCGTATCTTATCCAAGATACCCTTCAGTACCTCCATTTTTGTAGGGGTACACCTGTTAGCTGAAAATTGTATTGGTGTTTTGATTGCTTTAAATAGGTCTGTATTCCCAACTGCTCGTTGTGTACAAGGATAAAATGTTTTAATCATTCTGCAGGCTATATATATATATATAGCAGTCAACAGATTTATTAACTATATCAGCAATGTTTAGGGGCCCCAATGTTATGATAGTACAGCATATCGACCATTTTTCCCATGAATAGGGCATGATTCAAAATTCTGGAGCATTTTATTTTATTTTAACACTGCTAGTACTGGTAGTCAAATTCTTCTCAGTGCACAAGATTGCATCATTTACATTGGAACAGCTATGGTTGACTGATTCATTGTCACCGGATAACTTATTCCTTAACATAATTGTGTGTACACTTAAACATCTAATACACAAGTATAATGCCTATCTGTCTCTATATCAATGTACAAACGGGGTAAAATGGTTTCAATACAAATATGACAGCTAAGTTCACCTAATCAGCACACTTTTGCTGTGAGAGTTGTTTTATCTGTATATATATCCATATACCCCATACTGTACAGGTCATTTATACCTTTTGCTTGCTCCAATATAAGTTTTCAAATAATGTTTGTGAACAAAACAGACCTATAACACATATGCATAAATGTCAAATCTCATTTCAAACCAATGCGTGATGTGATGAAATAGATTCCATTCTCCAATCACATAAGTTTTACAGTGCATCACATTTTGCACTTAAAAATGATATCAATCCCATAAAAATTACCTGAACCTGACCATTTTATACTTTTTATCTGTGTATTATAAAATATAAGATATTTACATCATTAAAGGATAGAACTGAACATCTTAAATAGAACTCGTCCACTGACCTTGTATGGTGCTTGCTTCATTTCATAACTTAAGACTTCTTTCAGGATTCCTGAGTGAATATTTCGTGGACTCCTTTTAACCTATGGGGGGAAAAAACAAGAAAAATTGTCTTACAAATAGCATCACATTAAGTACAGGCTGCAAATAGTTATGCAAAAGATGTTCAATGATTTCAGTTTTTGCAGGTACAGACTCCGAAATCCCACATTTCAATGTTGGCAAAAGTATTATCTCCAAATTAAATAATTTATTATCCTTATATTGAAGTATTTTCAAAGATTCCTTGTCATGAGTAAAAACATTCCTTGTCATGAGTAAAAACAATCTAATTTAGTAACTGATCACAATGTTTATACAATAGGACCTAACCAAACCTCCTGTTCATTTGAAGCCAATATAACACACTTTCAATTAAGCATTGAACTGTTTTTGTATGGTATTTATGATCTATTTGAATGACACAGCTTTGCAAGCAGACAACTCATAATGCGTGCTTATAGATCATAAATACCATCAAAAACAGTTCAATACTTATATTTACATTTTCTCTTCTTCTTATGTTCTTTTTTAACTTATAATTTATATTTAAAATTAAAAATGCCCGCCTTATCGACAGTCCACACAATTTCGTTCAATAATTTACACAGCGTATTGTCGCGTGCTGATTGGCACTATAGACCTACTGACACATATGTTACAGACCTACTGATATAGGAGTCACAGCACACATAAACATTTCAGACATTTGTAACGAACCCCTGTGCTCCGTTGTAAGATCACTCACTTCCAACGATATCAGTTTCACGTGTCTCGCAGCCACGGTTTCCCCAGTTTCTGATCACAACATGTCAAATAACGATGCTGTTATAGAATCTACCGACTGTAGTCAGATTCTCATACAATCAACAAATAAATTCACGTCTGGATTCTTCACAAAATGAGCAAAGTGAAACTTTCGAATTAACTTCCAAAAATAACTCCCTCGTGGAGGTGGAGATCAAGGTCAGATTCACGGTGTTCAATGTATTTATTCATGCATGAAATTTGTCCCGGAACAATTTAAAATCTTAACTTTCAGCTCAGATTTCTATTGATTAACTTAAATCACTCTATAGACATATCATACGCAATTGTATTGATACTGAATTGTGGAATAAAATTGAAGTGTTTGTTAAAATTTACTACTTTGTTTGCCAATCAGCACGCGACAACACGCTGTTCAAATTATTGAACGAAATTGTGTGGACTATCGATAAGGCGGGCATTTTTAATTTTAAATATAAACTAGAACACTGACAGGTCAGTAAGGGCCCCGTCTTTTGGCAATTATAATACCCAACATAATCATCAAGAAGCAATTTGCCCATATAGCTGAGCTTGACGTTTGACATTTGGACTTAAAAAAAAGCGCAAGGAAGCAAAATATACATTTAACAGTACTATGATGTGAGTCTTGTTTCCTTCCAGCTCCATATTTGCTGGGCTAACAGTTGACTTATTCTTTAATTCCGACCAACTTTGCTTCTTAATATCATAACAAAATGTTAATCAGTAAAAATACAAAACTTGACCTTGACCCTTTGGACCCCGTAACCTGGACCTCAGGTCAGTTGACTCTGTGTTAAGTTCTGAACAACATTGCTTCATACTGTCATAACAAAATGTTCATCAGGGAAAAGGTACAAAATGTAACCTTCACCTTTGACACAGTGACCTTGACCTTTGGTCAATTGACTCCTTGTTTAATTCTGAGCAACTTTGCTTCATCATGTCATAACAAAATGTTCATCAGTGAAAAGATGCAAAATTTGACCTTGACCTTTGACTTCAACTTTTTACCTCAGTGTGTCTCTTTGTTTAGTTCCAAACATCTTTGCTTCATAATGTCATAGCGAAATGTTCACCAGTGAAAAGCTACAAAATTTGACCTTGACCCCTGACCCGATGACCTTGACCTTTGGTCAGTTGACTTCTTGTTTAATTCTGATCAACTTTGCTTCATAATGTCATAACAAAATGTTCATCAGTGAAAAGATGTAAAATTTGACCTTGACCTTTGAACCTAATGACCTTAACCTTAAGTTTTATGTACATCGGTCAATAAATACCAAAGTTATCAGCCAGAAACAAAATTTGTGGACAGACGGACAGACAGACAGACAGGGTGATTACTATAGGGCACCCGTATCTCTGATAAGGGGCCCTAATTATAAGTTAAAAAAGAACATAAGAGGAAGAGAAAATGTAAATATAAGTATTGAACTGTTTTTGTATGGTATTTATGATCTATAGCGCGCATTATGTTGTTTGCTTGCAAAGCTGTGTCATTCAAATAGATAAAAAATACCATACAAAAACAGTTGAATGCTTAAATGATGTGATTGTTGTAAAAAAAAACATTTTCATTGAAACATCCAAATCGTCATGTTTTTTGAGAAAACTGTAACATACCGTAGACTTGGATTTCGGAAAGATGTGGCATTCCTGCTTATCTGGCTCGGTGTAACAGAATCTGATTTTACGGCAAACTGTGTCCGGGTTGTCATCTTTTGTGAATCTGGAAACACAAGTACAATAAGTAACTTTGTCTTTTGCACAAGAGACACTGAAGAAAAGTTTCTTAGATTAATCATGAAAAGGTTAATTTAATTCATCAATACAAAAAGGAAAATGAAGCAATGTGCCAAAAGTATTTGAAACTGAAAAAACATCTCCAGGAAAAGTCCATCTTGATGATATATTTGACAGGATATACGCAAGAATAAGGTACTTCAATAGTTATGTTTGTAAAGGGGAAGATAGATAGTCATATCTGAGAACATGCACTTCTGTGAGAACAGTCACCATGCATTTTAATCCCTCCCCAATTGGAGTTGTTTTCATATTGACTGAACCAGGGGATCATCAGCAATAATTAAGAGACTTACATGATGACTTAATATTAATAATAATAATAATAATTTGAGGTTCTTATATACTGTTTTATCAGCAATCTAGTTCATAGGTCGTCTCAAAGCGGTTCACAAATTATTATCCGTGGTTATAGGGTCTTTGCAACCAGCCAATATCTTTCTCAACTCAATGGGGAGCATACAGCCGGTGGTGCCATTTTGGTGCTCACAGCTAGCATTCTACAATTCGTGAACTGCCCAACCACGTACTCATTTGCAGCTGAGTCGACTGGAACAAGCGGAGTGAAGTGTCTTGCTCAAAGATACAACACAGTGCAGTGCCGTGACTCGAACCTGCAACCCTTCGTTCACGAGCCAAGCGTCCTACCACTAGACTACTGTGTCGAGGTCATGATCTAAAATGGTTTCTATATATATATATGAAATGAATACAAAACACAAGTCAAAAGTGAATGATAACATGATCCCTTAATTCATTCTTCACTTAGAGACAGATGGACATATACATCATGTTAAGCAAATGATAATGGAAACTTTGTCTTCCATCATATTCACATACTAAAAACACTTAAACAAATCACACAAAACATATTCCTACATATAAACACATTGTAATAGGGTACATACCGGTATTTACAATTGAATTTAATAATTTTTGTATAACACAGTAACAGGTTTTAGTAGTTGTAAATCCATGATTAATTATTAATTGTATGAAGCAATTTACCTTGCTATGAGAATACTTCCAAAGAACTCTGTGAATATCTGACATTGCTGTCTGTATTTGTCCGGGAGGTAGTTACACAGTCGTTCCAGGGAATGTATGATGGTTTCATTGTGTATCACAGACAACTGCTCTGTCAAACCCATGATGACCGTACACGCTGTAAAAAGGTAATAAAAAGTCTTTAAAGTATACAACAAGAGGCCCAGAGGGCCTGTATTGCTCACCTGGATATCTAAGCAATCATGGCAAAATATTCTCCAAATGAGATCCAAGGGAATATGCCAGACCCGAAGGCCGATCCTTGTAGCATATCTGTATTTGATTTTTTATGCCCAGCAATTTTATGTATGGTTATGGAGTGGGGATCTCAACTGTTTCCAAGCTGTGACTCAGAAACTAGGTCCCTAGGGTTGCGGCCAGACCCCAGGATCAGTTCTAATATCATGACTGAATTTGTCTCTTTTTGCCCAGCATTTGTATATATAGTTTTGGGTTGGGGATCTCAACCGTTTCAAAGTTATGACCCAGGGGTTATGTCTGCAAGGGTGGGGCAGACCCTGGGGTCAATTCTAATATCATGACTGCATTCGTCTCTTTATGCCCAACAATTGTATATATAGTTTTGGGGTGGGGATCTTAACCGTTTCAAAGATGTGACCCAGGGGTTAAGTCTCCAAGGGTGGGGCCAGACCCTAGAGCCATCCTGGAAGCAAATGTGCTTTCCTCTCTTTATACTCAGCAATTGTATATATGGTTATATGGTGGGGATCTCAACCATTTCCAAGTAAAATAAAATTGGCCCCACCCCTTAGCCCGGGGGGTTAGCCCCACCATTTGTACAATTTTTAATCCCTGCCTCCCATGAATGCTTCCGACCAAATATGATCAATATCCATGGTATAGTTCTACGGAAGAAGTTGTTTATAGCAATATAGTCAAATTGCCCCCTTTTGGCCCAGCCCTCAGCCCCCTGGGAGGTCAGCCCCACCATTTGTACAATTTTGAATCCCCACTACCTAGGGATGCTTCCAGTAAAATATGGTTGATATCTATCTCTTAGTTCCAGAGAAAAAGTCGCTTAAAGTAATATAGCTAAATAACCCTTTTTGGCCCCGCCCCTCAGCCGCCACGGGGGTCAGCCACACCATTAGTACAATTTTGAATCCCTGCCTCCCATGAATGCTTCTGATTAAATATGATTGATATCCAGTACATAGTTCTACAGAAGAAGTCGTTTGTAGCAATATAGCCAAAATCCCCCTTTTGGCCCCGCCCCTCAGCCCCCTGGGGCGTCAGCCCAACCATTTGTACAATTTTACATCCCCACCACCTAGGGATGCTTCCAGTCAAATATGGTTGATATCCATCTCTTAGTTCCAGAGGAGATGTCGCTTAAAGCAATATAGCCAAATTGCCCCCTTTTTGCCCCGCCCCTCAGCCCATTGGGGGGTCAGCCCCACCATTTGTACAAATTGAAATTCCCACCACCTAGGGATGCTTCCAGTCAAATTTAGTTAAATTCCAATCAGTGGTTAAGAAGAAGAAGTCGTTATGCTATCTTGATACATTAATTGATTAGAAAGTGAGATAACCAGAGTATAGTAGTGGCTTGATAATGGAACACCTCCGCTGGGCTAATGATGACATCATTAACTGATTGACCCCTGAAGTTTCATAATGAACTATTCCAACCTTTTAATTGGAAGTGTTCAAATGTGTCTTCAGGGTGAATGAGTTAACAAGGCCTGGCTGCATGCCATCATTCTGAGACTTCTTTATCTAGTACCTGCATTAACGTGAGTTACACAGTCACCATAGTTTTAATAAAGAATTCCTGATGACCTTAATTTTACATACAATGGTACTGTTATAGAAATAACTAAGGATGTCAATATCTTAGGGTTTATTTTATTAAAAGTGGCTTGACAACATTTAATAATAAACAACTCTATGGTAAAAGTGTTAAAGCAATGTATGGTGCTATTTCCAAATTTAGGGATCATAATCTGTCAATAGATTGTCAACTAGACATATTTGACAAAGCCATCAAACCCATTGTTTTATATGTATATGAAGTATGGGGTTTCTGTAAATACAAACTTATCAAACGTTTACATCTAAAATTTTGCAAACACATACGCAATGTTAAAACGTCTACCCCAAACTTTATGATAGTATAATAATGGAGAACTTGGAAGGTTTCCTCTAGCTATTAATGTCAAAGTATGAATGGTCGGATTTCGGGCTAAACTGACAAAACACAAACAGAAAACATTAAGTAATATTTACCATCGTATGGCATTGTCACTATATAACCCTACCAAATTCAGTTGGCATTCATATAGGCTATGAATGCCATGGACCGATTGTTGACGTCATCATTATTATGACGTCATAATTGTTACGCTGGGTACCACTGACCCTTCCCGAGCGATGGCTGTTCTATTCATTGAACAAGCATACACGATACATACATCGTTATATATAGTTCAACTATATATAAGTGCTGAATGATAATAATTCTAATTGATGTTTTTATGAGATGAACTAATACCAAAAATGGTAAATATAAATATTGAACTGCTTTCAGTTGGCATTTATAGGCAGTTTGAATTCCAACTGGACAAACGCAAATCCAACATGAATCGCTTATTAATAAGCACGCTTCATTGAATTTGCCTTTGTCCAGTTGGCATTCATATTGCCTATGAATGCCAACTGAAAGCAGTTCAATTCTTCAATAAACAGTTAGCAATTTTATCAAATTATGAATAATCATGGCTAAAATATGTGAAAAGTATATTTGAGGATGCAGTTTGATATCGATATTCAATAGTCAAAAGTTTCCAAGTTTGCTAAAGGGTACCATATTCATAAATGCCAGAATTCTTGGAGAACAATCTGTGAGTTTTACAATCATTTTAAGGGAATTGAGGTGAAAATAAGGGATGTTTTATTCACAGCGATTTTCACGGCAAAAAGACTATATTACTCAACTAAATTAATGAAATAAAGCACAAAATCTTTAAGCACGGAATTAGATTGCTATCTAGGTCTGTGCTTTAAGTTAGCAACTTTGTTTTGACTTTGGCAGGTTTTTTTTGTATATATTGAATATGATTATATACATTTAATAGCACAAAGTTAAACAGATTTTACTTTAAATTTCGAAATTTAGTTGGACAGGCCGCGATTCACAGCAGCCACAGTACTACTGATGTTCAGTTTAAACTTTGAACTTATATTTTATAAACTAAAACGAAAATTTATATCAAACAGGAGAAATGAAATTTGTACTTTCACGAAAGGAATCTATTATAGAATCTATTAGTACGAACTTTGTTTAGGAAAGTATTTACTAGAACTCCCTCCGAAACTGGCCAAAGCGTATTGTAAATTTAGAACATGTAATACTAAGTTACCAATTGAGAGTGGTAGGTGGTCCAATATACCAACTGAAAAAAGACTATGTAATTTTATGTAATTTTATGTAATTGAAGAGAAATTGGCGACAAATTCCATTATCTGTTTTACTGTACACAACAACCAATACTCATTAGTAGACGAAAACATATGTCCAGATAGCATTATGAAAGACCAAACAAAATTAAATTTCATACAATATTCAATTATGTAACACAACATGAATTGATTATTGACAGATATTGTTATTGGCTAAAGGGCGTTATGGGTCATTTTTTTGGCCTCATTGAAAGTGAAAATTTCAACTTGGATTTATTTACCATTTTCTATTATAATCATCATATTGGTTTATTGGGGCTATCTTTCTTGGTGAAGTTTTTTTCCAATGTGCATGCCCTACCATAGCAACAAAATTGTGTTGCTATGCAAAAAGATCCAAAATATGGTGTTTTTGGACAGTTGGTATGCAGAAATGAAAGCCTCTGCATATGACAAACGAAAATTCCTTTCTATGAATAAACAGTGGTATAATGTTTAAGCATATCAAATATTCATTTGTTTGGTGCTTTCGCAGGCTTTCAAAAATTGAAAAATGTTTAGTTAATTTCCTTCAAAATGGCAAATTTTCAACCAAATAGAGCACAACAGACAAATTTCAAGCATTTTATTATGAAAATGCGGGTTTATGTCTCTCTTTGTAATGCCACATCCCCTAAACCAGTTGTCCAATGAATTTGAAACTTCATATTTGTGTACTTCATTCATTACAGATAATGAATATAAGAACTAATTATAAATCCCCGATGAATATAACGCCTCTAGTCCTTTATTACCTATATCAATCTTAATGAGATAATCAATTGACAATACTAATGACAATCCTGTTCCACAATATATTATTGTCACCCATTTCTACCGTATATATGAGAATAAAACAATTGTCATTGTCATATTAAAGTTGTGTGGTGTTTTTTTTCAAATATTTGAAGTGGTTATAATCATGCATGTAAACATGATACACAACATGCCTACTGAAAAATGGTTTTGGAGTGTGGCCAAGATACAATAACTAGTATCCATAAAAAAACCCAGGAAATCTCAATATTCTTTTATGTCAATAAAGAAACAATACCAGTTATTTAAATTAGGATAAACTTATGAATCATTTGGTTTATGATTGTTCCTGTTCATTTGGTGCAAATATAGAAAATACACTACATTTTTTCTTTCAATGTCCTCTATATAGAAATTTTAGACATCACATCATCTCTGTGCACATGCATAATCTATTAGGATTTGTAAATCTTCATCTTTTATTATATGGTGTCGTTGTTGTGGGACCCCATTGTAATTAAGCAATTGTGGCGTTTTGGGTCATTCCAGGTAAAGGCCTAAATTAATCAAATCCAATCCAGATTTTAACACCCTGACTGATTACTTGTTCTATGGTATAAATAACTTATAAATAACTTCTGTGATAATACATATATATTTATGTCCAATCTGTAAAATGTGATGTATGTGCAATATCTGTCTTTTACCTGAATAAATATATTATTATTACTATTGTACATTATGTATGTGTGTATTGGTACGTCTAATGAAACTAACAGAAATATACGTAATCAACCTTTTAAGTTCCTACTTAGGAACTTAAAAAATACTGAACGATTCTCAATTTATAAGTAATATCTTTATACATGTATGAAAGTTATAGGAAAAGACTTACATAGGCTTAGCCTGTTGTCTTATCCCTTTGTTAATGTACTGTTATATTTCTTATGTAACATTTATGTTTGTTTGTATTAACAATATAATATTTTTAATTTTAATTTGAAAAAAAACTGGCAAAGCTTGCTTATCACTATCTTCTCTAGTTTATCAATTATATAAGAATTATAAATGATAGTATCTAAGCAATTCCATTCTATTTCCCACCACAACATCTTCAAAACATATACCCTCTGCATTAAAGCAATTTGGATCTCTGTGGAGTATATAGATTTATTTCACCACGGCAGTCTCATCATGGTATATCATCAGCACATAAACTTATTTATATATATTTGTTATGCATAGAAAAAAGGACTCCATATGCTAGATTAGCTCCAAGCTATATACCCATGGTATATAGAAATATTATTAAACTTCCTAATTATAATTAAAAGTATATCAAAGAAGGATGTTCTTTATACCATTTTAAATTTGTGATCTTTTTATTGATTTTTTGTTTTATCATCACCACATATCAAAAGAAGAACGTTATCATAATTAAACTGCATCCAAAATCAATGTTAAAACCTACATGCACATTTTGTGAATATATAACATGTTGGTTGTTTTTTTTTTATCTAGTTGTTGTTTTTAAATGAAAATTGTATTCGTTAAGTGACTTTCAGTCTCTTTCTACAGGTTACATAACAATTTCTTTGCTTTCAATGGCAAACAAATACAATAATGTTCTCCGGATTCTTGTATATTTTGTATGTATTCAAATAAAACTCAGCTGGTTTAACCACGGAATTAGATTTCTAAGTCCGTGGTTTAACATAGCAGAAAAACACAAAACGGGAAGTAAAGTCACATGTACATTAGTTTACATATTTTCCCTTAAAATATTTTTATTAACTCACTTGCACATGAGACTCCGCCATTTCTTCCTCTGATCATAAAATCTCCAACCACAGTTGATGATGTTGGTGATGTAGCAAAACACAATAACAGAAAAACAGAAAGTAAAAGCACCCTGTCCAACATTTTTGGGCGATACCAAATCACATGATAGTCACATGATAGGGATTCGAAAATTTTATCATTCGGAAGCCTTCTGCTTTTTATAATAAATAGTTATCGGAAAATCAAATCGCGCAAGCCGCGAGAAATTACGATACTTACAACCGCCAATTTCAAAAGTTGTAAACAGACTAAGGAAGCGGTGTGGCAGTGTTCATTTGAATATTTGAACAGAAATCACGATCTTTTCATGAATTCCGTTGTTTAGAGAAGAAAGAACAATGGATCCATATACAGAGGTAAGCGAAGAATACACCTTGACTGTGAGTTCTGTTCACATTGAAGAAAATGTTATTGCTTCAAGTTTTTGCTTTGATTTTGGAAGTTTGGCCTAGTCAGGCTAGTGAGACCGGGGCGGACGTTCACTACATTAGATTTCGAGTTTGACGATTATGCTAAATATTTTTACTAGCATAGAGAGAGATATTTACTGGATATATTTGTAGCTTGGCGTTGTTTCCATTTCCGATTACAGACTTTAATGCAATTCCCCCTGATCATTAACAAACTTGATGGTCAGATATTTGAAAAAAAGGAACTGAGAGTGTTTATCATTCAGATTAATATATGGATTATTCGGCGGAAAATATGGATACCGACGACACTTCTGAAGAAGATATACAGGTGCAAAACGATAATTGTACAGCATGGGCATAGTTTTGTAATTCATCAATGTGTAAATAATGTACCTTTATCATTTTATGCGCAACCGGTTACATTATAAATAAGTAATGAAATACAATCAAGACATCTCCATAATTTAAAAAGCTTACAACGATGTTTATTACAGCGAAAGATGGGCATAGTTTTGTAAATTTAAAATCAAGAAGGATGCCTTCAGGCGTTTGTCATATGAGATGAGTTATGACCGCAACTTTTAAATTTGTTGGATCCTTGCCAGTTCTCACATGTAACGGATAAGCTGTACGTATAAGATACAGTTGACTTGTTATCTGTATGCTACAAATGGACCGTTGCCAGCTGAATTAACTTAATGACATTTAAAATAAATTTAAATGTAGTCTGTAGACCTGATGGTTTATGATAAATTAAAAGGTTGAGCAGGTATTGAAACTTGTCAACATTATAATGCATAAGCTTATAAATTACATGTCAACTGTCCCTCTGAATCCTTCTATTTTCCATTTTCTCCCTCTGAAGGCATATATGACCTTTTCCACTATTCTGAATAGATTTGTCTTACTTAGCAGGCAATGATTAATCTTATGATTATTGATGCGGTACTATGCCCAGCCTTATACAGGTCCAGTACACTCTGCCGATTGAGCTATATAGCTATAAAGACCTATATAGCTATATACACATATAAATTCTAGCTGTATTGAGCTATATATTCTCAAATTTCATTAAATTAAAGCAAAGTCGCATAAAACAATAAGGTTTATGGTAATGTTGACTACAAAGAGCATACAGTTAGATGTTTATTTTCATTTTTCATAAATGTAAAATTTCCGATTTTTTTTACATCATTATTTTTTAAAAAGAATACTTATATTTAATGTCTTTTGTTATCAACGTAATGATACAATCTTCTTTTAAAAGCGACTTTGTTTCGTTTTCTTTAAAAAAAGAAAATCACTTGAAAATAGCTCAAAAGACCTTTTTCAGATAGGTCAATAGAGCTATTATAGGTCTTTACAGCTATATAGCTCAATTGGCAGAGTGTACTGGACCTGTTATACAACTAATTATGTATACAGCAGCAAAAGTCCAGCTTAAAACTAATAAAAGACAATGTTGTTGTTTAATGCAAATCAAATAAGTGACAAGTCTCAAGTCTTTTCATCTGACATTTTCTCTTTGAATTTTTTTCTTGACTTAAGTAATTTTTTAGTCAAAAAATGAAGAAATGCAGCACATATCTAGATTTCTTGGTATTATAATTATCTGTTTCATAGAATTCCAACTATAATTGATGGGTCAAATTTGCATTTTATACCGCAATATTTAACAGTTTATAAATTCTATGTTAAATTCCGCCAGAGTACTTCTATGCTGGGATGATAAAGTGATATGTATTTCCGCTGTTTTAGCAGGGAAAGATCAGCTTGTCACCCCCTAAGGGGAGATAGCCTCGTGCGGATTCGCACATGTTCAATTGTGATGTCATTAAAATGTGTCACCAGTAATTGTATCGCCATCAAAAGTTATTGTATTCATACCCAACATGTGTTACACTATGTACATACTGTCGGTGAAGTTGTGACTGAAATAATAGGATGGGAGAAAAATAATCGTCCCCTACATTAAAGGTGTACCAGAGAAATCTCCAACCCGAGGAGTTTTCTGGTTGGTTAAACCCTTGGCAGTGTCGCAGGTTAGACAGCCAAATAACATCACTCCTCGGGTTGGAGGTTTCTCTGATATCTATGAGGAAAGTTCAAAGGTCGACATGAATGATAATTAATCCATTGTATTATTTGTATATATATCAGATCTTGTAAATCAACTCTTTGAAGCTAAAAGTTGTCTTTTTTCAATTCTTAAAGCCTATATGTTAAACTAAAGGTTACTTGATTAAACCCAATCTAAGATTGAAGAAACACTGTAAAAGGTGCATGTTATTTAATATTTATATAATGTTGTTTAAGAATCCATCTCTTGATATATATATGATTTACTGCAATATCAGGTAAATGTTAATTGGAAAATATTGGAATTCAAGCAAATTTCATTTTTTTCTTGGGCTCAGTAAAATATTCTACATTCAAATTAAATTTTGAAACTTGTCAATAGCCTTGATATAAAATCTTTGTCTCGGTTGTGAGATGGTGAAATTAAATGAAAAATACCATCAGATTACAAAAGGAAAGCTATAATTCAAATTTCATGACATTATCTTACAGTTTAAATTCCTAACTTGTGATATGTCACGATGTGTGTTTTATCAGGGTCAAATTTTAAACCGATGCATTGGTTTACTGGGTAAACCATAACTTGCATTTCAGATAGCCCTCTTGGCCAGTTAAATTTTATGGCCATGTCGGTCCCCTATCATAAAAACGAAGAAGAAAATCCTTCTTGTCTGCTGAAGCATGTTAATTCCCTAAGAAAATTAGTCATTGGCTCATAAAAGATGACCTCCCATATTTGTTGTAAAATGAACAGGCCCGTACCTTTACAGAAAAAAGGGCATTTAAGCCATGAATCCTAGACCTCCTGGTATAACATTTTAATAATACCACCATGGCCACATATTCTCAGACTATTTTTTCTAAAGATTGACTTTGTTGACTGACAGAGGTTACTGGAGCGGACCAGACAGAGACGAGAGATGCTAAACCAGAAGCTAGGGAAAACCCCAGAACCTATGCCAAGGAAACGTGTGCTCGAAGATAGCACCACCGAAAATGTTGTGATCAAAAGTAAAGATGAAGGTAAGATTTCAAATTAAAGTTACACAAGTTTATAAAAACTTTTGGAAATTGCAAAATTTGAAAATTTGTTGGGGTGAAATTGACAGTCTCGTCAGTGTCCATCGTAACACCTGAATCCATTTATTTGCATGATAATCAAGGATTATGTTATCTAAAGTCTGTCTAATGTGCCTATATAGAAAAATTTGAAATAAATTGTGCTCTGGCAGAAGCAAACTTTAACAAAATAAAATCCACATCCAGTTGGGAAAAAAATGTCTAAATCTCATTGGAAATTCAGACTCAAAAATATAGACAGGAAAAATTCTGAATACTTATATTTCATAATAAAATGCATTGTAAAGTCAGATGTCTTGAACCTAGTGGAATCCAGAGAATAACATTTTTTTAGAAAACATTGTATAAACAGATTATTACCTTTCACCTTGTGAAAAACAGCTTGATTGGTTATTATGATATTTTTCTCTCGTATATATAATATAATAATAAGCGGGTTCCACTGTATATCTGTTGTAAAAATGTAATCAATTACTTCAATACAGAATCCCCTGGGAAGAGACAATGTCTAAGGGAGGAAGCTATGCAGATGAAAGCAGATACACCGGCAATCCTCGGTGTTAAGTCTCGCATGCAGCAGATTGTCAAGACCAGGGATGAACAAGGTACAGGGACACTGATTTGCTGCACATGCTAGGGCTCTACTTCATAAACAATGTACTTAAAAAACTGATTTACTGTATGGGTCGATATGTCAGAGCCTACTATATGTACTTACTGACTCAATGTTCAGGTCAGGGTCTTCTTTATTTACTAATTATATATAAGGAAATTGTTTTACAGCATGGGTCAGGGTCTACATCATGTACTAAGAAAACTGTTTTACTGTACAGGTCAATGCCTACTTCATGTATTGAGCTCATACATTAGACCTGTTTGTGATAGTGCCTTTCAAATTTCCCTTTTAGGTGAAACATCTATCTTGCCGGCAACAGGGAGTCATGAGTCACCTGTCAAGGAGAACAATGGAACTCGATCAAGGAGAGGCAGATTGGCCAAACTGGCTGCCAACATCAATAACTGGGAGGATGATCTGAGCCACCCATCCATCCAGTGAGTCTAACTCTTTACTAGATGGAGATTTTGTGTGCAACATTATTACACAAAATTGATCTGATCTGATGTGCACTAACCAAAAAGTTTAGCATAAATCAATCAGCTGTATATTCGATAAGGTCTGATTATAATGACCACTTAAATACTTACATTCACTTATAATAAACAATTATCACGTTGAGTGTCTCAATATTGAGTTGAGAGCAAAATAGAATAAAACTGCAAGGGTTGGTTATTTCTCTGATATATGATAGCAATGTTACTTTGTTAAATACACTATGTTCACTATCAAACTATATATATGTGCTACTTTCAAATAAAGAGTGTCAAAAACATTCCATGTTTATGGTGTAGTAGCTGATTGGCTGTTTTAACACATATACAAAGTTTACATATTTTCTTCTCCAGAAAAAAAGAGGAGAAGAAGCCTAAGTGGCAACCACCTAGGATAGACTCTGGATCTGATAGTACTGGGTCTCCAGCCAGATCACCGGTAAAAGCTCACAACCCCAGCAAGTCAGCTGCACCCCCACCTCCACCTCCTCCCCCAGTCATCAGCTCACCTGCTGTTTCATCTCCTAAAAGGACCACAGCCACCTCTGCCTCACCTGCCAAACATGTGAGTCAGCATTCAGTTAAGCTGAATTCTCCAGCAAAGAACTCACAGACCAAGCACAAGATTCGTCAGTTGGTTGACCAGGTTCCTGTCAATGCTAAAGATCAGACTGATTTACAAGAGTGGGATGAGGATCCAACAGAAAAGCCCATTAGAGAACGTTTGAATTCATGGAAAAATGCAGATACACCGAAGAAGAAAGCTGTGGATCCGTCTGAAAAGCCCATGTCTTCCAAACTGGCAACCTGGGAAAAGGTGTCTAGCACCCCAACCAAAACAGCAGTGGCTAAGAAGGTCCACCAACCCGCCCGGCAGATGGCAACCCCAGTTTCAGATAAACCACCTCTGCCGAGACCTGTGTCTGTATCAAAACAGACAACAGAGAGCTCAGAACAGGGTGGGGATCCTGCATCCAGGCCTGTGTCATCACGGATGGCATCTTGGCAGCAAAGAGTTGATGATGAGACACCTCAAAAGGAAGAGGAACCTACTGCCTACTCCGTGGGAGCCAGGATGTCAGCGTGGGAGGACATGTCATCCAGTAACCAGGTTGCACACATAAAAAAAGTTGATCCTGGGGCCTGTTCTCCAACCAAATCTCCTATGAGAACACCTGCTCCTGTCAATAAAACACCTGCTGCTAAAAATAAAAACCTAACCCCACGCAAGAGCTTTAAGGACAGTATTGTAGAGAAGGCAGGGCAGTTGAAGAATTCTCCTGTCAAGTCTACACCTGTGAAATCAACCTCGGTGAAATTACAGCCAGGAGCTTCCCCAGGAAAGGTTGGCAGTGCAACCAAGATGATGCAGCAGCGCTTGTTGGAGCAGGCCCAGCACAGTAAGACGGACGACATTGCAGACAAGCTGAGGAGGGATAGGATGAATGAGTTGGCCAGCCTGCAGAACAGGTGGCAGAATGGCATGCTGAAGGAAGATGTCCAACCGACGTCGCAAACTGACCAGGTGAGAGCCTTCTGGGTTTAAATAGTTATGCCTTGGTGTTCTAAACATGGAAGCTCAAGCTAAGGTCAAGAGTTTAACAACCTCCTTCGAGTGATACATTAAAATAGAAAAAAAAGGAAAGATTATGTTTAAATTTTATTGAATGTTCAAGAATGGCCTTTTTATGTTGTGTTGTTGATATGTTACTAAAGATTTAATGTGCACTAAGATGACATACAAACAAAATTGATTTAGCTTATGAAAATGAATGCCCATGTTTGCTGTTATTGTTTGTTTACTTATTCCTGTTAACTGAAAGTCTCTATAAAAGTGGGGTGTTTTTTTTTTACTACTGCCACAGTGTCTGACAAAAAGAGGAAAGTTTGTTTAGAAACCCATTTTCCCTCAAATCACAAACTTAATATATTTAGAGGTGATCAGTTCTGATATTTTATTTGTTATGCTGTTTAGAAAAAGGGGTTGTTTTATTTTTTTTACAACTGGTTTTTGGCCTAGGCATATAAAACAAACCAATCAAAGAACATGTAACAAAATAAGCTTTTAAAATTTTGAATTAAGAAGTTTGACCTGAGATTTACCAATTTCAGAATAAGCCTGTAGCTTATGAGACCAAGTTGTCGGAATCCGAGGAAGAGCCGTCAAAGGTTGAGGACAGACGTGAGGCCATCAAGGCCCAAGCTAGGGCAGGTATGTCACAACACAGCTTATGTGAAACTTTATCACTGTTTTTGTTACCTAAATTTTACAACAGCCTGTTCCTTTATGAATTGGGAAAATATAGCCTTATTTGTATTGACATTGGTACTGTATTTCTCAGGTTTTGTCTTGCTGCCAAAAAGTAGCGGAAGCAATACCAAGGTGTTGCTTTTCCGGTGACTGTGGCGTCAACATTAAGTTTTTACGTTTAAGTTAGTTTCTCTGTAAGTATAAGTGCTAGACCAATCAAACTTGGACGTTAGATGCATCAAATGCTGGATGCGGCCTACCTTTCATAGTACATTGTCTTTGTCAGCATCTCCATCCACATTAAGTTTTTGCGTTTAAGTAAGTTTCTCTGAAACTATAAGTGCTAGACCAACCACATTTGAAATGTTCATTGATGGTCAAAGCAGAGCACAGGAGAGACATAACAATCTGAATGGCTTGTTGGTTATTTTGGGGAAATAAGGCACTTTTTTTAGCAAACAAGTCTGTATTCGGCCATAAAACTGAGCAACAAAAATCACTGTTTACAGATGCACAATGACATGCTTACGATTGAGTTCTCAAAATGCATCATATATGTATACGTAGGAAAGAACTTATATCTTGTATCCAGTGTTGTTAAAATAATCATTCAGATTTCCCAAAACAGTTCTTATGCCGATGTCAATTAAAATCCGATTAGTACAGTGTAATATTTAACAGACAGGTATCGACACATTTTGACCAGGTCAACCTATTTGTGTTTTAGAAGAATGAAGGATTATATATGTGAATGGGACAAAAATTCTTTTGACTCATCAGTATTCAACACATCTAGGTCAAATTACTTGAGACTAAATATAGTAAATAAGTGACCACACAAACTGTTGAAGTTATAGTGACTATTACTTATATATGAGTGTCACTCCAGCTAGTTTTACTGTAGTTTTTGTGATGAATTGATAGTTTGTTATAGGATTCATTGTTGTTATTTATGTATTATGCAATATGCAAATCTATATATTATATAATGTCTACCAGGAAACTTGCCTTGTCAAATATTTGACCTTCACTGCTAAAATCCATTTAGCCCTTCCTATGTAATTAGTACTATATATGTGGTATAAATGTTCACGGATATCTGCTGTCGTGATCAAATCGTCTTTTTTATGGAGTACAAAAGATGACAGAGCTAAACTTTGGTGAAACTTTCCTGGTATACAGTAATTATGTGCTTTGTATTGCTTTGCTATTTTGCCTGCATGTCATTTAGAGGTAAATAAATACTGGTAAAGGAATAGTTGGTGAGGGCTAGTTACACTGCACTTATATCCTGTTATTCTGGTATAGGAATCACTGTTTCAATTTCCTTTTCTATACTTGCTTGGAATTGGTTTCATGTTGTTCTAAAAACTACTTTGATACGTTTTTCAAATTATCCTCCGGGTAAAAATGGTGGAAATGGGTCACTTATTAAATAATTAACAATGGCTTTGCATTGAGATGTCAATAGTACTTTTAACATAAGAATTAATTATTTCAAAGGGGTTTTGATGCATTAATGCTTTTCACTGCTTTGCATGGTGCTAATATGGTATTGCAATAACCCTCTTGCTGCTAGATTTTGAAAGAAAACTTGCTGCAATGGGATTTGACATTTCAGAGGACACAGCTTCCTACACTTTCACAAACAAGGACCAACCAAAGTCTGAAAGCCAGCCCCCGGCACGACCCCCTGCTCCCAAAACAGGGTCACAGCAAGGGCAGAGTAGTATTTACAGACTGATTTCACAGAAACGTGGTGGTAATGAGAAACCAAATGTGACCCGCAGTGAATCCACAAAGCGTGTCCAGTTTGAAGAAGGTGATAGTTTTGACAGTACAGATGGAGAGGATTTGGTTCCTCAGCGACATCAGCACCCTCCTATTATGTCTACTGAAGAGGAAACGGATGACATGGACTACACAGACACACAGTCGGAGGGAACCACAACTCAGGATGAGGAGGAATATGCTGCACAGAAAAACGAACAAGTATTTATAGACGATGAATCAGACAGTGATGATGTTAGTTTAAGTGCGTTTGTGCCCGCGTCTGTCCGTAGACAGAGTGTTCTCCCTCACCGACCGGATGAAAAAGAGAGGCAACGCCAAGGCCAGCAGCAAAAGGTGCGTGAACCTGTTGCACCAGTGCCAGCCAGTGTGCGTCACCAAAGTACAACCAACTTACGAAGACTTGTGCAGGAGGAAAGTTCCAGCAGTCTGGATAGTGAGAGTTCTGCCTCCAGTAGTCAGAGTTCCCTTGGTCAGCCACCACGGCGACATGATTACACAAATGACTCGGATGAGGGAGACGAGCAAGGTGTCAGCGATCTTCTGGATGAGGCAATAGGTGCAGAGGATGACACTGATGATGAGGTTGTGTACAGGCACAGACAACCAGTGGCTGCCCCTGTAAGTGTAAATAAACAACATGGATACATGAATTTGTTCGTCATTATTTATCAATAATCAGTATTTATGTAATAACGAATAGTTTTATTTTTTATTTTAAGTTAATTCAAACTCAGTAATAATGATATTTTTAATACTTATATGACAGAATCATTATTTGTCTTGTTTGTAAAAAGATGATGTAAAATCTTCACATGCAAAACTTCACAGATTTACCACTTAGAATGGACAGAACTTACAACTTTAAACTCTCTAGTATTGATGGATCACAAGGCTGTTCTAAAAGCACTTGTTTTGTTAATTACAGCGCCACCATAGACACGAGAGCTATGCTATTGCCAACGACAGCCAACCTGTCTATAGTGTTACCAGCTACAGAAACTCGCAGTAAGTAACAAATTCACATTTCTTCATTGAAATCTCCAGTTAATTGTATACGATACATTCAATAGATAAACACTTGTCCCTATTCCTAACCATTTCTGAAGCCATGTTTGGTAACCAAAATCTTTCAAAAACGGACCATCAGGTGTAGAGTTAAGAAATCTTCCAAAAAAGGCCCATAATGTGTTAATACGTAATTATATCTATTCAATTTTAAAAGATTTGAACTTGACCATTTCAGAAGGTCAAAGATGTAAGATGAATTGCAGGTCAGTGTACAGGCCCATTGGACATCTTGTTAACAAATTGTGCGATACGATTTAAATATTTTGCTCCTTGTTCTGAAACTTTCTTGAATGTATTACAGGAACATTGACTGGAGTTCAGAAGGGAAAAAGAAAATTGTGAGAAATAGGACATACTCAGCAGATGTGGTGGAGGAGGACATCCAGATGCCAACTAGCCTTCCAAGGGACATAGAGAGCAAATCTATTAAGGAGAGGATACAGGTAAAAAAATCAAACTAGCACTGGGTAGGGGAGCTACGGGGAGGGCACTTGTCAATTCATCTGGGTTAATCAAATTATCATAATTTCAATGTTGACATGTTAAGGGCTACATTTCCATCCCATACATTAAACATGGTTCTGTTTCAGGAATTGCATGAGCTGGTGAGCCAGGAGCAGAGTGTCATAATGCAGACGAGCAATGCCCTGAATCAGTGTTGTGCTGCCAACTCTCACTTTGCAGGCTCGGCAGAGCAGGTCGAGTGTCACCGACTGCTGCTTCTCTCATGTAAGTGTATTGGGGAGATGACGCACTGGTATTTTTACGTTGATTTCAAAGTCAAATATGGACTTGTGTATGTTTTTAAAATTGTCATTATAGCAAACAAATGAGGTGACTCCAAAACCTTAAAACACTATATGAAGGTCTTCCTAATGGTGGGCATCCTCGATATCCAAGGGTTACGTTCACGTTTGATCTCTACACCCCTGGAATATGTCAGCACAATTGAAGGCTCAGTGTGTGCCACCTTGTTGTTGAGACAAGAAGACTAGTTTGATCCTTTGATGTACATCAAAAGAATTTTACAGTCACGTAACAGTATAATTGACAGGCTTTGAAGTCGGGCGTCTCTCCTTTGTAATCTTCAAAGGACAGGTATCAGCCTAGCGATTGATCAGGTTTTTTTTTACCTGAGACCAATCAAACAGCTATCTTTGTGCCTTCAATTTTGCTTTGACATATTCCAGGGGGGTGTAGAGAGCGAAAGTGAGCGTAACCCCTGGTTATCGAAGATGAATGGTGGAATTGGTTTTATCCACAGTTTCAAGACAAAGGGTTTACTAATTATATTTTTCATTCTTGAGGAAGCATTTTTTAACAAAATGAACTTCAAATGTCATGAAAAATCATATATTGGCCGTTATAATAAATATACCCATGGGTTGTAACATCACAAAGACTTTATTCTGACCAAATAACAGTTCACATAATGTGGTAAATTGGCCAAAAATTTGATCAAAATGCTCCAAGTATTGCATGATTTGTGAAATGAAGCAAATCTGTTTTGATATAAATATAATTTTCACTTTTTATCTGCCATTGAGATGAAAATTCTTGCATCACCCATGCATACAGACCCTTGTCATTTAAAACAGAGGTTACACTAGCAGTCAATAGAAATATAAAAATTCACTGAAAGCATTTTTATCAATTTTTACCATCCAGGCCAGAAGCGACTTGCTTACCTGACTGAGGTACAGAGACTGAAGGATTCTGGCCAACTGGACCCCCCAGGTACTGGACCAAAGGGCTCACTGACCATCAGTGACATCAGACTGCCCCTCAAGAAGGACTTTGTCACTAGGATAGGCAGTGTGCAGGGTAAGACATCCTATATCACTCTAACTAGGATATATAACACAAAGGGTAAGGCAGAATGTCCTACTGATGTATACTGGTACCATATTGTTACAGGTAGCTGTGAAACCTTACAGGTGACATCTGCTGTACATCTCGTTGTTACAGGAAGCTGTTAAGAAATTAACGAGATTTGTTGTGACGTTACATGTGATATGTACATTGTTGTTACAGGTAGCTATGAAGACATTAATGAGAACTGTTCTGGCATTACAGATAACACTGTACACTATTTCCTGATACTGATACGGAACCACACACAGGTGATCGTTACCCAGATGTTGTCCACACATGACCCTATGATGAGGGGCAGCCTTGACTTTCCAAACCTCATCAAGATACATGGCATATCAGGCAGCTTCAAACTCTGTATGGAGATCTATAGCATGGTGAGTTGAATGGTTGATCAAGACATTTTTTTAGGAAATCATAAAGACTTCATTTTTATAATATTTCATGAGATATAAAGATTGATGGTAAAATTCAATCAAGCATATGTTTGAACGAAGTTGTCTGGCTGCCCTTTGTCAAAAATTGTTGACAGTTTACTGCAATATGGAAAGAAAATGAAACATTTGTATCAATTTTACCAAAAAGTGTTCATAACTGAAAATAACGCTTAAATGTCACCGCTTTTTACAGATTTTATTGACACTGGCTGGAACTCTATTGTAAAGTTTGGATGAGTGTCATGTCATCATCCCTATCTATCTATCTATCTGACATAAAGCGGAAAAATGTTCTGTCAGATTGTAGTTATTGTCAATCTGTAATCTCCAAAATACAAGTATCAATGCCATTATAAAAGTATCAATGCCATTATAAAACCATTTAATATACTCTTCCAGAATTTTCCATTTCGTGATCATCCTGAGTACACTTATTTATACAAAAATATGAAAAGAAAACAAAAGATATGCTTTGCAATACTTTTGTTAACTAGTAAAGAAAAATTCAAGTTAACTTGATGATATTATGAGTGATGAAACTCCCCTTATAAAGGGAAAGTCTTGTCATGGTAATTATTAAGAAACAAACTGAGTCTGTTTAAAAAAAATCTGCTTCAGTGGTCTCAAATTACTCTTTTTGTTTCAGTCTGTTTCAAAAGAATATTCAGCAAAAGATAAGAAAAGAAAAACACCAAAGAAAGCGCTGAAATCGACTAGCATTACAGGTGAGAATCTTGGGTCTCCATGTTAGGTATTTTTATGTCCTTGACATATAGTGTCCCTTTCTGGCTCGTTGTCATCACTTTAGTGACTATGATTAATAAGATAGCTTGAACAATTTGATGACACAAAGGTCAAATATGAGAATGAATCTCTGAACGAGTTTATGTTTCAGGGGTCAAAGGTCAGGACTAAGGTCACCATTACTATTTAAATAAAAAAAATGAAAAAATGACAGTGATGGCATGGATTGTAGGCATTCATATCTTACAGACATTTTCTAGTAAAATGATGGCTTCCTAAATAATTAAAACTCTATAAAATAAAATGAAAATGTAACCACATGTAAAGTTGTCATCTTCATTCTAATGTTGTAATGATATCATATATAACACAGATTTGGGAAGCCAGACTAATGGTTTTGGAGGAAGTTCTTTGCTACAACTTTTTCCAGAACTGTTTATATGCATACCACACAGCCTAGACCTAACCTCTGTTGTGTATTTTACTTACATTTACAATATAGCTCCGGTCACTCTGTTAAGCCTTCACTTTAACAACATTTAATGGGACATGTTTGTGTTGACAGGTCCAAGTCCAGGGGGTCCTACTGCCGTGAGAACAACCAGCTTTACTCTCATCACCACAATACCCATCACCATGAGACACCTCGACAAGAGCAGCTTCACATTAGAAAGGGTAGGTGGAAACATGTTTTTCGTCAGGGATGGAGATCTGATATATAGTGTTACCCTTGTAACATAGGTATATCTTGCAGGAGGTTAACAAAACAAAAAACAGTTTCAACTTCTCTTTAGTTCGGCAAAGTAACTTCTCTTTAGTTCACTTGATTCTTGGTTGTAATTAACGTCAATTGTTATATGTATTTCATTTAGGAATTTATTGAAATATTTTTTTTCTTTCAATATTAAATGACATAAAAAAAACCACACAAATTTCATATTTCTATTCAGACATGTTGATGAAAAGTCAAAATGTGTTGTTTTTTTCCTGTCATTATTTTTATATCTCGATCAATCTAATTAAAATTATATCTTCTCATCGCTCCCGTTTACTGATATGTCGCGGTGAAGATCTAACAACATCCCGTAGAGGGTCATGTTCAGGCGACCTTTGCATTAACCAATCAGATGAGAGCTTACGCATTTCTGTAAGTGATGATGTAATGATTTCGGAACACACTTGCTATGATAAAAGATCGAGAGGTGTCAAATGAGCATCGAAAAATGGCGGCGCCCATGACACCACGCCGTGTCTATCTACAAGACAACGTTTGTACAATTTGTGGATTTTGCTTTGAAATAAGAGAGACTTCCTCTTCTGGTGATGTTGTCGTTAAAAAGTTTAACAACCTGAAACTAAAATTAACCAATGACAGGCTTCGCAATATTCAAACTATCACTGGACCAGACGATTTTGGGCTACGAGGTGTCTGCATTAAATGCTACAGGTCCTGCTTTCTGATTGGTTGAAAGAAAGAGTTATGTCGCGTTTTGATTGGCTTGTTATAAATACGATAATGCATTCATGTTGACCTCTGACGTGACCCTCTATGGGATGTTGTTAGATCTTCAACGCGACATATCAGTAAACGGGAGCGATGTGAAGATATAATTTTAATTAGATTGTATCTCGATAAGCATCCCTCTCACAAGATGTTAGTGTTCAATTACAGAAGTGTTTTTCCTGTTACACTAACTAAAGTAATATTCCTACCACAGATACCCTACCTGTCACCTCTACACGGAACCATTTATATGAGACTCAAGTGCTTGATGGAACAAAATGTGGAAGAGCGTGGATTCCTGGTAATAACCAATTACATTATAGTACATGTATTCAACATTATATGGACTTGTAACCTTATGTTAAGAATCATTTTGTTGTCTTAAATTTAAGTGTCTTTTTTTCCCCCCAAACACAGTGGCATTGTCAATGATAAATTCATAATGATGGTCAGTCATATGTTGATGTCTAGTCTAGTTCAACCCTCCAACCCCCCTTCTCTTTTTTTTTTACAATATTTAGGGATGCAAGTGCCTATATTTAAAAAATAATCACTTTGTCTGTACAAAAGTTCCTTTCCACATGATAATGAAAGATAGGATCTCTGAAATGCTTTTGGATTTGAAGTCAAACTCACTTGCTAAAAAAAAGAGTGAGAAAGAAAAAAGGCTTGTCTGAGTAATAACTCGAGCTCTGTTTTCCTCATCACTATCAACCTTTGTACTTGCTGTGTTTGTTTAGGATAGAATTGACGACATGATCAGGATTCTCATTATCCTATGACCACTTCAAATACTCTGTTGAGTCCCTGCTTACCTGTCTGTGTTTTGGTTTATTAGCTCACCTGGTCCAAAGGACCAAGGTGAGCTTATGCCATACTGTGGCGTCCGTCGTCCGTCCGTCAACAATTTCTTTAAACGACTTCCTTCTTCTTAACCACTGATTGGAATTTAATCAAATTTGACTGGAAGCATCCCTAGGTGATGGGGATTCAAAATTGTACAAATGGTGGGGCTGAGGGGCGGGGCAAAAAGGGGGCAATTTGGCTATAATGCTTTAAGCGACTTCTCCTCTGGAACTAAGGGATGGATATCAACCATATTTGACTGGAAGCATCCCTATGTGGTGGAGATTCAAAATTGTACAAATGGTTGGGCTGACCCCCCAGGGGGCTGAGGGGTGGGGCCAAAAGAGGACAATTAGGCTATATTGCTACAAACGACTTCTTCTGTAGAACTATGCACTGGATATCAATCATATTTAATCAAAAACTTTCAGGGGAGGCAGGGATTCAAAATTGTACAAATGGTGTGGCTGACCCCCCAGGTGGCTGAGGGGCGGGGCCAAAAAGGGTTATTTGGCTATATTGCTTTACGACTTCTTCTCTGGAACTAAGAGATATATATCAACCATATTTGACTGGAAGCATCCCTAGGTGGTGGGGATTCAAAATTGTACAAATGGCTGGGCAGAGCCAGAAGGGGGCAACTTGGCTATATTGCTATAAACGACTTCTTCTGTAGAACTTGGGGGCTGACCCCCCAGGCTAAGGTGTGGGGCCAAAAAAAATGTATTACTTGGAAATGGTTGAGATCCCCACCATATAACCATATATACAATTGCTGAGTATGAAGAGAAGAATGCACATTTGTGTCCAGGATGGCCCTAGGGTCTGGCCCCACCCTTGGAGACAAATTAATTTAGTCATTAGGCCATAACTTTAAAACGGTTGAGATCCCCACCCCAAAACTATATATACAAATGCTGGGCATAAAGAGACGAACGCAGTCATTATATTAGAATAGACCCTGGGGTCTGACTGAAACCCTAGGGACCTAGTTTCTTAGTCACAGCTTGGAAACAGTTTAGATCCCGACCCTATAACCATATATACAATTGCTGAGTATAAAGAGATGAATGCACATATGCTTCCAGGATGGCCTTGGGGACTGCCTCATCCTTGGAGATTTAACCCCTGGGTCATAACTTTGAAATGGTTGAGATCCCCACCCCAAAACTATAATATACAATTGTTGCACATAAAGAGACGAATGCACTCATGATATTAGAATTGACCCAGGGTCTTCCACACCCTTGCAGACTTAACCCCTGGGTCATAACTTTGAAATGGTTGAGATCCCCACCCCAAAACTATATATACAAATGCTGGGCTAAAAGAGACGATTGCAGTCATGATATTAGAATTGATCCTGGGGTCTGGCCACAACCCAAGGGACCTAGTTTCAGAGTCACAGTTTGGAAACAGTTGAGATCCCCACCCCATAACCATACATAAAATTGCTGGGCATGAAAAATCTAATACAGATATGCTACAAGGATTGGCCTTTGGGTCTGGCATATTCCCTTGGATCTCACTTGAAGAATGTTTTGCCATGATTGCTTAGATATCTAGGTGAGCGATACAGACCCTCTGTGCCTCTTGTAATAGTCAATATGTTGATAATGTAAAATGAACAGTTAGCTCCATATGCAAAATCTGCACTGATATAAAGTTTCCATTGATGGTTCATCTAAACCAGTGGTGCTAAATTTTTGACATTGATTCAAGCCAGTTTTACCTGATTCTAAGAAGCATTTGTGTATAAAGACCTGTATTAAATTATTTGTTTTACTTACAGACAATGTTTGAGGATGTCAGTGGTTTGGGGGCATGGCATAGGAGATGGTGTGTACTCACCGGTAACAAACTCTGTTGGTGGAAATACCCCAACGACGAGACACGCAAGGTGAGGTTTGTTAACAAGACTGTTTCCATATTGAGTCATAAACTTATTGTTGTTAAAAAATTCCATCTTCTTATAGTGCATCTTTGATTTGTATGATGGTAGACAGAGACTTGGTGTTGACATATCCTGGATATGGTCTGCGACGTTAGGCACTAGTCCGATGCCCACGACTAGTAAATTTAAGTCTGGACTAGTATTGAAAATATTTAACTAGTCCGACTGGACTAGTGGCAATTTTCCTCCAAAATAATGGAAATATTATTAATGGTATATTTTTTGCACTATAAAGCTTGTCACAAGTTCTAATCCTATCGTAAAATACGGTATTCGTCGAAGCTTCGAAGTTTCGATCAGCGATCGCGAGACTGGGTTCCAGATTTTAGTAGTTAACAAACATTACTTCCGGTTTATAACCACTCGAAACCAACCATGGCGATCTTGCTAAGTTTAAGGAAAGGTTCAAAACCAGCTAAGCCTGTCCGTGAACAGACAGAAAAAATTGTTCCAACACGAAAAAAAAAATACAGTTCTGGCTAGTGCTTAAAGGCTCAATGGAAACAACAATAATACTGTATTAGAGATAATTAGCGATCAAGTTCCGTGCTCCGTTTCTTTTGTTAATTATTGAGAGACATTTTGTTTTGATTTCTAATAATTTTCCAATTTAGATCACAATTTACACTTCATGCTGTAAAAAAGACCAGTCTGTAATTTGGACTAGCAAATTCACAGTTGGACTATTAAAATTATGGGTTCACTAGTCCAAATGACTAGTAAGGAAAATAGTTAACGTCACAGACTGGGATATGGTCTGGAATTACCAGTTTATTCTTGTTCAGGCATACCAAACCTGAGAATTGAATTAGTTAAGAGAACAGGGATGTACAATTCCATTAGAATGCTTTCCCAGACTAGCGACTTATGTCAGAGATGTACAATTTCACCAGAATGCTTTGCCAGGCTAGTAACTTTTGTCAAAGATATACAATTCCACTAGAATGCTTTCCCAGGCTAGAAACTTTTGTCAAAGATATACAATTCCACTAGAATGCTTTCCCAGGCTAGTAACTTTTGTCGGAGATATACAATTCCACTAGAATGCTTTCCCAGGCTAGTGACTTTTGTCAGAAATGTACAATTCCACTAGAATGCTTTCCCAAGCTAGTATCTTTTGTCGGAGCTAGTTGCTTCATGACCATAGCCTGGAGGCTAGTGAAAATATTCAGTTATGAACCTGCTATGAAAGTTGAACTAGTTTCACTATGGCTGCTGATACAATAATTAGCCAGACTAATAGCAAGTATATGCTGACCATCGAATACAGTAATACTCTCATCTAGAGGCTTTGAATGCTTAATACAGTAATACTCTCATCTAGAGGCTTTGAATGCTTAATTATCACTCTGATGAAATACGTATACAATCACACATGTAACCCAAGACTAACATGGTTTTCAGACATAAAAATCAAACATCTTGGGTACAAGATATCTCATGAAATCCTCAACAGATTTACTTTAAAGTGTGGAAGTATAAAGTTCTTCACATTATACAGATTTTCATGGTCATTGGTCAAGGTTGCACTTTACCAGTTTGTTGGGGTGGAGAATATGATTGTGACGTTTAGTTTGTTTTCTATTTTTAATGGAACAGCCCTAGATTGTTCATGTACATGGTCAACAACACATTCTGTAATTGTCAGACTGGTTTTTGAGGTAAGATGTCGCAGTGTTATAATTCTGTTTACAGTAAACTTTATTGGGATATTTCTGATACATCACTTCAGGAAGGTTTGTCTCCTTTGCAAAAAATATATTCAATTGATTTACATTATATTTGGCTGTTTTTTGTGCGGTAGGAGCCAATAGGAATGATGGATTTGAAGCGATGTATAACAGAAAAGATTGGCCTGATTCCCCGGGATGTCTGTGCCAGACCAAACACATTTGAGTTGGCCACCGTACGACAGCCACGTAGGGGAGAACCAGACACACTGGTCACCAAGACTTACAACACCATGACAACCACACGGTGAGTCTCGTTGGAGATTTCTGTCTCACATGTAAAGGGAAATGGAAAAAAATCTCATTTTTGAAAAGCACTTGTTTCAGTAAAATAGATTTCTTTGTCAACCATTAGTTAATAGTTATAGTTTTATATGACAACATGTATTATAAAAAAGTGCTTTCATTGTGATGTTGTAAGTGAGGTTGTGTTTGCTTTGGTTCAGCACGTGTAGTCTAGGGTGTCCACAATGATCCTGGCTCTTAAGTATTTTAAGTCCAGCACAAAAATCTCCACAGGAAAAGATATCTACCTCTATTTGCAAGATTATTGATTATTTCAGTATTATATCAGCTGGATTTCAGGAATTGTTGACTACACATCAATATTATACTCAGCATGTGAAGCTCAGGCTTTTCCCCTGGTGTAATTTACAAAGATTTGTGAAGTATTAAAGAAAATAGCATCCGTCATAAGAATAAGTAAGAAAAATAAAATGAAATGATACGATGACGTTTTCAGAACAAAATCTTTTGTATTGTAGACACAGGCTGTCTGCAGACACGAAAGAGGAGAGGATCATGTGGTGTAACAAAGTTAATAGAGCTCTGGCCAACATACGTACCTGGCACTCGGACGCCATGCGACCCATCAAAGCTTCCAGGAAAAACTGATCCATTTTTTCATCTGCAACATTTTACACGCATGTCTTTCATCATTCACCTTTATCACAAAACATGGTTGTTGGTTGCCATGGTTGATTTGTCATTGTGTTCCAGTGCTAGAAATATGCCAATTTTTACCATGTTTTTTAGATCATAGTTTAAATAATCTGCCTATCATGATATTATATAATTAATTATTACTGGTATAATGATTAATGTATTACTCAGCTGATTGAAGATGTATCTCCTATAATCTTGGTCATGCAAGGGTTCAAGCATACAAGCTTTTTATTTAGTATATATACAAGTACTTTTTCTGATGTCAAAGTAGATCCATATGTATGTTTATCAAGTTGGTGACACGTCATACACATGTACAAAGCAGTCCTTTTTTATCTGTGATTATGTATATAGTTTATGTAATAGCACATTTAACAAATAACTGTTGTCCGACAATGTTTTCCCTGTGATTGTACAGTTTTGTCCTCTTCCTCCCCAATATCTTACTTCTTCCTTATTCTGTCATTACATCTACTCTCTAATAGTTAGCTGAAACCAGGTATAGGTTGCTATGGACTGATTTAGTATTATATATGTTTATAAATTTTTAAAAACATCTTTTTACTTTCAATTTGTCTCTTCTATCTTTTTTTCTGTCTTTCTATTTGTGTCTATCATTACAGTAGTAATGTGTGCAATGTTTGTACCAGTTTTTGTAGCATTGTAATGTTGGTGTGTAAGGGAACAGTAACAATATTCCACTAATCGACATATCAGGTTGGTGGAAGGTCCATTTATCAGCATTGTAAAATGTGTATGGGTAGAATGGTAGTTCACACTGAATAACCTCAGTTTATCATGTGTTTGATTTAACATAATGTTTAATATTTTAGTATCAACAATAAAAAATTCAAACATTTATGCTGCAACATGCTTTGGTTGTTTGAACACTAGGAAAACTTTGTCTTCCCATGTCAGAGGAATGCCAACATACATATCTCTCATTTACCTTTACTGATTTTGATTAAAATAGAATGCTTTAGATATCAAACAGGTCTGAATCTAGGATGTGTCAACATTTTGTAATAATTGAGCCAACATTGTTGAAACAAGTATATTTTGGTAAAACTTAAATATATATATCTATAAATAGAATTATTGTGACATCTGCAATATAGATTAGACGTACATTTATGTCGTGTTTCAAAGTAATTCGCCCCAGACTCAACTGTTCACTGCTCACAACTTTATATATAATAAGCCATCATTATTCAGGCTCTATACAATCTATAAAACTAACTTATTAACCTATGATTAGATAGACAGGTACTAAAATGAGCACTGGTCTTAGTCCTCAATTCAAACCTGAATGTGGAAAAGATGTATTTCTAGATATGATCCTCATTCCTGAAATCTGTTTATTATAAAGGGGTGAGCTTATCATACTAAGGCCATCAGCTGGTTTAATATGAAGAAATGGCTGGATCATTGTGCTCATAAATGTATCATGTTTAGTATTGAATAAAATAGTTTAAACCAACCCTGAATATATTACTTGAAAAATAGGGTTTAAATAGAGTACTAACTGACTTTGCAGTTAAACATGAGTTGAACAGTTGTGACCTGATGGGGTGTATGTACTGCAGGTAATTATAAATATAATCTGTGTATCTTCTAAAAGGCACGCACCGGTGTGTTATGAACAGTACAGCATTTCTCAACTGAGAAAGAACGAAAGAAAGAAAAATATGTTTGGGATTAGATTTTGAGTTGATGAATCGGTTTCCATACTTGAATGAGGCTCTTGCCACTAACTGCAGGAAAGTTAATTAGTGAATAGTGAAGGAGTCTGAATAACATGTGTAAGATCTACATATTTTTGTTATAGAATTGTAATTTATTAATATTAGAAAGATTGATGAGTGTGTAGCTCATGTGCCACAGGTTTTCTAATAAATGTTTTAACAGACAGATTTGGGTTACTTTTCATTTCATATAAGTCAAACATTGGCAACTACCACAGTCAAGAATATTCAAGAAAGTTACCCAATTTTTTGCTGTAACTGAAAAGAATACTTATTTGACCTTTGACCTTGAGGTCAATATGACAGTGACCTACTGACAGTATACTGCACATTATCTGTCGGTAATGCAGATATACTGCAAGATTCATCAATATATCTTCAACAATATAAAAATGAACAGGCCAGACTAGATGTTCTTAAAAGTATACAATTATTTAATCTTTGACATTGAGGCCAATGTCACAGTGACCTATTGCCTGTGGATGATGCTTAAACAAGAAATCACTAAGATAACCAGAAGTAACACAATTTATTGGAAGGGGGGACCTAACAAGAGGCCTGTATCGCCCATCTGGTATTAACCTTAAACTCGGACCAATATCAAATATATTAAAATGGACTTAATTAAGCTACAAGCCAAACATCACTACCTGTGAACTTTGGTTAATCAAAAGAACCTGTTAAAAGATTTAATAATATTTTACTATCAAGACCTTGAAAGTGGGTCAAGGTCATTCATTAGAAGCAACTTGATTGCCATTTGCCCCAGCATGCTACTAGCCAATTATCATATTCCTAAGCCTTTTGGTTGTTGAAAGGAAGTTTTTAAAATACATACTAAAACACCTTTGACTATGAAATTGAAACGAGACCATAAATCTTAACCAAATTGAATTGATAACCATCATCCTAGCATGCTACTGGCTAAATATCATGTTAGGTCTCTTGGTATTGGTAACAGAAAAAACCATTTCAATATTTGTGATTTGTTACTCCGTTAGTAAGGCAAGGTCATTCATTTGAAATATTTAATGCATTTGACCTCTATCTCATCCAAGCATGCTCACTGTGTTAACGACACCAGATATTGCTACCAAGCAGGTGATGATCACACGAAGTGGGCTTCTGTTGCAGGCGATTTTTTATTTTTTTTCCCCTTACTTCAGAGGCTTGTATGCTCACGTTTTCAGGGAGAAATATGCCGACATAATTTCATAGCATTGTACGGCAACTTGCAATTTGCATGATTCCGTACAGTAATCCAAAAACAAACATTCAAGTTGCTGTACAGTTCGGAGAAATATTTTTGACGATATTTCATTTAATACAATGCTTTCACCGACACAATGAATGTGTGTAATGTAGATACATCTTTATTTAGTTGTAGGCAGTAAAATATGTGGAGGGAAGTACTACAAATGTTAATTCAGACTAGTGATAGTTATTTCTCATAAATTTTTCTATGATACCAAACGATGTGTTTGTAAGGCTGGAAGAAATATTGACCCATAAATGAACATTTTCTATGGTTTAAATAAACGCTGAAAATGTGAGGTATTGATCCAAAAAGCCTCAAGCACATGACAACCTCTAAAGTGAGGAAAACATAGAAACAAGAGGCCCAATGGGCCTGCATAGCTCACCTGGTATTAATCTCACACTTGTAATCTTTAAAGTGGACTAAAATACAGCTACAGGCATAATTTCAGTGTTTGATTCATAAGAACCTATTAAAAGATTTAAACACATGATGCGTGTGACCTTGAATGTCGTACAAGGACATCAGGTTTAAAGTGGATCAAGGTCATTCATTTGAACAAACTTGGTAGTCCTTCATCCCAGCATGATACAGGCCTAATTTCAGTACCCTGGGCCTTTTGGTTATTGAGAAGTTATTTGAAGATTTTAAAACATTTGACCCATGTGACCTTGAAAATTGGTCAAGGTCATTCATTTTAACAAACTGTGGTAGCCCTTCATCCCAGCATGCTACAGGCCCAATATCAGTACCCTGGGCCTTTTGGTAATTCAGAAGAAGTCGTTTGAAGATTTTACGACATTTGACCCCTTTGACCTTGAAAATTGGTCAAGATCATTCATTTTTAAAAACTTGGTAGCCCTTCATTCCAGCATGCTACAGGCCCAATATCAGTCCCCTGGGCCTTTTGGTAATTCAGAAGAAGTCATTTGAAGATTTTACGTCATTTGACCCCTTTGACCTTGAAAATTGGTCAAGATCATTCATTTTTAAAAACTTGGTAGCCCTTCAACCCAGCATGCTTCAGGCCTAATATCAGTACCCTGGGGCTTTTGGTTATTGAAAAGAACTTGTTTGAAGATTTTAAGACCTCTAACCCCAGTGACCTTGAAAGTGGGGCAAGGTCATTCATTTGAACAAACTTGGTAGCCCTTCATCCCAGCATGCTTCAGGCCTAATATCAGTACCCTGGGTCTTTTGGTTATTGAGAAGAGGTTGTTTAAAGTAAAAAGTTGACGCCGGACAGACGGACGAAGGACGCCGCACCATGGCATAAGCTCACTTCAACGAACCTTCAACTACAGTCCACCTCGTGTGATGACCACCTGCCTGGTAGCAATATCCGGTGTCGTTAACACACAGTGATGCTACTGGCTAACCATCATCAACCTTAGTCTTTTGGTCATTGAGAAAAACTCTTTTAGGTTGTTTTTTTTACCCCTGTGACCTTGGGAGTGGTGCAAGGTCATTCATTTGAACAAACATGGTAGCCCTTCATCCCAGCATGCTACTCGCCAAATATCATTATCCTGGTATGTTTGGTTATTGAGAAGAGGTCGTTTAAAGATTTTAACACATTTGACCCTGTGACCCCAAAAGTGTATGAAAATTCATTGATAGAAATCTATATTTGTAAGAAAACTTTTAACTGTCAAGTTTTTAAAATCCAATATATATGTACATGGTATCTAGAGATAATGCATAAGGGAATTAAGAATACCTAAAGACTGTTCTAATATATCACAGACAAATAAAATGTCATATAATAAAATTTATTTACACACGATTTGTCACAAAATACTAGTAGATTCTGAACAGAGACAATTCTACATTCAAAACTTGAAAATATAGTTTGATTGATTTGTTCTTACAAGATGACAAGTTACCTGCAATTATCATCAACACTCAATCGGATTCTTTATAACATACAATCAGGTCCTTTCTAACATACTAAAAGATTTACATAATACACACTCAGATTCTTTATGACATTCAAACAGATATATACAATACATCGGATTCTTTATAACATACACTCAGGTCCTTTCTACCATACTTAAAGATTTACATAATACACACTCGGATTCTTTATAACATAAAACAGATATAAACAATAGAGAACAAGTCATGTGCAAGCCTAATCTTAGATTCTATTTTTTTAACCACACTGTTGTCTCTTATTAATTTATAGAAGAATTCTAAATATTTCTGTGATTAACCTGAAATCAGACACGGATTAGTTTGGTTATTATTTCTTATTATGAAGCACTTAAATAGATTTTTTTTTCAAATCTCAATTCCTATATATTCCATTATAAATGCATTGATGACAGAAGAGCAAATGATGAACCATCATCTTTTGCAAATATTTATATACAAGGTAAGTATTTAAAACATCTACAATACTTTAATCCAATATGCAAATTGATTCTCAGTCTGCGGAAAACAACTGCTTCAGGGGGTTGTTTATGTTTCAAATATAAAAATATTTTCCACCATAAAAAACATTTAATTAAAAACGTCCAGCTTTGTATATGAACATATACATTTGATTTCATTATTCTTGTAACAAAAGTGTCTGCAGCAACAAATCCACATATAACATATGAGGTGATCGGTCTTCAACTTATCATTTCCAAAACAGAACATTTCATCAGCGCAAAAGTAAAAACAATTCTTATGTTCAAAATTTGTGAGGTGTAAGTTGATACTAGTTTAAAGTGATCAATTTCATATGTAAATAATTTTAAAGATTCTGCTCAGTAATAAAATCCAGAGTCAGCATTTCCTTACAGCATTAACAGGTTAAGTAATGTTATATTATGGCAATAATTTTACTGTTAGGCTGTTAATGACCCTTTAATATGGATTTACATTTTTTAAACGAAATCCATTTTATTATTAACAAAACTACCCTGTGTTTTATTAGCTTTGCTGAACAGGTTTTCGTCTTCAATAAATAAACTTATAATATTACTACCATGTACTGGACAAGCAGATTAAGCAAGTTGAACTAAGACCTGGTAACAGTTGTATAAAATACTGTAGTTGATGATTTATATCATTTTGATGATGATAATGTCGAAATGACCATAATCTGTCAATGAAGTACATGTACTACACACACACATACAGGAGGAAGTTACGCTGTGATATTCCTCTTCTCTGTCACCGACTCCTCTTCCTTGGGCTTCCCCTCAGTCCTAATTCTAACCGGCCATATAGTCATGTGGTTGGTCGAGGTTTTAAAATCAATTTGCCAGTCTGCAATGTTGAAACTTTCCAATTAAAATCTTGTAAACTTAAAACTGATTAAAAGCTATTAAGGAGTTATTTCTAATTTTCGAAACAAATGTTTAAAACCTTAATATTATCGACAGGTTTTGCTTAACACCCATTTATTTTCTACAGGGCCAACAGTACACCCTTGAAAGTATGTATTGACTCACAAAAATTAGCTTTGACTCTTGGGTTTGAAAGAAAATGTTTACTCGATATGTATTTTTACCCTCCAAAATGTTATTTGACTTCTGAAATTGCTAACAAGGTTCAACTGAAAGCCCTGTTGTATTTACAATATAATAAGTCAGGGTATTCCCCACTGCTATCTGACTGCACCAACCACTCATACAATTGCAATTTACAAGTTAACATTTCCTTATATCCACAAATGTTGAATTTAACATTTCGTATAGAAATACTGACACCAAATTATGTGCAAATACATAAATTGATCTACTAAATCATCATAAGGCGGTGATGATTACATAAAAAGTAAATTGTGGACATTTTGTGTTTCTTTGTGACTAAAAGATTCAGCCAAGAGCTCATAGCTGTGTGCCCTGTGCTAAAATAACTACGCTCTTTTACTGTTGCTTCCATCAACTAAATATGTACTTACATCGTCACATGACATATTATAATCAGCTAGCACTTGTCGACACCTGGAGGCTATTCTGGAAAAGGTCAAGGTCAATCAGCACACATATTTTTATCATTTCTTTACACAACACTATCCAGTAGTCATGGTAACAGAAAAACAAAGTTGCAAAAATAACAAGCTTAAATTAAACTTGTATAAAATCCTGAATTATAATATTAATAATAGTAGAATTTAAGAGATTCAGTATGCCCTAGTCCTACAGATCTATTTTTTCAATTCACTTTTTATATATTGAATATTCAAGAACCCTAGTGTTAAAGGGACTATTTAGTCAAGTGACAACCTGAAAATTGAGTCTATATTGAAAATATGTATCTCCTAACGAAAGTTTTCGTACTTGATAATGACATGACCTGGCGCCAACGTCCAGTGTGGTCATTTTCATCTTTTGGAAAAGCCTGTGATAAAAATAGCTATGACAGAAATAGTACAATATCCGGGTCTTTCAGTGAGAAATCATGTCCAGCACTGCTCTGTCAACCAACAACACAGTGCCAGTTATGAGTCTGAGTTCACACATTACGCATTCTTGAATTTACACAATACATCGCAAGTAAGAATTATAAGTATCATAATGTATACCTCTAATCAGATATTTCTGTTCATATTTGGATTTGAATAATAACAAACAGGTTTAATTAGAGCATGCATGCACTGAGAAGGGTGCCGCAGGAAGAATTTCAAACCACAGAAAGTACGTAGCTGAAAATTCACTGACAGCTGCCGCTTAAACGTTATGATCATGAAGAAGTTTGTGACAACGTTATAAGAAAACTTTTTTCGCTAAATTGTCCCTTTACGGGGGGGGTCTCCAAGAAAGCTGGGTCCACGTCCCGAGGCTGGGTACATTGGTGCTCAGTGCGTATGTGATCATTTCGGGGGTGTGATTGTCGCGCGCTGGGCGTCAACGTAGCAGAAGGCTTTCACAGTAGCTCCAATTTGAGCCAACCTGTTTGCCGTGGGTTGCGTCTCGTATTCCTGGGGGAAGAAGATCCTGGTGGTTGAGCAGGGGTCGGAATCACTGATGAACTCTGGATTGGAGGGAGACATGATCCGACTTTCTGCAACATGCTACTTTGGCTTCGGACTCTGGGAAGTCGAGAGGTGGTATGGGCCCTCTATCACCAATCGGCTGGTCACGCCGAGCCCTTGGTTTACATACTTCCAAGAAGGCGGTGGCTTAGGGTCAATCGCGAGAGTATGCTCTTCCGGGTAATATATATACTCGTTATGTATACTTTTACGAGTATACTACTTTGTGTATCCCTGACACTTTGGCGCTGGATATCCGCGCTGATATTAGTGTCCCCTTGTTGGGCTCCGGGGCGGGCGGGGACACAGACAGTGAACTAATTAATAAACATACATGGGTAATGAAAAAAACACAGAAAAACACCCTACAACTACCACATTCCCACAATTCATCATCATGTCGTCAACCACTAGTGGAAAAACTGCAGCAACATTGTCTCCTCTTCTGTTGAGGAAGGGTATAAAAGGAATAGCTGGGGACGTAAAGTCCGTCAAACCTTTGGGATCTGGCGATCTCCTAATCGAAGTTTTTCGCAAACAACAGGCGATTAACCTACTGGGTACCACCAGTTTTGGAGGTATCAGTGTTATAGTGAAAGCACATCCATCACTAAACAGCAGCAAGGGGGTAATCAGATGCCCCGCCCTGCGTAATGACGCTGATGCCGCCATACTGGAGTACTTCCAGGAGGAGGAGATCCCAGTCTCTGAGGTGCGACGGATTTTGTCCAAGAAGAACAACAAGTTGGTTCCAACAGACACATTTGTACTGACCTTTGCTACCCCATCACTACCTTCGGCCGTAGTGATTGGTTACCAAAGGTGCAGTGTCTCCGTCTACATCCCTAATCCATTAAGATGCCGTAACTGCCAGAAGTACGGACATCATGAAAAAAGATGTAGGCGGAAGACCGTTTGCCAGTACTGTGGTCGTGAAGGTCATGAGGACCAAAGCGACTGTGATATTGCCAACCTGCGTTGTGTTAATTGTGAGGGAAAGCATGCTGCTTCGTCTCGAGACTGTCCTGCCTGGAATCGCGAGAGAGAGATATTGCGGGTCAAATTTACCCGAAATGTCTCCTTCCCCGAGGCTAGGAGGATAGTGGAGAGCACGGACGTGGCTGCTCCCTCATATGCACAAGTGACGAAAGTCCGGTCGCCGGTTGACAGTGTCGCAGTCAAGGATGCTTCAGTTCAAGTATCTGCAGACATACCTGCCTGGGGCTCACAAGTCCCAGACATGTCTGGCCAAGATAACTTGAAAATCCTCACGGGAGACCCATCTCGTTTCACGTCTATACGAAAACCAACCAAAAACAACAAACAGTCAAAAGCAGCATCACCATCAAAACCAGCATCTTCATCAAAACCAGCATCTTCATCAAAACCTGCACCACAATCAAAACCAGCACCACAATCAAAACCAGCACCACCATCAAAAACACCTTCCACTTCAGGAGAAAACCCTTCAAAGGTTGGCCCATCTAGGGCACATGTGCGTTCGCAGCGATCTCGCTCACTCACATCTGTTCCTCGATCCCAACTGAGACCAGAGGCAACATCACCTACCAACAGACCTAGGAAAAAAATTAGAATAGCGAGGGGCAAATCTGAAGGACCGGATCTGAATGTCACCTTTGGCAAAGGATCAGAGGACCCGACAAACCGGTTCAATGTCCTACTAGATTTCGATGATGAGATGGAGACGAATGCCTCAGCGCTTCGTGCTTCGACTCCATCGAAATCCAGCCAAAATAGCAAAAGATAAATAATACAATTATCCAATGGAACATCCGCGGATTAAAGGCAAATATAGAAGAATTTCAGAATCTATCAAAAGAATTTAGACCCGCCATTTTTTGTCTACAAGAAATCATGCTCAAAAACCCAATCACGCTTAGAAATTTCTCACTCTACACTAACATTCCAACTGTAGTTAGCAGAGCAGCAGGTGGCGCAGCGGTAGCTGTCCATAAAAATATTCCTCACAGAATGATCAAGTTAAACACAAATTTACAGGCTGTTGCTGTCTGTGCAACATTACACAGACAAATAACCGTCTGTTCAATTTATCTCCCTCCGAGTATTGTTTTCACTTGTGAGCAACTCAATAATCTCGTCTCCCAGCTCCCAACACCATTCATAATCCTCGGTGATTTTAATGGTCATAATAGCCTGTGGGGCTCTCCCAACACAGACGAGAGAGGAAGACGTATTGAGGAATTTATAGATAAAAACAACTTGTGCCTTTTTAACAACAATACCCCTACTTATTTACACCCTGCTACAGGCTCTCGTACCCACATTGATCTATCATTATGCCATCCATCCATTTTACTTGACTATGACTGGAGGGTAAATGATGATCTTTGTGGGAGTGACCACTTCCCAATTTTTCTTCAGAATATTGGGACTCCTCTTGATGATCCTCTACCTCGATGGAATATGCACAAAGCAGATTGGGCCCAATTCCAACACATGTGCATTGAAAAACTAACCATAGACAATTTTACTAACCTCGACGACCCTATCAAAACTTTTACTGAAACACTCACTTCTATTGCCCAAAAGACAATTCCAAAATCCGCTCCAAAACCTACGAAGTTCCTTTTATCTGAAGAATCTTTTAAAACACGCAGTAATCGGGCAGCTGCTCTAAGACGCTACTTCAATTGCCCAACTGCTTCAAACTACAGTGAATTTAAAATTTGGCGGGCAAAGGCTCGGCGATCAATTAAAATTGACAAAAGAAACAGCTGGAGAGAATATGTATCCAAGATATCATCAAACACGTCCTCAAAAAAAGTATGGGATATGATTCGGAAAATAAGTGGGAAAAAGAAAAAGGCAACATCCTCCCACCTCATTAATAAAAACAAAATTTTCTCGTCTATAACTGAAATTGCTGATGCATTTGCAAAAAACATAGCTAAAAACTCATCCCCTTTAAACCACTCCCAAAAATTCCAGTCTTTGAAAAAAAAGAGAGAAAAGAAACGGCTCAATTTCAAATCATCAAACAAAGAAAGTTATAATGAACAATTTACCCTACCAGAACTTGTTGATTCGCTTAGAAAATCACAGGACACTGCTTCAGGTCCTGATGATATTCCATATCAATTTCTAAAGCACTTACCGGACTCTTCACTAACATGCCTTCTTTACATATTCAACCAAGTTTACGCTTCCGGAAAGATTCCCGATTCGTGGAAGAACTCCACAATTATACCTATCCCAAAACCGGGAAAGGATGCTACTGACCCAAACAACTATCGTCCTATCTCTCTGACTAGTTGTGTATGTAAAACTTTAGAACGAATGATAAACACTAGACTGGTTTGGTTTCTTGAGGCCAACGATATAATATCCCCTCTTCAAAGTGGCTTTAGAAATAGAAGAGGGACAAATGACCATCTCATCAGATTAGAGACGTTCATTCGAGAGGCTTTCGCCAAGAAAGAACACCTTGTCGCTGTGTTCTTCGATCTTGAGAAGGCCTATGATACTACATGGCAGTATGGCATCATGAAAGATCTTCACGACCTTGGCGTACGTGGAAACCTTCCCAATTTTATATCTAATTACCTATCAGATAGACACTTCAAAGTCCGTGTTGGTTCAACTTTTTCTGAAACGTCTAAACAGGAAATGGGAGTCCCACAGGGTGGAATCCTATCAGTCACACTGTTTGGTCTTAAAATCAATGATATAGTCAAATGTCTTGGTCAATCAACAGAAGGGTCGTTATTTGTGGATGACTTCTTGATCTGTTACAGATCTAAGAACATGCACACGATAGAACGACAACTTCAACAGAGTTTAAACAAACTACAAAATTGGGCAGACGAAAACGGCTTCAAATTCTCTAAATCCAAAACTGTGTGCATGCATTTCTGTCAAAAACGAAAAGCACACAATGACCCAAATCTAACACTCGATGGCACTAGAATTCCTGTTGTTGAACAGACTAAATTTCTCGGCCTCATTTTTGATTCGAAACTCTCTTTCATACCACATATAAAGTATCTGAAGGATAAGTGTTCCAAGGCGTTAAACATTATACGAGTCCTTTCTCATACTGATTGGGGAGCGGATCGTGAAATGCTTTTGCGCCTATACAGATCACTTATTCGAACAAAACTGGATTATGGTTCTATGGTATACGGGTCAGCGCGCAGTTCGTACCTTCAGATGCTAGATCCAATCCATAACCAAGGGCTACGTCTTGCCCTGGGAGCTTTTCGAACAACACCTGTAAAAAGCCTGTACGTGGAAGCAAATGAACCATCCCTTTATGACAGAAGAATAAAACTTTCATTACAATTTGCAACTCAATTAAAATCAAACCCTAAAAATCCTGCTTTCAACCAAGTATTCAACCCCAAATACCAAAACATATTTACGCAAAACCAAAAACTTCTGCCAACATTTGGTATCCGAATTTTGAATTTCCTGCAAGAACTCAACATAAAATTGACGGACATAGCTGAATTTAACATATCTGATGTTCCTCCGTGGACCATTCAAACCCCCGATTTTAACTTTACATTACATGAGCGAGGGAAATCAAGTGTTATGCCCGAAGAACACAAATCCTCCTTTCGGGAATGCATTTCGAATTACCCTTCTCATACACAACTTTACACCGATGGCTCCAAAGAAGGTGAGAAAGTGGCAGCAGCCTGCTGTACTGCCAATACTTGCACTTCAGTCCGACTACCAGACGGCGCCTCCATCTTTTCTGCTGAAGCATGCGCCATTGGTTTGGCCCTCGACCATATCGATGAACACCGCATTAAAAAGGCAATTATTTGTTCAGACTCTCTATCTGTCCTACAGAGTTTACAGTTACGAGATCCTAAAAACACAATCGTACAAAACCTTGCTCTTCGAATATCTCGTATATTAAAAAAGTCTAAAATAACTTTACTATGGATTCCGAGCCATGTCGGAATAAAAGGCAACGAATTTGCTGACAGGGAAGCAAAAAATGCATTGAATCTCGAACAAACAAATATCAAACTACCATACACAGATTTTAAACCTACTATTCGTACAGCCATTCAAAATGAATGGCAGAAACGCTGGTCTCTGGAGACCAACAACAAACTTTTTAAGATACAACCGAAACTTAAAACATCTATTCCCAGTCGGAAAGATCGTAGAGAGGAAGTTGTCCTCGCTCGGCTCCGCACTGGGCACACATATCCTACTCATTCGTACCTTTTAAAACGAGAAGATATACCTTCATGCCACGCATGTGACACTCCATTTACAGTGGAGCATTTTTTAATAGAATGTTCCGATTTTAAACACATTCGTGATAACTACTTCCGAGTCCCGGATATGAAAACACTTTTCAGTTCCGTGGATTCGAAGGCATTATTTAACTATTTGAAAGACATCGGGCTATTTTATAGACTCTGATGTCTTTTAACCCACCTTATCATTTTTGACGTTATATATATATCGCATATTCCATATCATCTATTCGTTATCTCTTTTATTATTTTAACTCCCTTTTATTTATTTTTTTATTATCTACACATACAATGCGAATACTTTTAAAATGAACCATTTTATCTTATTTTATCTTCGCTATTCACATGTTTGTTAAAAAAGTAAAATAAATAAATAAATCACCATGGCCCTAAATGACCACAGCCGTCGATGGGCCGTTAAACATAAACAAACAAACAAACAAACAAACCTTTACGGGGGGGGTGTCCATAATTTGGTGAGTGATGGTTTGAACTACCTCCAAGCTGAAAGAAACATTTTGCTGAATATATTAAAATGATATTGAACTGAAGGATACATTGATGGCGATACAACCCTCTTATGGATCCCACACAGAAACAGCATGACCAGCATTATACAGCTGATGGTGAAGAATGGGTGATTCAGGAGGGAATGGGCAAAGGGTATCTGGAACAGAAGACATATGATGTATAGTTAATGTCTTGTGATACAATAGATAAGTCATGCAACGTTTAAGTACAAAGTCAATATCTACATCTGTAATATGATTCAATACAAGTCATGTGATGTGATAAAAGTCATGTAGTATGTTATAAGTTATGTGATACCAGAACAAATCTGTAGACAGGTGGAACCTAGTACAGTAATACTAAAAAACAATTCTTTCAAATTAATGCATGATAGATCTTTAATCCGTTAGTATTAGTTATAAACCATTTAGCTTTTAATCTAAGTGTCCTATCCATATCTGGTTTATAGGTTGTTGAGTACTCAGCAGAAATCTACAGGAACTGTCATGTTAATCAGAAGACTGACTGTATTAATGTCCCAGGCTGTGATGGCTGTAAAGTCAAAGGGTTCTGGTCTTGATACACATATAACCTCTCTATACCCTTTGAATATGTCATGATAAAATGGAAGGCAGGTAGATAGCTATTTGATTGGTTTCAGGTATAAAAAGCTGACTAATTGCTAGGATGATACCTGTTCTTAAAAGATTACAGATCACCACCGAACCTTAAAGCTTGTCACTTTTACTGTTGGACTGCCATGTGCAGGGGCGTTTCTAGGATATTTGAAAGAAGGGGCGTAGAATCAAATCTTTCGCCGAGCGGAGCGAGTTGAAAAAAAAAAATTGGACCTTTTTTTTGCTAAAATCATAAAATAATTGTGAAATGCACTAATGTAACGGTTCCTGACTTGGAGCATGTATATTTTATAGTTAAAGTGTCAGGGTTTGACATTTTTTAATGCCGAATTCTCTCCATTAATTGTCTATGGTATATTAAAATGATTCACTCTATCACGTGGTCAACAACAATGGATACTAATCGCAGAGTCGAATACGGCGGAGAAACGAAATTTTACGGATCACCCATCGGATGGGGGCATCAGTATAAAAAGAAATCAGAGTATGTGTTTAATTAATGAATATGATAAATTGCCATATTTAATACAATATTAGCAGATTACCATAGGTTGGGTTGGTTTTTTTTGAAAAGGGGGGGGGGGGGGCGTACGCCCATTACGCTCTCACCTTGACCCGCCCCTGATGTGATTATTTTGATGTTCATCAAATGATCAGACTAGTCTACCTGCACCATCCACAAGGTGGCACATACAGAACCTTCAACTTTGTCATGACATATACCATTGGTGAACAGAAGATATGTGCAATGAGAGCCGATTCCTTGAATTTTGAAGGTGCCATTTGACAAACAATACATTTGTAATTAGATTGGAGTAAATATGTTTACTGTGGTCCTACAGACTTTCTGTATTTCTAATAACAGATAGTATAGTACTGGGTAAACCTGTACCTGTGTGGTGAATGGGTCCCATATCCAAGTCCAGGCTCCGACTGCTGTACATACAGACATCACAATGAGTACCACTGAAAGGTAAAAAGAAACTTTAAACTACCCTCCATTAAGCAAATATAGCTAACACAGCATACTATTTAATATTTACTGTTAAATCAGATATTTTATGGGGCTTAAATGTTTTGGTTTTCCAAAGAAACACCACTAAGTGGAGCATGGAAACAAAATCAATGCAACCCCTCCACAAAAACTAAATACACCACAAAATCCACAGAAATTAAAACTGAAAACAGTTTTGAAAAGTGAAAGCAGATTTTGGAGGATATTCAAATTGGTATAAGGCTTCAAATGGTGCTGTTGTGAAAGTATTTTCATCATCCTTCAGGTATAAAGAGGGGAATAGAATGTATACGACACATTTGCATAATGATAAATGCGTTTGATAATTTAAGAAGTACTCTTTTAAATGCCTTTTGTACTGTGTTGTTGCAATGGTATTAGTATAGGACATATATTATACATCCATTCCAAACTTGAAGAAACTTTTTGTTGTTCATTAAATTGGTGGTTTGAGAATATCCATGAAAATCAAATAATATAAAATTTACAAAAATGAATGAAAACACGGTACACAAGTTCTATTGATACAGAATTGCAGAAAAGGGTTTGTTTCCAAGAAGTCTGACGCAGTCCATATACGATGGATTGTCCCAAAAAGGATGATCAAAATTAGATGACTCCCTAAATACAATGTACATCTCTGGCATGTGTATCAATAGTGTGTACTAACAAGAGATCCCAGAATATCTTTGTGCTCACCATTGTACCATCTTCACCAGATTATGTCAGTTTGATCTTTTCTCTTATCTGTTTGATCAAGTCATGTAAACAGTAAATGCACCGTTTCACATATTTACTAGTACAATTCTTTAACTGTAAGAGAAAAAGATCTGATCATTACAATATCAGAAAGATCTCATTAGTACTTCCTGTGGCCAACTTGTTTTTATGATCACTCTCCAAAGTAAACATGCACAACAACAGACCAAGGGGAACCTACATATCAAAATTGAGAAAGATCCCTCAAAAACTCCCTGAGAAATAGCGAAAACAAACATTTACTGTCAAAATCCAAGTTGGCTGTCTGTCGGCCATTTGATTTATTCAATCGGTCTCAAAAGTAACCATGCACAACAACAGACCAATGGGACCCTACATATCGAATTTGAGAAATATCCTTTCAGAACTTCCTAAGAAATAGCGATACCAAACATTTACTGTCAAAATCCAAGATGGCCACCTGTCAGCCATTTTGTTTATTTCATCAGTCTCAAAAGTATACATGCACAATAACAGAAGAAGGGGAACATTCAGGTCAAATTTGAGAAAGATCCCTCAAAAACATCGTAAGAAATAGCAATAACAAAAATTCACTGTCAAAATCCAAGATGGTCACCTGTCGGCAATTTTGTATAAATACGATCAGACTCAAAAGCAAACATGCACAACAACAGACTAAGGGGAACCTTACTATCAAATATGAGATAGATCCCTCCTGTACTTTCTGAGAAAAAGTGTTGTTTAAGGACGGACTGCAGACCACGGATGAAGGGTGATTTGAATATCCCACCATCAGATGATGGTGGGCTAAAAGTAGTAGTTCATTGGTGGTCTACAATGAATCTGTTAGTTTTGTTATGAGATCTTTTATCCCCATAATCCAGTGACAATAGTGGGAGTCTGTCTTTGTTTAGTTCTATTGGGATTTTTTTTTATGTCTTCCAGAAAGGATTTTTTTTTACAAAGTTATAGGATGATGAATTTCAGCATTACAATTAATGTAAGATGATACACAGTGACATGTTACTAGTCTCCTATTACATACATGTGTCAAAAAACAATGAAAGAACATACTTCTCCATAGTCTGGCTGTAGGTTGTAGTTTGTCTATCACCTCTGTCAGTCGTCTTTCAAATGCTTTCAAATCTGAAGTGGTATAGAGTATATATTAGTATTGTACTTCAAAAACATATGCAACAGATAATATTATACAATGATGAACTATTTCAAAATAATATAATAATGTTGTTAAGGAAATGAAAACATGTCACGCTTATGTAATATGTAGAACAGTGTCAAATATATATTTGTCCCCTCTTAAAGAGAAAATCTGTTTTAAGAACTGATCATTGATAAAAATGTATGATTACCAATACTGTTTATATACACTGTTGTCAATTAGAGCACAAATCTGGAGATCTGTCACCTCTTAATCTGCCATATGTGACCAGATATACCTTTCTGTCATCTTAATGAACCAAGTGTGTTTGTTGTTACTGATAGCTAATCATCAGCTTCAAGCATGCTTTCATCTGGAGTCGCTAAGGGCACAGTGCTCGGACAACTGTTATTTCTACTATTCAACAACAACCTCTCAAAAGCTGTCAAATCAACCACCAGACTGTTTGCAGGTGACTAACTCTTGTATAGAAGAACATCATCAGAGGATCAAGTCATACTAAAACAGGACTTGGATGAACTGCAGTAATAGCTAAAGCCTAATTAGTGTGAGGTTTTCCAAATTACCAAGAGGAGATCTCCACTAAATTAAAATTACAACATCCATGGAAAGGTACTTTAACACTGTTTTTACACAACAGCCTCAGCTAGGATTACGACATCTTCAAAATTACAAAGAAAGCCAACTCCACCCTGGTATTTCTTGGCAGAAATATCAGCTATTTTAATTCATTTGAGATGTAACACAGCATTTGATCGGTCAATAAAAACAATTTGGGCCTGTAAAACCATGATATTTCTCATTCGCATATGAAGCCTGGATGGCGATTGTAAATGACGATGACCACGACTGACCCTGACACATCATGAACTTGATTATTCATGACGTCACGAACAATAGCGTGACCCTGAAAGGTCAACGTAATTCCGCTTCACTTTGAATATTTCTGACGTCACAAATTCACAGCAGAGACCCAGAATTTGTAGAAAACATTCAAAACTATATTAAAAACATGAACTTGCAGTGGTTTTGGTTGATATGGATTAAAATGGAGATAACCCTACTGTATTTTGAAATTTGCGGCGGTATATTGTGATTATACTATAACTGGCGACGCGACGGATATTTGGGTCAGTATAATCATGATACACTGCTGCATATTTCAAAATACAGTAGAGTTATCCCCTAATTGCCAAACCAAGATCAAGGCTCAATACAAATGTGCTCTTCGAATTCCATTCTTTTAAGACCATCCTTGTAGGATGAACTGATTTCTGGATCTCAGCAAAAATGGGAAATACTGTATCACCAAACTGAAAGCAGTCAAACAGATAAGCAGCTCCCTTCGCCACTGAGGACTAATTACATTACATAAACAGCATAATATCCAGGTACTATCCAGAACTGCCATGGTAGTCACTATAGAACAGAAGTGACACAGCAGGTGTGCTCATGATGTACGGGATAGTGTACCACCTAGGGAACATAACACCAGGCTCAGTTGTCCGGCACCTTGGCTGAAGAAGCTACACTGGCCAGCTTTAGACTAGCTGTCTGCCTCTGGACACTTCACAAAATTTAAATTCCATCAGATTTTAGACAATCGCCCTCTCACATGGTGCAAGAATACTTAAGTGGTGTCAGTATGGCAGGTTTAAACTGTACATAGGATTATGGTCACTGTCTACCTTTGCCCTAGAGAAAACAATTGGTAGAGCGGCAGACTGGGAAGCTAGCTGGGGTCGCTGGTTCGAACCCCCTTAGAAGCACTCTTTTCTCCTGTTACAAAATGTGTCTGGTAAATGTGGAGATAAAACCTGAGATGTTGAGGTATTTGAAGGTTAACACGTCTAATAAATGGGGAAGTAGTGGCCAGGTTTTAATTGTTCATAGGATTATGGCTCAACGGTAGGTCTATCAACGTCTACCAAAAAATTGACCTACTTCATCATATTGAAGATTATGTCAATAGTAGAGCGTTCGATTAAAAAGTCTGGATTATGGCGGGAAGCAAAAGAATCTGGGTTGTAGTTAAAGGAGAGAGGAATATAGCAAAGCTGGACCGAGACATTCGCTGGTGACCAGGTGCCTGTCTAGAGTTTGGAGCGTCCGTCTACAGTGTGGAGGGTCCTCTCTAGGTTTTCAACTCATTCTGTCTGTACAACGCTCTTCTCTTGTAACAGTGATGCCGTTTTTTAGGGCGAAGACCACAGGAGCCTGAAGTTCTGTCAATAATGAATAACAGTAATACAATAAAATAAAACTATAATAGCATATTATAGGTATTTTTTGTGTATTACTGTTATTATTCATTATTGACAGAACTTAGGACTCCTGTGAAAAGTCCAAAGCACTTAGGCCACAACAGCAGTATGGATGTCAACCAGGAACTAGGTAGCCCCGAGGTTCTGTTGTACATATTTAGTTTAAAACTGTACTGTATTTCAGTACTGTCTAACGGAGGGGGGGGGGGGGTTACTTTTTCAGTATCTGGTACAGTAGCCAACTGGCCTAATCAAGCATTAACGGGACAGTTATTTATATACAATGTATACAACAATGGATACAATGATTTAAGAAAATTCCATTAAGAAACAAGTGATGACAACCTTCTGTTTGCTCCGCTGACATTATTCGGTTTCTCTTCATTCTTTGAGACTGGAATACTAAGACGTCTAATGTGATTAGCTTTCTCAACAAAAACGTAACCAATCAGATGGTTCGTTTCAAGTGTGAATCGCATTCAGAAAGAGGCTTCAAAGCGGCTTCGGAATATGTTAATATGCGTTAGCTCACGTTAAATTCCCTTTGTTTTCATCAATACAGTTTTACGGTAAGTACCTAATTGTGTGTTCAATAGGCTAATTATGTTTCCTCATTTCAGAACCTGATTTACAGTGCGAACGGATCCTTTATATATTTGGCGATCATTTTTTTGGAGGCCCATCAAGCCACATGCTTTGCAGTTTGCGGCCATTTTCCCGTCCATGTCGGATAAAGCTTTCAGAGGAACGCAACGTGAAAGGAATAGTTACAAGCAAAATAATACTAAAGACAACTGACCACTCCATGATCCAATTCTTATATAGCCTGATGGTATTTCCTCTTCATTATTAATTAGCGAAAATTACTATGATCTATTTTTAGACTTTGGCACTACAAAAGTAAGAATGTCAAATGTGGCTTTAGATATATATGTAGTTGCACCTGTCAATCCCCACATTCTGTAGCAGGGTTAGATACAAACTTCTCTGTTTGGTTGTTCACAGGACCAGTTGAATAGCTTATTTGCTTGTCCTACATCAATGTAACTAGTCCAAAAATTCCTTAATGAAACATTTCAAGAAACAAAACGTAATTGACTGTAGGGGACATAAAATAACTACTGCCATAAAGACACGGTGAGGTTTTAGGTTAGGTTAGCTGATTCCATAGTCCTCGCTGACATTTATAATTGCTAGTCACAGACTAAAGGAATATCGTTAGTGTCAAACCCCATCTATATCGACGCTACCTGGTCACCAACAAACAACGTTAACCCAGTCAAGTAAATCTTTGCCCCCAAAATGCAACAATATTTACAACCCAGGTTTAGGTATCCTCTTGCCAAGCTTACATCCAATGCTTGAACCAAGGGCACTACAGTAATAGGAGAGAGAATTGCACAGTTTTACTTGGGTTTGAACCCGAAACCTTCCAAACTCTAGATGAACACTACCAATGGAGCTACTTGCAATTTGGTATAAAGACCAGTTCTGCTACACATTGAATAACTTTTAACTTAGGATGCCTCACAGTAGCTGTGAATCACAGTCTTTACTACTGTGTTCAGTCAAGGGTGATCATCGGGCCACTTACTCTTCAAGGAATATTGGTTTAATCACTAGCAGTGGCAGAATAGTAGATAACTGTCTGATGGGGTTAGTTGCTAATCAGGACTCTTTTTTTTTTTGCTGCCATGGGCTTTCAAAATTCGTCCTCCATTAAAAAAATGTTCATTTAGCAGCGTAATAATTAAATGTCTGTGTTGTTTACAATGTACACTATTCAAAAAAGATATTATTTATGCAGCCTCAGGAGGGGGAGGAAAAATGTTTATTATTGTTGTTGGAAGTCCAAATTTTGGTGCTTAGATCTTTTGCGCAAATGCTCTGCGCACAATGCATCTTTATTGATGTCATAATTTCTAGGCAACTGACACATTGCTCACTTTGGTGGATTTTCAGGTGTTCAGTCTTAATTATATAAAGCCACAGTGTCTTACCAGGTAAATAAATAAAGGAAGAAATTTGGAAATGTAACTAATTATTTCATGTGATTTCAAAATGTAACCAAAGTCATTAGACTTGCTGGCATCATCATGGAATGAAAGGAAATTCTTGTCTTTATTATTTCAATATTCTGTGTTGCTTTCGTATTTGTTGTAAAGTTATGATCAGATAAAGTCTGGGGCCCATTGAGGTTGAATGCAGAGATTAAATTTTGCCAACATTTTTTAAAGTTTGGCTAGCCTAAAAAAATACCTACATAAGAACATCTACTGCTTGATGCAATAAATTTAAAAAAAAAAAAGATTGGTTTAATACTGGAACTTCCTCCAGTTTTCAATATTTTAAAGTAATGCATTTAAAATGTATTTATAGTATTCAAACAAAAATGATAATATGAAGAGATCTATGCTTTGATTCACTTTAAAATCCCATCGTGATGGGCTATAATATACGCTAGCTTATGAAGTGGCACATTATAAATATTGGTTTAATTTTGTCTTTAAAGAGATGGGTCTACTTTCAAGCACAAGAGTTCTTAACCTTTTTTTTCACTGGTGGTTTTTGTTGGGAAGTCGGAATGTTTTTGATAGTAGCAAAAATATTCTTATTAACCATTTACATAGTAAAAAAAAAAAGTTCCCCAATGTGAACCAATCTTAAAACCCTGTCTTATCTGGTCAAAACTCAATAATTATTGAAGTGAACTTGGTATCTAAAGGGTCCAAAAAGAAATGCAAATATTGTAACTTGCACTATTTTGATGTAGAAGAGATATATATATCATTAAATATGTTTATAGAATCTTTCATTCCAATTTCATCACTTTGTTTGAAATAATTTCGGTACCTTTTTCGCATCTCTCTTTTTCGAGGATTTGCTGGCTTCTTTTGAAGGATGACATAGCTGATAATTGATGATTTACGGATTTTTTCGGAATTTTCTTTGGCTTTTGTTTTTTGCAGTCTGACAGCATCATTATTAGTGGAATTAACAATTTTGGTATGCATCTTCTATTATTTCCTTAAAGGTATTGCAGAAAATTTTATTTCTGGTATTAGTAATATTTTTCCAAAAAATGGTGTAGGTTTGAATTTGGATGTATAAATATTCATGGTGGCCAGATTTTGTAATTGAGTACTTGTCCTATTCCCGATGTAATACATTTATCCTGATCATGATTGTCTTTAATATATACATGTAGCATGTTTATTGATGAAAGGCATTTTTTCCTTCCTATTTACACCCTAAGGTATAATTTGGTAAACTTTTCAAAATCCCTGTTGGTGACAAATGACCTGTGTTTAATCTCCTGGCATGTCAAAATACCCAAAATATAACACGAGGGCGCAGCATCTAGTGCAAATTTTACCAAAACAAAATTTCTTCTTCAGACTCGTTATGCCTACTGGCTGACAGGATATTCAGCATAGATCTGTGTGTAGCTTTCGTTGATGAAATGTTACCCAGATACATATACCTTTCACCGACTGTCATTGATCAATTTTGTTAAAAACCTCTAATAATTTTTTCCATTGAACAAGCTTGCTTGGAGCTAATGATTTTAGGCCAATGACTGTAATAAATGCATGTCAATTAGACATGTTATGACAAATAATCTTTACTTACATTAAAGGTCACAGAGATCAAATCGGTTAAAAACTTAAATTTAGTGTATGGTCTCTTTCTGCTGGTATTCTGAAAAATATTAATTAAATTATGAAATCAACATATTCCTGTAACATATTGCTACAAATCAAAGTGGATCCAGGCACATAACAAGAACTTGTACCGTAACCTGTATACTAGCCACTTGATAAGGATTTAAGGGGGAACAATTTTTAGGCCCCTAGCTGTGGGTCAAATGCATAATAATGTATATAGCTTCTGACCATAGGGCCTAAAGACCAGATATATTTACCTTAAGTTTGCTAGGTTGGCACCTTATATGATTAATAAAGTTAAATGAATGACATTAATTAATACGCTCTAGGTACAACCAGTTGAGCAGTGAAGGTTCAGTCTGGCTGTTGTTTTGTTTTCTGCTGCTAATGATAACTACATATGGACTAACTACCATCATAATTTAAAGGAATTTTTTAAGAATATCTTATCTTCGCTATTACAAAATAAAGTATGTGTACTACTGAAATCTAACATGATCAGAAAAAAGGCTTCACCTAACATATTAAACCCCAAAGGGTTTATTTTGTGAGTTATTGAATAAAAGTATCAACAGTGTACTGTATATGTAAAGATTATCAGTGTAGATAGACTGATTGAAGTTAGTGAACATGGTTTAATATCGGATATATTCATGATCAAACAGACCATGTCTTTAATAATATATATCAACATATTCTAACATGATGATGTTATGTGTTTCAGCTGTAGTCTGTTTCAGAGTCATTGTATTGATACAATGGGGTCGAGGTCCCGATCTCGTAGTACTAGTCCAACTCGTATCGACCAGTTCGGACGAGTAGTACCCAAAAAGCGTAGTCAGAGTAGAGAAGGATCTCAAAGATCAAGGAGCAAAAGTGCCCGTAGGAGTCGAAGTCGAAGTCCATTCAGAGGACAAAGAGGTCCGAAAAATCGTCGTAGCAGGAGTCCTAAGCCAGTGCTAATGAGAAACATTCCTAAAAACAAGCGTCGGGTCTTCAAAAGGGACAGTCATGACCGGCTGGTTTCGGTGTCACCTTCCTCATCGTCATCTAGGTCACCTACACCCCCACGATTCCCGCGGTATGTCCATACAAAAAGTCTAACAAGTGAAACCAACGTGAATGATCCAGACCTGATGAAGTCACGAGTTTTTATCGGAAATTTGCCGTATGACAAAATAACAAAGGCTGAAATGGAAGAAATCTTTTCCAAATATGGAAAGATTCTAGGTATGCTATACTCTTATTTTCATTACTCAATGTTTTATCTTTCATTTGCTAACATGGCCGAAGCAACCTTGTGAAATTATACTGTGCCACAGCGTCTGTCATTTGTCAGCTCTTCATTTAAAACTACTGGTCTAGAATAGCTAAATGGTTTTTAACTCAATTTCATTTGGAGCATTCTTAGGCCAATGAGACTCATTGGTATAAGTATAAACAGAGGGTTCCGCTCCCCTAGGGAAAAAGGGGCAGCTAGCTAGGGACCAGTAAAAGTTATTCTTTTTAAATACCTATCCTTCGATACTGATCAAGGAATTGCGACCAAATTTGGGCGGAGTATTCAGGGCTATTAAAACAGTTTAAGGTCTCTTCAGGCAGATTGGTGTATAAAAGGAGGGTGTGCACCCTGCAAGCCAAATTGGGGAATTTTGTTATGTGTACTCTCAAGGATTGAATTTAATTTTTAAATCCACAAGCAAACTGTTGCTTGTGGTTTCAAAAGTTAGAAGCAAATTGACAAATCAAGAAGCAAAATATTTGGACGTCAAAATTTTATTTAAGAATCATCCAACGGCAATGTAGCCTTTGTCATGTAGGTCACGCTGCCATTTCTGTATTGTTTTTATTTGTACGAGAGGCTGAGCTTCAGTCTTCGACGGTGGTTCTGTTAGTGTATGCACTTTTTTAGTGCCTTCAGTGCCGTCAGGTTCCAATTTTCTTTAAAAAAAACCTGTAATCATCGTTTGAGCTTTGACATTTGACGCTGTCTGCACATATATATGTTCCGAACGACACTCGTTATTGCCGAGACTAAACGAGACTTAGTACTTGTGCTATATTGAGACACGAACACATGTGTACAACTTACAGATTATGTTTTGATCGGCACATCGACGGGTCCTGACCATAGACTTGTTACAAATAGATCGATGATCCGGAAATATTGACACAATTTATACACACATGCTGCAGTAAAATACCAGACGCAAGTATTTTCGTTTTGGAACCCATATCAAAACGCAAATCTCAAAATCCTGACGCAAATTGCGTGTAAATAAGAGTAAATTTCGAACCCTGACTCTTAAATTAAAGTATTTTGCTGTGATTGCTAAGATATCCATGTGAGCGATACAGGCCTTCTTGGCCTCATTTTTTGGTACTTTTATCATGAAGATTAGTTGAATCAGGGACAGTATATAGAGGGGATTGGCAACTCTGCCCCAGTCAAGATTCTATAGCACGTTGCTTTTGTGTTTGTTCACCGAACCGCGAAGTCATCGAGAGCCCCTCTTAATCAGCCCGCACTAGCATTAAAATAAGGCACGCACCTGCTTTCGGTGTCATGTCAACAATCTCGCCGAGATCGAAGTGTTTTGATAACGGTTAGCCCTAATTGGGACTGTGTATTAGTAGGTCTTCTTTTTATTCCAGGGACAGGGCTATCGTTGCCACTATGTCTGGCCTTTCGGCTGTGTTGATGGCTATTACAACAAATCACATTTCGTAAAGCACGTTCCAGTGAAAATAATGTTAATATTGACACTTTTTGACACAAAAACAGCATAAGTTATTTGTTATTTTTTGCCATAAAAATTAGTACTACAT